CCATGAGCTAAGTAGAAAGGTGAAAACTTGGTTGATATATGAGGAGTTGTATTATATGCGAAAACAACTTCATTAACATGTAAATCCCAAGATTTAGGATCATTCTTTGAATAAATGGATAAGGTAATTCCCAAGTATGAATTGAACCTTTCAGTTTGACCATCCGATTGTGGATGATAGGCCGTGGTGGGTTTGTGTTTGATTCCAGCACTTTTCAAGTAGTCTTGAAATTCAGAACTCATTAAATTTGTTCCTCGATCAGTGATCAGAGAAAATGGAAAACCAAATCGTAAACACCAATCTTCATGTAAGACACGAATAATTTTGAAACTTTCAGATGATGAAATTGGACTAGCAACAGCCATTTTTGAGCAGCGATCATTAATCACTACTAAATATTTGTTTAAGTTGTAGGAGGTTGGCATTTCTAGAAGATCTAATGAAAGTTCTTCGAATACTGAATTAGGTCGAAAAATCGGAACCATCATTCCTTGATTTGCACATGGATAAGGTTTTCTTAATTGACATACTTGACAAGAGCGAACGAAATTTTTAACATCACGAAATAGTTTAGGCCAGTAAACACGACATCGTAACCTTTCGTAGGTTTTGATCACACCAAAATGACCTTCCGAATGATTATCTTCCAAAATTGATTTACGGAGATAAACAGGGACAATAGGTAAACAAAGTTTTCCACGTTTACGAAACAATAGATTACCATGAAGAGTAAATCTTTTTCTCAAACGTTTCTTTTTCCTTTTTGATAGGAAAATATCACAAAGTAATTGTTTGATTTGAACACAATAAGGATCATTTTTCTGTAATTCAATGAATTCAGAATCAGAATTAATGTTGAGAATAACAGGAACATTGTTTTCTGTGAAAGAATGAGTAGTAGAGTTTTCATCACGAAGTGGATAGCGGGATATGCAATCAGCATCACCATGTAATTTACCAGATTTGTATTTTATAACAAAAGTAAAACATTGAAGTTTTAATGACCATCTCATTAGACGAGGGGTTAATTTTTGTGAAGAGAGAAACCAACATAATCCGCAGTGATCAGTGATTACTGTGAAAAATTTACCGTAAAGGTAATGACGAAGACGATTGGTTGACCAAACAATTGCCAAACATTCTTTTTCTGTTACACCATAATTAAGTTCAGCACCATTTAGGGTTCTTGATATGTAACAAATTGGCTTAAATTGATCATCGGATTGCTTTTGTAGCAAAACAGCACCAATACCATAATTACAAGCATCAGTATGTAATTCCAAATCAGCGTCATCGCGATAACAAGCTAAAACAGGTTTAGTTGTAATGGCAGTTTTTAATTGTTGATAACTTTTAATTTCTTCATCAGTCCATTTAAATTCAGCACCATTGGTGAGAAGTAGAAGTAAAGGTCTTGCAATTTCAGTAAAATTGGCAATGAAACGACGAAAATAGGAGCAGAGTCCTAGGAATGATCTAACATTATTAATATTAGTCGGAACAGGAAATTTAGTAACAGTCTCAATATTTTTGGGACTAGGAGAAAGAGAATTAGCTTCAATGTGATAGCCAAGGTAATCAATAGATTTCATGTTAAGAGAACATTTTTCTCTTCTCAATTTAACGTTATTTGATCGAAGACGATCTAAAACCTTAATCAGATTTTCATCATGTTGTTGTTCGGTTTTTCCAAAAACGAGTATATCATCAAAATAAATATAGCAATTGACAAAATTTAGTCCAGCTAATACCTTATTAATCGTACGTACCGCAGTTGCAGGGGCGTTTTTAAGTCCGAAAGGCATTCTTGTGAACTCGAATAAACCTTGAGAAACTACGAAAGCAGTTTTGGGTTGATCCATTGGATCAACTCTAATGTGCCAGTACATGGCAGCAATGTCCAATGTAGAAAATTTTACACATCCTTCGAGAATATCCAAAGCATCTTCAATGCGAGGAATAGGATAAGGATCATTGAGAGTTATCGCATTCAATTTGCGATAGTCGACACAAAAACGAACTTTTTGAGCGGTTGCCGTTTTCTTTCCAACTAAAACAATTGGACTTGACCAAGGAGAGTTAGAAGGAATAATTACATTTGCGTCGGACATTTCTTGGATTAATTTACCAACGAGATCATTTTCCCATTTTGTAACACGATATGGGCGTTGAGAGATTGGCGGGTGATTTCCCGTGTTAATTGAATGAACAACACCATCAATTAGACCAACATCATTGGCACTTTTAGCAAATACTTCATCGAAGTATTGTAAATCAACAGTAGTTACAACTGAAGAAACATTTAGTGAGTTAGATGAATGACTATTAATAGAGTTAGTATTAATCACATCTTTGGCAGGTCGAATTAATTTAACGGACATGTCATTGTAGTCAATTATAGCTCGATGTTTTCTACAAAAATCACTTCCAAGTAGAATATTGTAGGAAAGTTTATCCATTACCACGAATTTAACAGGAATGATTAACTTATCAATGTGAAGGTTAACCAAACAAATACCAATAGGAGTTTCTCTTACCTGGTTAGCCATTATTAATGGACCTAATGACCAAGGTTCAATGCGAATACCACATTTATCAGTGAACTCTTTACGTATAATTGAGCAACGCGCACCAGTATCGACAAGAGCACGACTTGGTAGACTGTTAATGGAAACAAATAAAGATGGTAATTGGGTAGTACAAAAAGTATAATTGATAGCACAGAGAGAAGCAGGAAATTGAAATGACCAATTTTGTCCACAATCTTCCACCAAAATATCATCGGCGATATGAGTAACAGGATTCAAAATTTGTTTTTCATTTTTAGAAACGACTGGATCTTTATGAGATGACAAAGAGTCACTTGATTTAGAAATATCAACATTGTTGGTATTATCACGTTGAGATCGATATTTAGCAGCATTAGCCTTCATGCGATCATAATCAAGAGGAATTGAACAACCTCGAGGATAATGGCCAGTTTTATCACAATTGAAACAAACGACATCAGTGGGAACTTTATTAGGCGATTTTTGATGAGGTTTATGTGACTTTTGATTTTTATCAAATTTGGTTTGCCATTGAGATTTCTTCTTAACAGGAGAAGTTGAATCGTTTTTGCTAATAGTAGCATTAACTGAAATCGGGCGAACAGAAGAAGTATCATCATTTAATAGAATCAATTCTTCTAAATGTTCTAAAGTGAAACGATTGTTTAAAGTTGAGGTAATAGCAGAAGAGTGTCTAGGTAAAATTCCAGACAAAATATAATCAATGACTTCAGTCTCATCCATATTTGGATTATAATCAGAACAAAGAGACAGCATATCATGATAATAAACAGACAATTTTTCACCAGGGGCTTGACGACGAGATAGCATCTTGTTGTAATATCGGATTTTATCTGATTTACGAATGTAGGTTTCAGTGAAACACTTACGAAAATGCTCCCAAGTCTGAGCTGAACCTTTTAATTTAGGTACAAAAACATAAAGATACCAATTCAAAGCATCTTCTGTTAGACAACGACCAACACCTCTAATCAATTCTTGAGGTCCCCAAAAATTTAACGAAGCAGCTAATTCATATTGGGTTAACCAACGTTGTGCTTTGTCATGATCACCACTAAAAGACGGCATGTCCATCGGCTTGATCATAGGGCTTTGTTGAGGTTGTTGACTAGCATTAGTTTTAGCAGGACGGGTGAGAAAAGTCTCAAAAATAGAATCATTGATTGTTAGAGTTCTTCTTCTTCCATGATCAGGTAAAGTTTCATCCAAATCATGAACAAATGGAGCACTTGGAGTAGCTTTTTCAATCGCAATCTTTATCATGTCTTTCAGTTCTTCAAACTGAGCAGCGTTGGCATTTTTATTTTCAGTAATAGTATTATTGAACTGTTTAAATTGTTCAGTCAATTGACCAACAGCAGCTTCTTGGGCTTTAACTTTAGAGAGTAAATGATTGAGTTGCTTATCTTGAAGAGTGGGTTCACCGGAAGACGCCATAATTATAATATAATTATGTAGAGTAAATAAGCGCAAAATAACCAGCGAAAAGAAAAGAAAAATTTTCTCCACAAAAGAAACAGAAATAAATAAAAGCACACACAAATTAACACGAAAGAATATAAATTCTTCCACCCAAAAAAGACGGTAAAGGGAAAATTTAGCGTTGAGAAGCACCGAAGAAAGAAACGAGGATCTCCACCAAATGTTGTGAAGGTTGGTGATTAAATGGGGTTTTGAGTTAAATCAGCGATTTAACTCTAAATTAAATCAATTAATTAAAGATTTGTCTTTGGCTAGGAGACAAGAATCACCAACTCACGGAATAGAAATTGAGTAATTTAAACAGTAGAATTTACTCAAAGGTTTAACAATTTATTAAACATGAAAAATGAGATGAACAATTAAATGGAAACAGAGTCTAATTGTCAACTGATTAGTAGATGAATTAGAGAACTATTTATATGAATCAAAAGAGGAAATAGTAAATTCTCTTAGGAATAAAATAAGGAAAAGGAAGAAGGGAAATGAAATGGTTAATAAGACAAAAGAAGAAAGAAGAAAAGAAAGAGTGAAAATAATAACCAATGGGGTCAGAGTAACAACATTGTTGTTACTTAAAGCGGTTAATTAGAATATTTTATATAAAGGGAAATTCTTATTTTCACAACAAAGTCTACGAAATTATTCGTACGATATTATTTGAAAATACTTGTACTTTTGATGTCCCCTGATACTCCAAGCACTGCTGACCGCACAGGGTTTCCCCCGTCTCGGTAGCAGTGCTTGAAGCCTTGTATGTTCTTACCTTTTAATGTTGCTTCCTTGGCGTCCAAAATACGAATGAGCATTGTTAACATCTTTTGTGCCTACTATAAATACGCGCATGCGCAGTTTCAAAGTGGGCGTGGTCAAAAATTATATAAGTCATTCATCTAATCTACAGGTTTTACTTAATTAATTTATCAGCATTATCATTATTTACATTTTACAATGGCTAAGCAGTGGCGCAAAACTAATAAAGAGAAAGCAAAACTACGAACAGCTGAAGTAGCAGAGAAAATGAAGGAGAAAGGACTAGCTGATCCAAAAATAGCAAAAAAAGCGGCGAAAAAGGCCAGGAAGGAGAAGAACAGAGCCACAAGAGATATGGCTAAGGCCATAGAGATGTTTTCAACAGCCACCGCTAATTATAACAAAGAAACAGCTGAGAAAGTTGAAAAAGAACGTGAGAAGGCACGAGAGGCTAAACAGAAAGCTATAAATGCTTTTTCTAAGGCCCAAGAAAGCGCAGCTGTAGCTGAATCAATGGCTGGAAAAGTGATTTCCCAGCCTTTAAATGCAGAGAAGGAACTTCTCAAAAGACTCTATCAATAGTCTTTTCTGTAAATATTGTATATACAACCCATAGGCGAAGCAGCTTTTTCAGTACCCTATGTGGTGGCCAGTAAAATCCATCTCCTCCTCCTCGTGGTACTGGCTGGGTCTTGCCAACGGAGCTCTGGTGTATCAGTCAAGTCAGGTTTAGAGCCGATTCAAAGAGTTTATCACATCCTCTGTTAGTCTAGACCAGGTAAATCTCCAGCTGATAATAGTTATCATTTTTCTTATTCCAATGTGACCAAATTGGTTATGTACAATTTCCAAGAGTTTCAGCCTCAGCGATTCAGGTAATATTAATTTTCCTTTTCGATTTTTATCCAATTTATAATAAAGTCCATCAGAGTTAATCAGCAGTTTATCAGCATCAGCAAGTGTTAATTGTTCAGCTTTCAGTTCAGCAACAGCAATAAAGTTAACCAGCTTAATTGGATAATCAGTTTCGACAGCAAGTACAGGGTCACGTGACAGGTAATCAGCTTCAGCGTTTTCTTTTCCTGGTCGATATTTGATATCAAAATCATATTGTCCCAAGAAAAATGCCCATGAAAATAATCTAGAGTTCGGTTTATCGATTTTACGAATCGATTTCAGCGCAATATGATCAGTGATAACAGTGAATTTTCTATTATAAAGATAATGATGCCAGAATTTGATTGATTCGACCACAGCCAGACACTCAAGGTGAGTTACAGGGTAATTGATTTGATAATTTGTTAATTTTTTTGAAAAGTAACCAATCGGGTGTAACTTGTTATTGTCATCAGGTTGCTTAAGAACAGCTCCCAGCCCAATTTTGCTTGCATCAGTTTCTAATATCAGATCAGCGTTTGGATTATAAATTTGAAGAATAGGGTCAGAGGTTAATAATAATTTGATTTGATCGAAAGCGTGTTGACAATCGCAAGTCCAATCAAATTTCGAATCTTTTCTGAGTAAATTATGAATCGGTTCTAATATTTGAGTAATATTATTAATAAACTTTCGATTGTAATTAACTTTACCAAGAAAACGACGAACATCTTTTAAACATTTAGGTGGTTTGAGTTCGAGAATCGAATTGATATTGTTGTTCAGAGGATAAATGTGATTAGGAGATAAACGATAACCCAGGTAATGTACATTTGTTTGAAATAGTTGCGATTTATCAAAATTCAATTTGATATTTTCCTTTTTTACAGCAGATAATAATTGTGATAAATGATTAATATGAGTATTGGAATCGGGTGAAAAGACGATAATATCATCCATATAATTGTGACAGAAATTAGTTAATGAATATTTTTCGAGCATGTTTCGAATTGTTCGTTGAAATATCGCAGGAGCGTTTTTCAGGCCGAAGGGCATAACTAGCCATTCGAAATGACCATTCTGAGTTACAAAAGCGGTCTTAGGGATGTCACTTTCTCTAACTTTGATATGCCAAAAACCTGACCTGATATCGAAGATACTAAAGCATTTAATATTATGTAAACGGTCAATAATATCTTCTATCCTTGGCATCGGATATTTATCAGGTAAAATTTTATCGTTCAATTTACGATAATCTATACAAAATCTTGTTTTCGCATTATCTTCCTTTTTGAAAGCTAAGGTAACAGGAGAAGCGTAAGGTGAGTATGATGGGCGGATGAGATTATTGAGTAAAAGGGATTGAACTTCAGAGTTAATTGTTTCATGGTTAGTTGATCGGTAAGGTTTTGAATTAATGGGAATATTAGTTATTAGTTCGATGATACACTCAGCATTGGGAATACAACCAATATCAAATTTTGATTCAGCGAAACAAGTTTGGTAACTTGTTAACAGTTTAACAATTTCAGCATTCGTATCATTCAATTTACTAATAATATTAATATGTAAATTATCAGGAAGATCAGTCGGTGGGGGAATTAAGCTAATTGTTGTTGGTAACTTAGGATTAGTTGCTTGTTGGGTAATATGATAATTAGAGTCGCATTGTAGATTAAACATCCAAATAGAATCTAATCCTAAAAGAATATCAATAGGAAGACAATCAGAAATATAAACATAAATACAATTTGTAATTAACCCAATAGTTAATTTGATTTTGCTCAGACTTGAAATTTGACCAACTCCTATTATCGTAGAAAAGTTTAATGATTTTAAATTAATTGATCCAGTTCCTAATTTTTTTATTATTGATTCACTTATGAGAGAAATATTCAAACCAGGATCATATAAGATCGAAACTTCATTCGAGTTGATGATTCCCTTAATAATAATATGAGATGGTTTAGTTTCAAGTCGACCATTCAGTTTAAGTGAACGGATTGAGAATCATTTGAATGATTATCATCTACAGAATTAGATGATTGTTGAACATAATTAACTTTTCGTTGGTGTTGATGATGATTGTGATGATGATTAATATTATGATTGTTGTTATGATGATGAGGTTGATGTTGATGTTGTCTCTCTTGTCTGATTGGACAATCTTCTTTCCAATGCATTTGGTTTGGCTTACCTGCATTTTCACATATCCAACAAGCTGATTTTGGTTGTCGCTTGACAAATTGTCTATTTTCATTATTATTATTATTTCTATTATTAATAATAGATGGCAATCGATTACCTTGATTTTGTTAAATTTACCTTGATTATGATGATAACTCGGTAGCTGATTTTCAGCAGATTTTGCAATCGCAAAGAATTGATCATAAGTATTAATTCGATGACCTAAAAAACAATTTCGAAGTTGATCATTAAGACCTTCGATTAAAAGAACAACAGCTTGGGATTCAGATAATAAGGCTAAATTAGCTAATCTTCTTTTCTCTTCAAAATATTCAGTAACATTTTTCTTGTGATGAAACTTCAATCTTACGCATTCCTCCAGTGGTTCAATAGCTTTTATCCCAAACCTATTAATAAGTTTTGACTTAATTGTGAACCAATCGCAATTATCTCTTTCATAGAGGTAAAAGTTCAGAGCGTCGCCATCTAAATATTCATTCAATAAGTCAACAATATCTTCATCAGACCAATTGTATCTTCTTGCTGCTGACTCGTACATCTTACACCAATTCTCAATGGTAACATTTTTCTTGATTCCATCAAATATATGAAGTCGAGGTTTGTGTACTAATTGATTAACAATCGGTTGAGACGTAATAATATTATTCGGTGAGAGTGAAATTGATGGTGAAGATTTAGCTGCATAATAATTAGATGTTGATGGTTGATCGTCTCCACTTGCCATTTTGATTATTGAAATTGAGAAAATTTAATTTTGTTGATAATTTTAATAATAATAATAATAATAATCAGAAAAAGAGAAAAAGAAAGAGAAAGATATGAAAGAAGCGAACAGAATCTAATTATCGCAATGAGAGAATTCAGCAACAGCACAAATTGATCGAAATTGATCAGCAGAATTGAACAAAAACAACGAGATAACCGACGAAGCACAGAATTGGACTTTATCCTGTCGACTTATAATAACTTTGGTTATTATTCAGAGAAAACAGAAAACAGTAAAACAGAATAACAGAAAAACAGAAAAACTGTAAATAAGAAATTTTAATGTTGACACTTTGTTGGTCAGAATCCAATTAATTCAATCAAATTGATTACGTGTAATTATAAGGAGCCTAATTATTGTTAAACAACAATTAGAATTTAAGTTAACAGTTAAATGTATCCCGTGTAAATTTATCATAGAGAAAGAAAGAGAAAAAGAAAGAGGAGAGAAAGGGAAAGATTTGGTTGATTGTTTCTCTTTCCTCATAAAATGATAATATCTTTTCATCATTACATATAATTAAAGTTAACTTACTAATTAGATTAAAGCTTCCTATTAGCAGTCAGTTCAAGTTGCTTACTGATTTATTGGTTGAGGACAATTTATATTTATACTCTCAAAGGATCATCAACTCAAACTTAACATTTGATTAGAGTAAAATTTCCCATCAAAAGTCAGTGAGAGTGATTCACTGTTCCAAGATGCTTGATACCAAATAAGGATTCCCACTCACAACTCGTGATTAGAATAAAACCTTCCCATCACAGAGTTAAGTTAAAGTTAAAAACTTGGAGCATGAGTATTAGCACGTTACCAAATATGCCTGTGACTAGAGTTATGTTTCGTAACAAGGTTATTTAGAAGTCAAAAGGTTTAAGGAAGGGGTGCAATTTTAGTTGCCAAATTCACTTGAGACTAGATTTAATATTCCCGTCAACAAGTAGACACATGAATTTAAACATTATAAAAGTTGAGTAACCGCATAAAGGTTAAATTAACATCAGAATTGCCAATTTGACTATTAAACAAATCGTAAAGGGTTTCACCTTCTTTAACCTAGAAGCAATGTAATTGTTACCATGAGTTGATTATGAATCAGGAATAAAAGAAATACTTATCTCACTTTATCGGTGGTCAAGTGTTGATCCAATGTTGATTTATGGTTCTAATGAGGTTGTTTAGCACAGTCGTAACAAGAATACGCTTAATAGTTTTTTAAATGAATCGTCCAATTAGTTAATCAATTTAGTTCCATAATCATTTTGGCGATTTCGATGATTTGGTATATTATATTACCGTTAGGATTTGTTTGATTTGAAATTATTTATTCTTTATTTAATGTTCTTAATTTTTAATGTAAATTGTCTTCATTAATAAACGTTTGACGATGGGTGGTAATATATACGATATACTTATCTTATTCCTTATTTGTTGATGGATTCGTATGTCATTGATTATACTTTTATTCGTAACTTTAACAAAATGTAATATTTTAAATCGCTTAACCCCACAAATTGGAATTTGTTTTATTCTTTGTTGATAAAAACACAATTCAATATTAAATTAATGATAATTCACGTAAATGTTTGATAATTCACTTTATTTTCTTGGCTAATTTTAACACGTTATCGTTTAAAGCACTTATTATATTTTATCCGATTACTAATAAGTTTTGAAGGAGTGAAATTGGTGCTTGATGCACCGTAGATCGGGTTGATGATAATGATGCGGTTTGTTCATCAGTTTGAAAATTTCACTTTATATGTAATTAGGTGGAAGCCCAATGTCACAAAACGCACATCACTAATTTATTTGAGTTAATTGTAATATATATATAAGGTGGGACAGCAACAGCAACAGTAACAGCCAGAAATTCAGCAATGGAAACGATTAGTTTGATTTCACAAAATATGAATTCCAATTAATTCACTTCCTTGGAAATAAACCAAATCGATTCCTGAAAATTAAATTAATTAACTAAATCAACTTGATTTAAAATTAAAACAAATTAACTTTATTAAATTAAATTAGAATCAAACATATTAATTAGTTGAACCTTCACCATCAAAAGCTAATGATTGATTGACCCTGTTGTTGTTGTTGTTGTTTACCATCATCATCAACAATGAAATCAATTAATAAAAATGATCGTTGTTGTTAATCAACACTCAACAATTAAATCAAATGTTATTTACAAAAACAACCGCAACAATCAGCACCATCAAAATTTACAACAATTAGTTAATTACCAAAATTAAATGTAGGGGAAAAGTAGGAGGCAGAGAAAGAGAAAAAGTAAACAAAAGAAAGAGAAATGAAAGAGAAAAAGAAAGAGGAATCAAATCAAAGGAAAGAGAAGAAGAAAGAGGAATTAATATCCCTTTGATTTCCTTTCTCCAATTTCTTTACATTACATATAATATTCGCATATACTATTTATTCACTAGCGTTTTAAAAAAGACTGCCGAATCCGGCTCGACGGACCAAAATGTTGTAAACTTATGTGACCTCTGGTTCACCTTTTAAAAGAATTCACAATTTATTCATTTTGTTCATGTAGATGTTGTTGGGATAAGGTCCCCACTCTAACTAATACAATTTCAGTTATATTTTTATCATCATCTTCTTTATCTTCATCCTCATCTCCATCCTCATCATCATGGTGTAAATTTATTATGTCAAAATCTTTACATTCTTTAGAAAAGGTCACGATATTAAATTGAATGTCACTTCGGCCACAGTCAAAAGAATCGATTAAGTTGGCTTTGTCCCCTGTAACGAGAGTAATCAGCTCCGTTCCAATGTACCGATAGACAAATGAGTTTCTCGGATCATAAACGTATACGTCGAGACAACATGTATCTCGTTTTTGAGACACTCTGGTATTGATGGCCACATGGACAACCTTCTAAATTACACCATGTTTCCAGGATGCTTCGATTTATCAAATCAGTGACTTCAAGGTCAAATACGGGCCTGTCAATGTCGATCATAAAGATTTGGAAGCTCCGTGGTTGTTGATGATAATGGAGATTAAGATCTCGACAGCTCCTAGAAAAAGTTAATAAAAAAAATAAAAGTTATTAGAAAAAGTAGAAAGAACGTGAAGAAGCAAATTTAATTGGGCTACTTACCAGTTAAAGTAAACTAGGCCTACTGCTGGAATGACGTTGGGAGCGATGACATTGTAAAGCCCAATTATTGAAGAAAAAATCGAAATTTGCTCTTGATTGAGACCAGCCTTGAACTCTTCGAAGGTATCGTTCCATTTGAATTCAGACGCGGCCATGGCATAAACATAACCAGTAGATAACTCTCTATCCAATTGGCCTCGAAGCATTGAACTTTCTGAACGATAGCTTACGGTTGATGAAGATGACGATGATGACCGACTTATTTGAGTCGATGTTGACGGTTGAGGTGGTTCTGGTTCATCTGATTGTCTCGATTGAGTTGAGGATCTCCGAGGAGAAACTTGTCGAGGTTCTGGTGTTTGTGATCTTTGAGTCGATGTAGGTGATGTGGGGAGAGATGTTGTAGGTGATGTTGGGAGAGATGTTGTAGGTTTTTGACGTCGAGTCGCTCTCTCACCAGCATTACCTCCATTTGTCTCTGCTCTTCGCGAGCATTGAGTTCGAGCTGGTCTCTCCATTGTTGATGATGTTGACGTTGTTGGTTGTGGTGGTGGTGGTGGTGGTGGTGGTGGTGATCCATAATTAAACAATGTTTTTAAATGACTGAATTCACACTGAAAAGAAGACAAAAAAAGCACGTTAATGTTAGTTGATTGAAAACAAGAATGAAAATGAAAAAAAAGCGAAACTAACTGGATTAATGAACCAAACGCTTATTGATGATGATAAATTGAAAAGCGGAATCTTCTCATCAAATCGTTTTGAAATAAGATCAGGATCATCTTTGCTCTCAAGATAAACCATGATGTTTAAGAGGCAATGATCAGCTCCATCGATTGAAGAAACTGAGAGGATTTGAAAATTCGATAAGTATCTGAGAAGTTCTGTAAGAAGAGAAATTGAATTAATTAGTTTAATTGGTTATGTAGAATCGCTAATGATGAAATTTAATATTTAACTTACTTTTATCTCTTCGCGAAAGAGGTCTAATTATCCTTGGGGGTGGGTTTGATCCTATGATTCTCTCATTTACACCATCATCTTGTTTGGCATAAAAGGATAAAAAACATCCAGAAACGGTGAAGTAAAAATAAGGTATTTCCACCCTGAAGGGTCTCCTCGGAATTGTTGGGTCAACCAGGACGTGACTTTTCACATAAATTTCGATGTTGTATGCGGTCAAGAAAATTGTGGCAAATCTACTTTTATAAAGGGGTTTGTACATGGCAAAAAAATCTGAAAAGAAAAAGACAGAGAAAAAGCAAATTAATGATGTGAAAGGGATAAGAGGTAATATGATTCAACTTACTTTGATATGATTGATAAATTTTCGACATAATTAACAACAATTAATATACAATAACAGTGAATTAAAACAAATTGACATTGATTATTTACAATTTAAACTCTTGTTCACCACATCAGCTGACGTAAATCAGCTGACCCAAAACAGCTGATCTTAGATGATTAGCCGGGAATTTCAATTTTTTCTTACACGGAAACTTGTCCGTGTAAGGTATTAATTTTTGATTTATTCGTATTTAAATTACTATATACAATATTTTAATTAATTAAGATTCTTAATTAACGAGAAATTGCAAAAATTACAATTAAATAGCCTTTTGTCAACAATTTTAGGTCACACATAAAAATTGCATAATTACCAAAAGTCTATAAAAAATTAATTAATAAAAAATTCATTCGGTGTTGATTGGCTGAAAAAAGCGGAAAATCCGAACGCAATTAATTACCTTTTATAGAAAAAAGGTGAGAACATAAAACAATGGATTATCTTAGTCTATTTTTTCTACTTTTTAAAAGGTGAGAACATTGGTTAAACATCATTTTTTGCAAAAATAAAAGTAATGTTGACACGATGTTCTCACCTTTTAAAAAGACAAAAAAATCGACTAAGATAATTGAAGTATCTTATAAGATATTAGATGGCAATGATTAAAGAAATTGACGAGACAAAATAATTAAAGCAATTACGAAATTCGAAAATTGCAAAATTGCAAAATTGAACAATTGGGATATCATGTAAATAAGTATTATTAGAAGTTGAACAATTAAATGAATCAACTAATCAGCTTCTTGAGGCGCAAATTGTCGGTCTGTCAATTCTCGTCGTCGACAAATTATCGAAGCATGGAGGCTTGTAGTGCTCTTTCAGCGGAGTAGGAGCTGAAAGTGAGATTACACTTGATGCAAGCCAAAGTGAAATTTGATCTGATGTGTGCCCTAACTTCATAGTAGTCGGACGATCGGTTTCGGTATCCGTTCTCAGTACAAAGTATACAAGCAGTAATCATCTTCATCTTGTTTGATTTAATGAATGTATTCTTAATAAAGTTGATCATTTTTGGTCTTTTTGGCCTTAAAGAGGAGTGAAAAGTTTTTTAATAATATTTGATGGTTTGATATTCATATTTTTTAATTACTGGAATACTACTGCGCATAGAAAAAATTAATAACAAAAAATTTATTAAATTAAAGATTATTTACTGCGCATCTGAAAGAAATAAACATTGTTTGACCTTATCGATGAATTCTATGGATGAAATAATGTTTTCTGAATAATCTTTGGTCAGATTTAATATTCTTTGATTTATACCAGCGTACTTCTTGTTGAGTTTAGTTCTAGTTCCGTTAGAAGCGATAAGAATTTGCACTTCGTAGTTGTTCTGATGCTTGATTATTGTTTCGATAAACTGGTAGATATTCGCGTGATGACGGCCAACGGTTTTATTGAGAGCGGAATGCCATCCTTCGACGTGGTTATTTGTCCTAGGGTCACGATCATCAAAGTGGTTCCAGATCTCTTTCGGAAAGCGAGCATCGTTTATTAAATAGGTTCGTTCGAAATAGTCCAAAAAGTTTTTGAAACTATCGTCAGCAGATGCTTCAGCTTTGATCTGATCATAAATTTTGTCGATGTCATCAACAATTAGAAACGGCAAGGCAGCGATTCTTTTTACGGCCATTTTAACATCACTATCATCTGATTTGTATCTTGGTACTAGTCCGTGTTTGCCAACGTTCCTCCAAATACTCTGACTGAAATGGAATAAACAGCATTTAAGTTGGCAAAACGGGAAAATTAGATTGATGGCCTTGATAGCAGATAGCTCAAAATCGGTGGTAAATTGTTCTGGTTGCCAGGTCAAATTTATCCCACTGCACAGGTCTTGGATAATCCGAGATAGTCGCGTATATGTGAGCATAGTTGAATCGGGAATCAGCGCGTAAACGGCCGGAATCATTATTCCATTTTTCATTACATGCAGAGAATAGAGTGAGTGAAACAGATGCGGGACACTCTTAAAACTTCCGACAGAATATACATGATTTGCCTCACACAAGTATTTGAGAAAAGTGTCGGTGGCAAAATCTAATATCTTATCAACACCACCGTCAGAAATTTTATAAAACTTTTCAGTAGAACTTGATTGGAGATTTTCCGGAATGAGTATTTCATCTCGAGTTCGAGATAATGGTGGAAAACGCGAAGAACGAGCATGGCCAATAGTTTTTTGAGCTTGTCAAAAGTTTTTAATCCATTGGCTATTTCATCAGCTGGCAACGAAAGAGATGATAAAACTTTTTCAGTTTCGTCATTGTAAACTGATTTGAGTTTACAATATGATGATTGGCCTGCAATTGACTTGGCTCCATTTTTGTTCAATTTCAATCACTTTTTTAATATTTTGTTCATGATTGTGATCAGATTTTGATTTTAGATCACCAAAAAGTAGATTAATTTTGCCCTTACAATTTTCATTCACACACCCAATAAGAGGTATCGCCTGAGGTTGATCTCTTTCGATAAACATTGTTTTCATAAATTAACAATTTACCACCTTTATTAGATTGCACGTATTTAAGGGAATCACTCATGTTGATCAAATAAAAAATGAGAGAAAATTATTGCAATTCGATCAGTTCGAAAGTTTGATCTAAATTGATTCAGAAAATAGATCTTTAGAAAGTAGAGGAAATAAACCATGAACGAAAATTTCCATTGAAATTCATAAGTAAATTTAATTGTTCTAAATAGTTTAATTTAAACGATTTAATTTTGCTCATTTGACTTTTGCTGTTTTGACTTTTGCTTTTCTGACCCTTTACCGTTTAGCAACGGCCTAAAGTCTTACTAAGAGCATTATGTGAATTGAATCTCCAGGTTTGGGATTATGATTAATTCAATGGATTTCATTGTCTGGTGACGATTTTTGGTTGTTTACTCAATACTAATCAATTCATTTGATTTTTCCTTCAAGCGGCAAAAGAATGCACCTTGGACATACTTTCGAACAGTTCAACAATTAGTTCTGCTGATTCGAGTAACAACAATCAAATACAATTAAAAGTTCATGAATCTACTTATTCAAAGAAAAACGTATCAGAGGTTGGTGGCTTTTCTAAGCAAATCTAGCCGATTAATTAACTGTAAGTATTAATAATTACAACATAATTAGAGTCAATTAATTGTTGTCAAAATGAGAAGGAAAACAATTAATTACTGTTAGTATATTAATATGTTTGTGTTGAAGAGTTAACAAGATGATTTAACATAGAAAACAAAAATCTCCAAATTGCAACAATTTATTTTTGTTTCATTTGACAATTTCCCCAACACTCTTAATAATCATCAATTAACAATCAAATCAATTGGATTAACGATAAATGACAATTCCCCAAGTTTTAGTCTTAAATATAATCCCCATCATGAAACCGTAAACATAAATTGTTGGCAATAGTTAAATTGTACATTTGAAGTAACCTCAAAATCTCAATCATCATAATCATTATGATCACCATTTATTTCAATGATTAATTAATTGTTATCCATTCACTTTTCCCATAGGGTAAATTGGAGGCTGATTTTGAACTGTTAACCCAAGACGAAGCTGATGCTAATCCGGCTGGATTAGCACGAGATCCAACTCAGCCTTTGGATTAGCCTCAGTAAGTTGAATAATCAGATAAGGCGAATGATCAATTCTGTTAATTGTCCAATCAATTCTTCTCTAATCAAATTAGGCAACCTGATACATCGTTCACATGGCTCGCTAATCCGTGGAAATCGTTTCGATACATCATTTGGACTCGACGAAAATTGTTCTTCTTTAAGCTTTTACTTTTCGTTTTCTTTTTGATATTTTTCTATTCTCTACCAGATTACACAGTTAAGAAAATGATTGGAGCTTAATTAACTTCTGATTGTGATCAACTAATTACATTACTCAAGGTCTTCGATGCAGTTATGTATGGACGATAATCTAATGACAACTTTATCAAAAAGCGCTAGTAACAAATTGAGATGAATAAAATACTCAAACAATTAAGATTAATGATTATTGAATTCCATTCACTAATTAATTAGTTCAGTTAACTTCAATCACTTTAACCCGAAGGAAGGAAAAGGATCTAAACAATTAACTGTGGAAATGATTAACTTCGGTAGTATGATTTATCTTAATGATTTTTGTCTGAAAACCCAAAATTAACTAATCGTTAAATGGTTGAGTAAAATTTTTGATTTCTATTTATAATTAATATTAATTGACAATTTAAATGATTAACTTAGATCAACAATAATCATTTGGAGTAATAAGTTTACGGTAAATTAAAAATGTAAACCATTTACCGTTAGGATTTTTGCGTTTTTTGTTTACTTTGGATGATAATTGTTAATTGCAAGGGTTTCCCTTTGAAGATTATGATCAAAGTTAATCACTGATTGTCAATTTTAATTATAATTATCATGTTTTTCATTTTCATCCTTCAAGAATGTTGATCATCATGAAAGAGAGAGAAGATAAATTTTCATCTTTCTACTGTCATGATTTGTTTTTTTGATGAGAATTATTATTTTCTGGAATCGACCCAAAAACAATAACATGTTAGGCATTTTTACACACAAAAGAAGTGGTTAATTACTTTTGAATCAATCAAATTCATTTTACAATTAGTTGGATGACAATTAATCCAATTGAGAGTCAATTATAATATCATATTATAATTGGTATTTGGTTATGTTTGTTTGTTTTTTGCCTTTCAAAGATCTTTCAAATTTATAATTTAGATCTTACAATTTACAGATTTAGTGTTAATAATATTAATAGTTAATAACTGTGTTGTTTATAAATATACATATTAATATATTACTTTCTTATTGTATATATTATTAATTATATTTGTTCCATGTGTGTATGTGGATCCATTTAAATTCATCAGAATCGAAAACCTTTGAATAAGCAATGTCAACATTTCGAGCTGAAAATGATTTAAGAAAAGATAGTCACATAGAGAGTGAAACTGGATGGTAATGGTGGTGGTGGTGGTGGTGTGGGTATAGATGGTGTGAGTTTATGTGAGGAGGAAGAGGACAAAAAATAAATATTGATTGATTGGCATTACTTGTGAAAAAGATATATACCAAAAATCAAATGTGAGTGTAAATTGTTGAAAGTTAACTTTTGACATTCAATTTGGTAACAGGGTATGTTGATTGACATTCTGATTGAGATAAAGTAAAAGTGATGAGAAGTTATTATCAATTCAATTTCAATTGGCTTGGTTTCTCCTTTATCCCAAGGTATCGGGTTCACTTGGTACGAGACTTTTATCAATTTATCTCTTTGGTTGTGTGATTACCATCAACATCATCTCATTGGTATTTTAAATGAGCAACAAGTTTGTGCGACATGTTTGAATTATCGGGCATTAGAAATTTTCTCAATTAACAATAACCTTAATTTAGATAAGGTTCAACGTGCATATCATAATGACATTTGTGATAATGACACTTATGTGGTGTCATCGATGAGCCTCTGGAAGTGTACATGGGGATTGGTTCATCGATTACTGGTCGTTCATAAGCTCGAATTGACATATTATGATGACTAGGATAAATTGGATAAGGTGGCAGAGGGTGAGTGGGTGGAGGTGAATATAAACGAGCTGGTGTTCCTCCACCAGCGGATGATCTATGATCATGAGGGGGATAATTTCTTTCTCTACCATAATAATCTGCTTCGTAGTAAATTTTTCTTTCATAGGCTCTATAATCATCTTGATAGTAAGGTGAAGAGTAACCTCCATATAAACGTCCAGGCGGTAGTGGCGGTGGTGGAACAGATGATGGTGGAATTTGATTGTTTACAAGAGGACGTAACGGTGGTAATGGCACAGAGTGTGGTAGTGGAGGTGGACCTAAACTTGTTCTATGGTTGATAAAAGGTTCACGGTGATACGGAGTGTGACTATGGATACGAGATCGAATACCTTTAACCATGCGAGAAGAACCTTTGGCTCGACCTAATGTCCCAGGTTCAGGATGAACTTTACTCGTAGAGAACTAAAAATAGACATAAAGAGGAGAAAAGTCGATGAGAAAAGCATTGATTATACTTATAAGTAAATATATATCAGAAAGAACTAATCAAGTAAGCCACTCGTATCTTCCACAACGCACTAGAAAAAAGGGGGAATAAGTAGGAAGAAAAGTGAGAGAGAATGTCTCCCTAAAGATGCAAAAGGATGATCCAAGAGGGAAGAGGATGAAGATAAGGATGAAAAGATGAAGATGAGATGGAGAAGAGGAAATACGACACCTTTCTTTTCCCCCATGAATGTTTTTTCTAGTTTGTTGCGGAGGAGGGAAGAATCATGGAGAGAGAGAATAAAGTGGATGAAGATAAATATATGTTAGGACGAATTGGTGTAAACAAGCCATTTTTATCTATTTTTGGCGCAAACCTTTCCAACGGTCAGATGTGTAAAAATCCATCAACTTTCACCGAATAGATTATAAAGATTAACATTTTTTCTGCGATTTAGGTAACGTCATGGTGAAAAAATCTTTCCGGGTAATCAAATACGCATATATTAAGTCGGAGAGATTCATGTCTTCTTTTGACAAATCGAGAAACGGATCATCTCATTATGAGTGAAACTGATTAGGGTTTAAAGAGGGAGAGACGAAGATTAAGGTGGATTTTGTGGTGGTGGTTTTCGCTTGATATTATGAAACAAGAGGGAGAAAGAGTCTCCAAATAATTTAAATTGGCTTCTAAAGTGAGAAAGAAGGAGAGAGAGAGAGAGATGGAGAGAGGTAGGAAGAGAAGGAAAAATATGAAAACAACAATTTTTTGTACCTCAACAGTTAATACGGATCCCATGAAAGAATATCTGTTCAGTTTTTTGACACACTCTTCAGCCTCCTCAGACTTGCTCATATGCTTTTAAACATCAATGGAAAATGATGATCACCATGATGATGTAGATGATGGTAAAAGCAGCAACGGGGTTCAGTAAGTAGTAAGGTTAAAATTGGGATGATATGGAAGGAGAAAGAGAAATAGAAAGAAAGAAAAACGGTGAGAAAAAAATCAAGTGATCAATCTGATTCATGATAATGTTAAGCTCTAAGGAAAATAAGATGGCGGAAACGTATTTTTCTTCGCAAAGGAAAGAAAATGTTCCAAAAAACAGGCGTGACATTTGCAACAGAGAAATAATTGAGAAGAGAGATAATTGTGAAATCTGACAAACTGTCATTACGATACTTACCACAAATCCATATCTACCGACTACATCACATTCTTTTACTTGTCCATACTTTCTGAACAAATCTTCGAGTTGATTTGATGTACAGTTATCAGGTAAACGTCCGACGAAAAGTTTTGTTCTCTGAAAAATTATGGAGAAAAACAAAGGTGTGAATGGATATATGGATGAGATAATCCAAAGAGATTAATGGAAGCCAAGATTGAAAGGGTTTAGAACAGTTTAACATACTGGAACATAGAGATGATTGTTATTGTTGTTGGTGTTTTGATTTGGTAAAGATTGTTCGGTGGTTTGAGATGAGAATGGAGATGACAAGGAAGATGAAGACGAAGTTGATGATGATGAGGATAATGATAATTGAGATGGTTGTTGTTGATGAGATAATTGTTCTTGATGATGATGATGATGATGATTAGTTACTTCATCTTGATGTATCACTGAATGTTTTTGTTGGTCAACAAGTTGAGAATGGTGATCATTAGTATTTTCTAATGATTGTGTGAACAATTGATTGATAACAACTGACTGAGAATCGAAACATTGGTCATCAGTTGTGCCAACATCATGATGATTTAAGTGATTACTACTTGAGTAATTGTCACTTTCTCCCGTCTGTAAGAAATTAGAAACGAAATAGAAAACAAAAATCAAAATTTTGCTGGAAAAAACATTCTACAAATAGAACAAAAAATCAGCTTAATTTATCTCGAAAATTTTAAGTTAATAATAATAATTAATCGATTTTAAAATCCTATGGAAAGACAAAAGTTAAGAAAAGAACTTTTGTCTATTTAACGAAATCTCATAGTTTTTGTCTGATCGCAATTAGAAAAATTAATTGTCAACTTACCTGACCATTCATTGTGAGTTGAAAAGAACAAAAAAATTAAAACAAAGAACACGAAAAACACACAAGTTGACCAACACCAAAAAAGAACAAACAAAAGATGGAAAATGACAGCAAAAGAACAATCCAGTATCCGAAAGGTGGAAAGTGTTTGGTGGTGACACTAATCAATTCTGATTATCACAAGTTGACAAAAGCGTTACCAATAGGGTGATCATCTGATAAGATTGAATCCATCTTTTGATTGGTTGGTAAATGTAAATCACAAGAGAAAAGAGTCAGGAGAAAAGAAAAAAGAAAAAATTATAAGAGAATAGAAAAAAAAGTTGATTCCAACAAAGAGGTAAAAAAGAAATTAAATGTCGGCCAAGAGAAAGAGAAAATTCTCTTGACTTAACAGGAAATGAGGAAAATATTGATAAGGAAAATGGCGTATCAACGAGAGTTCACAGAAGAAAATGAACAATTAATTATTAGCAGTTAATTAATTCCACTAGCAACTAATTGCAAAGAGAAACATTTAAATTGTGATTGTGATTTTAAGTTAGAGAAACAAGAAAAAAAAGCTTACCTGTTGATATGGAGGAAGTTAAATTAATGTTGAGGTGATTAAAATTTGATTCTCCAATTAGATTTTTAATCAGTAAGATGATGTTAATTAATTCTTTCGCAATAAATTGGAAGACAAACTCAATTAAATGATTAGAAAAGAGAAAAAAATTAACTTAATTGTTAACGTTCTCGAGTCAAGAAACTAACGATTAATAAACAGAGAGACAAAGAGAGAGAAAAGAAAGAAAATTTTTGTTCTTTCTTTTATTCCAATTGTGCTGCCATCTCTTGGTTGGTTTGGTAATCTCTCGAACTTATGGTAAGACAATTAACTAATTAATCATTGATTACCAATTAAATTGTAATCAATTTATGAGTCGGCCTTTTTTGGAAATAAATCTACATGGAGGAAGGAAGGAAGATTGTGGAAATTAATGACTTGATTGTGATGATAACCTTTTATAGCCATTGATATGAGAGTTAATTACAGTTAATTTAATTGTGATTAGAAAACAAAAAGTTAATTTGATCAATTTTATTTCATTTTATAATTTAAATTTTAATTGGCACAAGAATAGTTGTGAAAAAAGACTTGTGATTCAACACTAATTGTTGTGAGAAAGGAAATTAAACTTCATTAATTGAAATTGGAGTTAATTGTTGACTATCTGTTAATTTACAGTGACAATTAAGATTATCGCATTGATTATAATCATTAATTGACAATTTAGTATTTAGATTATTAAATTGATCATGATTGTTTTGATCATCGTAATTTGAATCAACTGAAGAAGCCAATGAAGTAATTAATTGTTGATTAATTAGTAAAGGTTTCTGCTCATTGTAATTGGATTGATTTGATTGTGAATTAATATAATTAAGTTGATCAATTGATTTAGATGACAATCTACTTGGATCAAGGATAATTGTTGTAACTGGTTTATTTAACTTTTCATCTGATTGTCCAATATCAGCTGAATTAAATTGCAGATTAACTGGATTAGGAAGGTTAATCCAAGATGGTGATGATGTTGATTTACAAATTGTTGATTCTTCAGTTGATTTAATTAAATTATCATGTTGATGAAAGAAACGATTAGATTTATCAATAAAATAAGAGGTTAGACATTTAATTGTAACAATTAACAGACCAATTGATGTGAAAATTAATCCAAGGGTAGTGATTGGTGTTGTCACTGATCCTGAAAGGATTGCACTAATTAAGAGGATAATTAATCCAATACCAATTATAAAAATCGCAATTACTGTTAATCCAGTTGATTGTTGATTTAATTTTTTCATCTCCCGATATTTAGCTGAATCAACACCTCGATTATCATAGTAAATGATTCCAGTTGATTCGTAGGGATGACAATTAATATGATGATGATAGTTATTAGAATAATAACCATTTAGATGATTAGCTAATTGCTGTTGATTTTGCTGTTCACTAATTGCTGATCCAAATGATAATATTCCAGGGTGAAAATTGTTAACATTTTGATCTTGATTAGTTTTATTTCCAGCTAACAATAAGGATTCACGTTTACGTTTACGTTTCAATGCAAAGGCCCCACCGATCATGATTAACTGTCCAAATTGGTCAACAATTAACTCTTTGAATTAACGGTGATCACAGAAATAGTAATAAAATTTGCTCATTGATTAGTTTAAACTAATTATCATACAAGTTGTAATTACATCTCATTGTGGTAAATAAGGTGATGGTTGGTTGTTAGAGTTAAACAATCAACTAATCATTAGCATGATAAAATAGAAAGTGATTCCAACATTATTTTTATCAGTTTATGATTAACTATTGGGTTGACCAGAATTATTGATTAACTTGATTATTACTGAATTCCGTTATTGATTTGAGCCCTGGGAGTGGGTTCAGTTTCAATGTGGGAGGATGATTAAGATAATCAGAATAGAATTAAGGAATTAATATTGATCATCAGTTATTGTTGGAGATCGAAAATCGTGAATATGATGATTATCGTTTTTGTTAATTGTTGATGACAATTTTCAACTTGACCTTCAATTGATTAACTGATTCAGATCGATAGAAATTATTTTCTCACCTCTCTTTTTACTATGATTTCGTAATTAACTCTAGTTGATTGATTATTGACAGATTCATCGATCAGGTTTATTTTGAGTGCTAAGCAATTGATCTTACGATATAATTAAGACCTTTATGACTCGATTTTTCTCTTACATTTTTGTCACGAATCCATGTCAAAGGTCATGAGATTGTGCTGAAGTGAAATTTCACTCACTTCAAACAGTTTGAAAATGGAAGTTGTGTTGAAAGAATTGAATTAGAATCTAAGCAAATTTGTGCCGTTCGATTGATGAAATATATCGATGGAATTGTTTTAGAAAAAATTGATTATGATGCTGATATTTTGTACGAAATCGGCTCAGTTGTTGATCGTTTGTCGTTAATTATGAAGGTAAAATAATAGAGCGATTTGATTGTTAACTTTCGAATAAATTTGTTTTTCTCGATTTTATCCCGACAATTATCTTTGATCCAAGTAGATTGTCATCTAAATCAATTGATCAACTTAATTATATTAATTCACAATCAAATCAATCCAATTACAATGAGCAGAAACCTTTACTAATTAATCAACAATCAATTACTTAATTTGTTATTATATGACTCTTGATTCTCTGATCATAAAGTGACACATGAAGAAACAGAAAATCAGAGAAATGGGAAAAGGTAATTGGTCGAAATGAACTTTGAGGTTGAGTATTCAACTCTTGCGTCCTTCAACAATTGCCTTCTTCTTTCAAGGTCAAAAACCTTGTCAAAACCTCTTAATGACGTAGCAGCCCAATATCCTTGATCGATATTTGCAACAACATTCAATAATCCAACGTTTCTTTCAATTACTGGTGTTATAAACGAATGCCCTGGGTAATAATGGTAAGCTATGCTAATAACAGAGCACTCGATAGAGTATTGATACTTTAATGTCCAATTCAAAATGTGTTGCAATCGGTTGGTCAAGGTTCTTCGTAGTATATTCATAAAAACCTTGAATTGGAACGAGTCGATTTGATAAACCGATGAATGGAAAGTATGTTGACCAGAAAATGAACAAGAGTAAACCAAATTTACTCTTAATCAACAATAGAAACTTTTGGAGTCGAGATTGTTCAGTATTTCTATTTCAGTTCCATGTATCGAATATGATAAGTTATGAGCATTAATCTCTTGTCTGTTGAACAAAATAAATGAGAAAAGCTCTGTTGAGGCGAAAGTGTTCAAATCATACGTTGAATTCAATCTAATGAATGATGAGTTTGGTCAAGTTCTCTCATAATACAAGATAATGTTTTCATATAAACGTATCTTAATAATATCGAAATGCTTTTATTCTAATCTGTGTCTGCACAATATTCGAAGATCTCTTAGATTTTCCAAACAGTAGCCCACGATTGCTGACTTTCTTGGTAAGATATTCAGCGATAAAAACAGTGAATGCAAGAATATTAAGTGATACATGAAGATACAGAAAGTCAGAGAAATTAGAATCGTTAATTGGTCGAAATGAACTTTGAGGTTGAGTGTTCAGATTTTCGAGATGCCAACATTGTGAATATTGTTTTCTTATCAAAGGACCAAAAATCTTGCTAAAAGCTCGATCTGCAGTAGCAGTCCAATATCCTTGATCAATACTTGCGTATAAACATTTAATAATCCAACGTTTCTTATGAGGATTCTTGGTGTTATAAAAGATTGTCTTTTGCTCCTCATAATACAAACTTGTACTAGTATGGAAAAGAAAATCATTTTCTTTATTGTTTAATATCTTTACAGTACAGAATCGCAATAATACGTTTTGTACTAAATCGCTTGATTCAAAATGTGTTAGAATTGGTTTGCCAAGATTTTTTGCAACATATTCTTCAAAATCAGCATATTTCACAGGAACGAGTGAATTTGATAAACCAAATGATTCATTTGCTCGATACATACATATCAAGTTTATAAAAGCAGAACAATTGACTCTAGGGTGTGAATTTAGGTCAGACCATTTGTTGACTGGTGGTGGTCGAAGTGCTATCGAGTATTCAGTTGTGAACGATGCTGAAAATAAATGGAAAATGTAATGACCAGAAAATGAACAAGAGAAACAAGAGTAAACCAAATTTACTCTTAATAAGCAATAGAAACTGTCGGAGTCGAGATTGGTCAATATTTTCATTTTCATTTCCATTGGTCGAATATGATCTCATGAAATATATCACCAAGCCAAGAATAATCAACAACGAGATGAGAAGGTAAACAGAATAATCGATGATCTCAAATGAAGATAGAATTCCCTTGTTAATTGAAGGGACAGACGAGTTTGGATAGATACTCATGAAGACACAATAACTACTCATTACTACTGGACTCATGGATACATCGGTAATCCATAAATGAACTCTCTTATGAAGTTTTCTTTAAACATCAGGTCATAATTTTCCTGCGAAGAAGCTAAAACATAAAGTCGATTTTGACGGTTTGCCGTGAGAAAAATTTCTATTGGAATGTGGCCTAAAATATTGGATAAAACAAAGAATCTAGTTCTCTGGTAAGTCGAGGAATAGCTGTTTCAGCAGCCGTGAATAAAATTTTAAAAGGATCTTGAGTAAAGTTCATTTTCTATTCGAAGCTCGGAACGAACAAATTTAAAGTAAAACTTCGACGTGCAAATTAAAGAACAAGATGAAATGAACGAAATGGAATCATTCTAATTATAATTTCTTTTGTTCAATTTGAAAAAGTTTTGTTCTCTCAATGATTTTCTGGTAAAATTCATTTTCCATTGTATTGATTGAGTTACCATCTAAACCATTTCCTACTAATGAAAGAAGATCACCTAATGATTGAATTTATTATGATTGATTTTGATTTTCGCATGATCGATAATCTAAGTTTTGCACTAAATATCGAATTTCAGCTTCAATTCTAAATTAGATCTTCTCAACACTCGAAACTCTTCACGATTTTCTTCTAAATAAATAGTAGAATTTTACTCTTTGCTTTGGAAGTTAGATTTTCATTCCATAACAATATAATTAGATTATTAAATCTTTTTCACACAAAATGATAATGTTTTTCAATCGAATGGTTTTTGTCTGTTGAACAAATTAAATGAGAAAAGATCTGTTGAGGTGAAAGTGTTCAAATCATACGTTTAATTCAATCTAATGAATGATGAGTTGTTTACAATGAAGAAAATGGTCCAGAAATCGATGAACTATCACGATGAACGATGGTTGAAATGTCTTGAATTCCTTTCCGATCTATGGAAACAAGGTGGTTTACTTAATTGTCGATTAAATTGTGAGACATAAGCTTCATCTCGATCAGTGTATCGATCCTTGAATTCATTGCCCAATTGAGCGAGAAATGAAGAAGATTCTGATTGATACAGTTCATCATTTTGAAAAGAATCTGAAGACATCATGAAGAATCAAATGAAGGAATCACAATTAGAATGAAGCAATTGATTAAAATGATAATTAGCAGGAGGACCGTAGTAAAAGGCAAAAAAAAGGCAAAAAGAAGCAAAAAAGAGCTAAAAGACAAAAACACTTTTTAAATTCAATTTTTTTTACTTATATTTAATTTTTACGATTTGAAGATGAACTCAGGTCAGTATATGTGGTCAAAGCATCGATAAAAAATTAGATTTTTAGTTGAAATTGAATAAAAAAGTATTCATAAATTGACGTTCAAACTTCGCGCATCAAAAATCAGAAAAATTGAATTATTTTGAGATTTTGGTGATTATTGTTTTGTTTAAGTGTTATTATTGTCAATATTTCGTCAAAAATTCAGAATAAAATGTCCTGAGGCTCTTTCACTTCAATTCTACTTGATTGTGGAGAATTTTGGACCTTTTTTGCTCTTTTTGCCTTTTTTTGCTTCTTTTCGTCTTTTTGTCTTTTACCACGGTCCTTAGCAGGAAAAGATAAACATCAGCTGATTTTTTATTTTTCTTTTTAGTTTCTATTTAATCCACTAGATGGAATATGAGTGAATTCTAATTGAAGATATTAACTTAATATTATTAAGAGACGAACCCTCATTTCCTTCATTTCCGTTTCATGTGCAAATAATTTTCTTAGTTTTCAATTAATTTAATTTAATTTAATTTAATTATCTTTTTTTTGGTGAGTTCGAACAAGTTTCGTGGTCAAAACCTTAAGTAAGTAGTTTATTCTATTTGTTTGTATTTGTCTTCATCTTTCTCCTGTCAAGTGCTCATCTCATTTTGTATTTTGTTTTCTTTTTCTTTGTAATAGAAGCGTTACTTGAGTTACACTTTTGGCCACTCGGTGAAATTCAATCCTTCTATTGATGATATTTCTGGTATTTTATCATCTGTTGGTATTGAGGTTGACAAAGAACGAGCCACTAAGGTTATCGCTGAATTGAAAGGAAAAAATGTTGCTGAATTGATCGCTGCTGGTAAGTTGTAGTGATAGTTGTTGATACTTTGAAATGAGAAAGTAATTTTGTAGATCAAAAATTGATTAATTGGTTTTTTCTTCTATTCTTTTCTCTTTAGGTTCTACTAAACTTGCTTCAGTTCCTTCTGGAGGTGGAGGAGGTGGTGGTGCCGCTGCTCCATCCGGTGATGCTGCTAAAGGAGATTCACCAGCCAAAGAATCAAAGAAGAAGAAAGAAGAAGAAGAGGAAGAAGAAGATGACGACATGGGTTTCGGTCTATTCGATTGATCTCATCATTTACTTATCACTCAAAATTCTGTTTTTCTATTCATGAGAACGATAGTATTATTTATAAATATGATCGTTAGATAAACTATTGTTGATAAAAATTCAAACATCTATAACAAATTAACTTTATTTACTCTACTCAATTAACAAAAATTGTGATTGGACCGAAAATGAAAACATTTCTTGTCTTGAGAGAAATCATCTTTACCTCATCCTTGATCCATAATCAAGTAAACAAATCGATCAACAATCAATGCAAAAGTTATCCAATGTTAGTGTGAGATACAAGTGAACTAGTTAATAACTCATCTTGACAATGAAGATTAATATTCCTAATTAGATGTTTGGTCTTTCGATAAGTTTATCAAACTCTATTTCCCATTCTCTCGACTTACCCAATGAATTACCAAACATCAAATCGAAATATTGAGTTTTCCATCTTGCAGATGAAATAATTTCTCATAAGTTATAAACATTTAATACTTTAAATATATTTCGTACTATATAATTACATTTTTCGGTGGATGAACAAATTTATATAAAATTATGATAAAGATTAACTCGTTTACAGATAAGCTAATCTTATTAGAAAAATTAAGAATAGAAACATTTTCTATTAAATGAGAAGCTTTGAGAATCAATTTAAATTAAAGGTTCCAATGGATAATTGTGATAAAAATCAATGATGAAAGGTAATTTACAGGAAAAGTGATAGTTGGATCAACGCAACAATTGAAACAAATCAAAGGATTTTCAATGATCAACAATTTGATGGAAATGAGTTAATCCTCACAACCTATTTGACTGAAATCAAATTACTCTTTGATTGTTATTATTAAATATCTAAATTGTTGTAACCTTGAGAAGCGTAACGTTGACGATCTCTTGACATACTGATGATTAGATTTTCTCGTTCATGATAAATGGATAACTTTCGTCCAGCTAGAACCAATAGAAGAACCCAAGAAACGAACAATGTCCAAATACCAAACTAATAGAATAGAAAATGACAGAAAGAGAAAGGTGAAAATGGAGAGAATATTTTTACATGAGAATTGGAAATTTACCTGAACAGTTCCCATTTGAATAAAGAAATTGGTTGTGTTAATTTCTTGATTATCTTGAGTGATATGAAGAATTCCTTGTCCAGCTTCACATGAACTGAATCTCTGTGAAACTGAGCTACACCATCGGGAAAATCCACTGGTCACAAAAATAGCATCAAGAATGGTCAACCCAACGAATACAAAAGCAATAACAGTGTCCCAAAAGGCTGAAATGAAAGAACTGAAATAGAAAACAATCCAATTAATCTCCATTTCATTTAACCAATTGTCTGGTTCTCTTCCTTACCTGTCGACACCTTTTCTTAGGAAATGTGACATTCTGATTAATTGTGCTAAGGAAACTAGAACGATAGCTGCAGATAGAATTGCCGTGTAAGTACAATATCCACAAGAGGCCCATGTAGGTGAAATCTCCGTGTCAAGAAAACGCGAAGTATAAAGTAAACAATTTCCTTTGAAATTTTTCATATTTACAATCAACGGAATTAAAACACAAAAAGATAAAATAAACGAAACAAGATAACCCGCGATCTGAGTTAATAGAAGAACATTTCCAATGGCCATGATTGAATTGGTTTCTTCAATTAACCATCAAAAGAAAAACAATCAATTAAAACAACAAAAGCTCAATTCTAATTGTGAGAATATCAAATTAATCAAAACAGAAAAAAATGTAAACAAAAAATTCTATTTCTCATTATTGCCACTAGATGGAGATAGAATTTCATTTTGTTACTTTTCAAAAGAATTGAAAAATTAATGTTAATCATCATGAGACAATTTGTGATAATTAGTTAATTAGTTAAACATGTTCAATTGTTCATATCACTTTAATTACTTGGTATCCAATAGATTAGATCTCAGACTAGTTGAATCATCAGATTGTGACCTCATAATTGATAGAATGCCTTTTGGATTTAATTAAACACTGATTTACATTTCCAATGGTTTCAAATTCAAACAATTAGTGATAATCATCTAATCATTTGATTTTGTAATAAACAACAATAGTAATTAAACGTGTTGATTATTTAGCTTCTACTCATCGGCAATTATTTCAATTGTAAAATTAAAGAGTTGATTATGATGCTAATTGTTATGATCAAGATAGTGAATGAAAAAAGCGGCAATTATATAAATTGAATCAAAATTTTTCTTGGCAAAGTTTTGTTTTAATTAATTTTTTGTTTTTATTTGATTTAAATTGTTTCAATTATCAAACACAGAAAATGACATTACATAATTATCAAAGAAGATTATTACTTAATAATTTCTCATGAAAGTGGAAAGAAAAGTCAATTATTGTGAGATGATATAAAAAAATGACCAATGGTCAATAAAGAGATGAAAAAAGTATAACAAATCATGAGAGTTATTGAGATAAATACAAGAGGATTCCCATCGGTGGGTATTTATCAAGACATTTATGACCCCATAGAAGTTGATGATAACAATTAAGATGATGATGAGTACATTATTTGCTTCAGGTAATCAAAAGACAACGATGTCTAAGATGTTGAACCAGTGGAAAAACTTATGGCCACTCGAAATTGGGTCTTGGGTGTTCGTAATTTTCATAATCGAATTGAGAAAAGAATCTTGAACTTCGATGATCCCAATCTTGCCAAGGTTCGGCTGGTGGGTTCCTGTGAATGGTCAGAAAGGACAATGGAGATCGAACATTATGGACTAGAGCAGTTGAAGCCATCGAAATCGGAAGAACAGTGGTAATTATACCAGCGGGAATTATCCAGGAGTTTCGACGAACAACTCGAGCAATTGAAGCCATGATTAATCAGATGATTTCGATTAAGATGAATGGAAAAGGAAGACACAAATTAGAGGAAAGATTTTAAACTTTCAAATTGATTGAGATTACGAATTGAATGTTGATTGTAAAAAGTAAAGAGAAATTTGATTGTTATTGTTAGAAAATGGAATTAGAATTGATTGTTGATGTTTGTTGGTTGAATGTTCGAACTCGAATGGATTGATTTCTATTGTTGATCTCCTTTTTAAAGGAAAATCACTAACCCACCTCACTGAGGTTCTCACTTTCTCCTCAATGAATATCTGCTTTCGATCACGTACACATCCAGGCTTTCACTTTCTTCTCATCTCATCCTCTCTCTTTAGGTTAACTTTCTCTTTCTTTCTGTTTATCTTCTTCTCTCTTTTGGCCTTCAATCGAAAATCACGTGATGTAAACAAAACTTTTTTCTTTATATTTTTGTTTGTCTTCTAAAAGATTTTCTCATTACGTGATCATTTTACACCTTTGACTTGATCATTTTCCACAAATCAACATTAACTATCAACATTTCCATTGATTTTATCATCTTAATAGTCTCAACCTTTAACCTCACTGCTACTAATCTACTTCCTGGTCACTTGATCACCTTATCTCTCTTTGGTTATGGTTTACTATGGATTAAAATAGTAATGGGTTTACCTTCAAGGCGAAAATGTTACTTTTTTTCAACACAATTTGTTACTTTCAACCAACTCGTTTCCATTTCAATTCTTCTACCTTGATTCTCTTCAGAATTGATCGATTGTAAGTGCTACTAATTCACCTTCAATTTCTCTTTCACTGTAAATAATTATCTCCATATGTTCAAATATCAAAACAATAGATAAGTATCATAATTATATTCTCTCTCTTTCTCTCTTTTCACTTTCAAAAGAAAAGTTCTATTTCTTTTTTTCTTTCTTCTTCCTCTCTGTTACAGTTCATTCACCTTGATATTTTTCTCATTTTTATATTCACAGAGAAGAAGAAATCAAAACTCCTTCCCTTTCTTTTCTCTCTTTTCTCTCTTTTTCTCTCTTTCTAGTCTTTCTGGTTCCTTAACCAAAATTACGTGATCTTCATCATTCCTCTTCTAATATCATCCCCTAACCTTAAGTATCTCTTGCTCTCTCTATGACAAGGTCATCAAGGTTCTTTATTGCCAAAAATAGAATCTAAAATATACAAGGAAAATCTTTTCCATTGCTTTTCCATTCTAATTGCTATTAGTTTATTTTCCATTGATACTTTACCTTAATAACTTTTTCTAGGAAAAGTTGACCTAATTACCGAAAGAGGAGTAACAATTTGCATTGTGTAATAATTGTTTACGAAATGATAACCAATATGTTCAAGCATCTGATTATATGTTTACGTGATAAATTACTTTCACTATTTACTAATAACAAGTTTACTCTTTCCTTGCCTGTAAGTAATTAAATAAATGATCGGTTAGCCTTGGATGGTAAACAATAAGACAGGTAAACATGAAATCGATCACGTAGTCTTTTGTTTTTACTTTATAATCGTAACTGTTATTGTGAATCGAGTTGATTGTTCAATAAATATGGAAAATAAGTTAAAATTACAAATGTGATAAAATCACTTTGAGGCCAAATGAGGAGCCTCTGTTGTTTTTCATTGATCTTCGCTTACTTCAGTTGATAATTTACCTTCATTTTAATCAACAGTTTCGCAATAAGCATTGGTACCTCATTCTAAGCCTCAATTCAATTAAATGCTCATGGACGACGATTGTTAACTTTTACCGTTTTTCTATTTTCTTCCTCAATTGAATATTGATAACCAATTTTCAGGGAAATTTCACTAATCTGTTGAGAGATAAAAGTCTTGTAACTTTAGTGAGAACCGTTCGTTTCGTTTTAAAATAAAATCATTTGAAATTCTGAACGATGGCGACGCTTTAGATTCCGATTTAGAGAATTGAGTTTATTGATATTTGAATTCATAATCTCATACATGTAAATGTGAAGAAAATTTTATACTTTATAGTTTAATCTGTGAAATTTTTGCTTCGCTTAGATTGCTAACGATTTCCAAGTACCATTGGACCTCGATTGGTGAATTTCATGGTGAAATATTCTATAATAAAGACAATGAATGCAAGAATAATGAGTGATAAATAAAGATACATAAAATCAGAGAAGTTGGAAAAGGTAATTGGTCGATATGAACTTTGAGGTTGAGTATTCAGCTTTTCGTAGCGCCAGCATTGTGGAATCGTTCCAGCATTTGGACCAAAAACCATTTTGGCACTTCGATCAATAGAGGGAAACCAATATCCCTGTTCAATAATCGCATATGAACATTTGATGATCCAACGTTTCTTATATCGATTCGTGGTGTTAAAAAAAAGTGACGATTGCTGCTCATAATAGAGATTTGAACCAATATTGTAAATGAAATCGTTAGTCTTGTTGACTAGATTCTTTACAATACAGAACTCTTGTAAAAAGGGTGATATGAGGTCGTTAATCCCGAAGTGTAACACGATTGAATTATCAAGCGTTTTTGCGAAATATGGATGAAGGTCGTTCACACTGATGACAGTGAGTGGACTTGACGAGCCGAATGATTCATTTACTTGTTGAATGCATAAGTCTTGTGCTAAAATAGCGCCATTGACTCCGGGATGTGAATTTAGGTCAGACCATTTGTCCACTGGCGGTGGTCGAAGGGATATCGAGTATTCAGTCGTGAACGATGTTGAAAATAAATGGAAAATGTAGTGACCAGAAAATGAACAACAAAGAAACAAGAGTAAACCAAATTTACTCTTAATCAGCAATAGAAACTTTCGGAGTCGAGATTGGTCAATATTTCCATTTTCAGCTCCATGTATCGAATATGATCTCATGAAATATATCACCAAGCCAAACATAAACGATAGCGAGATGAGAAGATAAACGGAATAATCGATGATCTCAAATGCAGATAGAATTCCCTTGTTAATTGAAGGGGTGGTCGAGTTTGGATAGATACTCACGAAGACACAATAACTACTCTTTACCACTGGACCAATGACCACATTGGGCAATTCTTGCGGAAATCCACTTATAAATTGCTCAGGATATACCAGGTCATAATTGCCCGATAAAAAACGATAGTCAATGACGTTTGATGTTACAGGGACAAATGAAAATTCTATCGCAAAAGTGTTTAGAATATTAGATAACATGGCGAAATGAAGTCTCTCCGTTATTTCAGATGTATTGTGACGAACGAAGAGAACTCTGAAAGGATCGTGAGTGAAGTTCATTTCTATTCTGACTCACGATTGGAAATGAATGTCCATTCTATTGAGGGTTTTGTTAACTTTGAAAATTTTTCGAAAAGTTAATTTGTTTCTCTTTAGATTATGTATTTGGGACATTAGTACATTTTAAATCTATTATCATAATCGAATTGTCATCTAACACTTTTTTCATTTCACATTAATGAAAGAAAAACACCAAATGAATGAAATGCTTTTACTCGGATTAATTTTAAATTGTCTTATTATGATCGATAATTTTACAATTGTGAACCTTTTTCGAATTATCAAAAAAAACTTTATTCTAATGTAATAAGTTTATTAAACGCTCGAGGCTTGCGAAACTCCTTTAAAATTTATATCGATGGTTTCACAACATTGTCATTAAATAAACAGACTGTTCTATGAAAGTGAAAGGATGAAAGTGTAGCGAAAATGGAGTCAATTAAGAAAATGGTCCAGTAAGTTATGAACATATCATGATGGTGAAATGTCTTGAATTCTTATACAATCAATGGAAACAAGGTCATCTACTTAATTCTCCATCAAAACCATAACTTACGCTCGGTGCTTACAATTACCTGAAGGATCCAAATTACGAGTATCATTTTAAATTTGATTCAAGAGATTGGAAAATCTTGGAGCAATTAGATTCCGGTGGAGTTGGTGAATTAGAGAATTGTGAAAATAATACTTCTTTATACAGTAGTTTATATTTCAGTTGTAAACTGTATGCTGTCTATTGAAATAAATCGAGACGGGATCATTTAGAGTCGTTTAATCATCCAATTTTTGTGAATAAAAAAACACCGAACCGAAATGAGAAGAAAATTTTCGATTATTCAAATTTTAAGTTTTTAATTGATAGAATTTCTGCTAAAATTAGCTAGTTAAAGGTTTTAAGTGACAAAGGATTAGAAAAATTTTATTCTTTAACTTTTAATCTCTGAAACTGTTGCTCCATTCAGCTTGCTAACGATTCCCAACACATCAATTCTTGAATTTCGTGGTAAAATATTCAATGATAAAAACAAAAAATACAAGAATATTAAGTGATAAATAAAGATACAGAAAATCAGAGAAATTGGAAAAGGTAATTGGTCGATATGAACTTTGAGGTTGAGTATTCAGCTTTTCGGAGCGCCAACATTGTGGAAATTGCGTTCTCGCATTTGGACCATAAACCATCTTGGCACTTCGCTCAATAGAGGGAAACAAATATCCTTGCTCAACAATTGCATATGAACATTTGATGATCCAAAGTGCCTTATATCGATTTGTGGTGTTAAAAAAGAATGACAATTGTCGTTCATAATAGAGATTTGAACCAATATTGTAAATAAAATCGTTAGTCTTGTTGGCTAGATTCTTTACAATACAGAACTCTGCTAAAAATGGTGATATGATGTCGTTCATCTCGAAATGTAACACGATTGACTTATCAAGCGTTTTAGGAAAATATTCATAAAAGTCTTCAGTGGTGACGACAGTGAGTGGACTTGACGAGCCGAATGATTCATTTACTTGTCGAATACATAAGTTTTGTGCGAAAATAGAACAATTGACTCCGGGATGTGAATTTAGATCAGACCATTTGTCCACTGGTGTTGGTCGAAGGGATATCGAGTATTCAGTCGTGAACGATGTTGAAAATAAATGGAAAATGTAATGACCAGAAAATGAACAACAAAGAAACAACAGTAAACCAGATTTACTCTTAATTAGCAATAGAAACTTTCGGAGTCGAGATTGGTCAATATTTCCATTTTCAGCTCCATGTATCGAATATGATCTCATGAAATATATCACCAAGCCAAGAATGAACAACAACGAGATGAGAAGATAAACAGAATAATCGATGATTTCGAATGCAGATAGAATTCCCTTGTTAATTGAAGGGACAGACGAGTTTGGATAGATACTCACGAAGACACAATAACTACTCTTTACCACTGGACCAATGGATACATTTGGCAATGTTTGCGGGAATCCGCCTATAGATTGCTCAGGATATACCAGGTCATAATTGCCCGATAAAAAACGATAGTCAAATGTTACAGGGATAAATGAAAATTCTATCGCAAAAGTGTTTAGAATATTAGATAAAATGGCGAAATGAAGTCTTCCCGTTAGTTCAGATGCATTGTGACGAACCAAGAGAACTCTGAAAGGATCTTGAGTGAAGTTCATTTCTATTCTGACTTACGATTGGAAATGAATGTCCATTCTATTGAGGGTTTTGTTAACTTTGAAAATTTTTCGAAAAGTTAATTTGTTTCTCTTTAGATTATGTATTTGGGACATTAGTACATTTTAAATCTATTATTATAATCGAGTTGTCATCTAACATTTTATTCATTTTACAACAATGAAAGAAAAACACCAAATGAATGAAATGCTTTTACTTGGATTAGTTTTAAATTGTCTTATTATGATCGATAATTTTACAATTGTCAACCTTTTTCGAATTATCAAAAAAAAAACTTTATTCTAATGTGATAAGTTTATTAAACGCTCATTTGGTTCATCGAGTTCTCATTTGGTTTAGTCAATCCAATAGATGTCACACTTTTCATGATGAGTTTTCATTGACTTTCTTAAGTTCTCAATTCATTTGGTCAAGTTTTCGATGAGTTTAGTCAATTAGCCTTCACGTTGAGTAAAAAATTAAACCTCTTCATTTAAATTCATTTTCAATTATTTTTTTAATTTTTTGAGATTCGATCAATTTTTTAATATGATTAATTTCATCTCTTCTCCAAGGTATTTGCATCTTTTTTCTTTATGCACCATATTCAAAAATTGATCGAGTCCCAAAAATAAACATCGAAGATTTTTCCTGAAAGGATTAGAAAAATTTTATTCTTTAACTTTTAATCTCTGAAACTATTGCTCCATTCAGCTTGCTAACGATTTCCAAACACCAACGGACCTCTTTTTTTAATTTCGTGGTAAAATATTCAATGATAAAAACAATAAATGCAAGAATATTAAGTGATACATGAAGATACAGAAAGTCAGAGAAATTAGAATCGTTAATTGGTCGAAATGAACTTTGAGGTTGAGTGTTCAGCTTTTCGAAACGCAAACATTGTGGAAATAGGTTTCTTAGTATTGGACCAAAAACCTTGTCGACACTTTTTAATATCGTGAATGGCCAATATCCTTGCTCAATACTTGCGTATGAACATTTAATTATCCAACGACTCTTATAAAGATTCGAGCTATTATAAAAGATTGCCCTTAACTCCTCGTAATAGAAACTTGTACCAGTATGGAAAAGAAAATTGTTTTTTCTATTTTTTAATGAATTTACAGTACAGAATAGCTTTAATATACTTTGTAGAAAATCGCTTGATCCAAAATTTGTTAGAATTGGTTTGCCAATATTATTTGCAATATATTTATTAAAATCCTTGAATTTCAAAGGAACGAGTGAATTTGATAAACCAAATGATTCATTTGCTCGATCCATACATATCATGTTTATAAAAGCAGAACAATTGCTTCCGGGATTCGAGCTTAGGTCAGGCCATTTGTTGACTGGTGGTGGTCGAAGGGATATCGAGTATTGAGTTGTGAACGATGTTGAAAATAGATGGAAAATGTAATGACCAGAAAATGAACAACAAAGAAGCAACAGTAAACCAGATTTACTCTTAATCAGCAATAGAAACTTTTGGAGTCGAGATTGGTCAATATTTTCATTTTCAGCTCCATGTATCGAATATGATCTCATGAAATATATCATCAAGCCAAGAATAATCAACAACGAGATTAACAGGTAAACGGAATAATCGATGATCTCAAATGCAGATAGAATTCCCTTGTTGATTGAAGGGACAGATGAGTTTGGATAGAAATTCATGAAGAAACAATAGCTACTCATTACTACTGGACTCATGGATATATTTGGTAATCCATAAATGAAGTCTCTTATGAGGTTTTCTTTAAAAATCAGGTCATAATTTCCCTGTGAAAAAAACAAAACATCAGGTTGATTTGCATGGCTTTCCGGGCGAACTGAAATCTGTATTGGAATGTTGCCTAAAATATTGGATAAAAACTCTGAGTGAGCTGATTGAATTAGCTGAGGAAAAGTTCCTTCAACAACCACGTATAAAATTTTAAAAGGATCTTGAGTAAAGTTCATTTTCGATTGGAACATCAGAATAGACAAACTTGAGGTGAAACTTTAACGAACAAAGTAAAGAACAAAATGAAATGAACAAATTGGAATCATTTCAATCATAATCTTGAAGTGTTCTTGTTTCTCTCTTAATGATTTTCTGGTAAAATTCAATTTCCATTATATTGATTGAATTACCATTTAAACCATATTCATTTCCTACTAATAAAAGAAGAGCACCTAATGATTGAATTTGTTATGATTGATTTTTGATTTTCGCATGATCGATAATCTAAGTTTTGCTGTAAATATCGAATTTCGAAAAGCTTCAATTCTAAATTAGGTCTTCTCAACACTCGAAACTCTTCACGATTTTACTTCCAAGCAAAGATTAGAGTTTTTACTCTTTGCTTTGACAGTTAGATTTCCATTTCATAACAATATCATTAGATTATCAAATCTTTTCTCTACAAAATGATAATGATTTTCAATCGAATTGCGTTTGTTTGTTGAACAAAATAAACGAGAAAAGAATCGTTGATGTGAAAGTTTTCATGTTGAGCATTTATAAAAATGATCGTTAAATCAACTATTGTTGATAGAAATTCAAACATCTATAACAAATCAACTTCGTTTATATTCCCTCGTCAATAACAATCCAATTCAAGATCATAACGACATGTAAGACAATTTACTAATTTCTAAAAAGTTACATGAGAATATAATTGTCATTCGTTTAGACAATTAGCTTAATTTCGCGTTTTCAATTATGTCTCGTCACTAGTTGTTCATCTCAATCTTTATATCATTGAAATAATTTCCCAATTCCAAATTAATTGTTAATTAAAATCCTTTTACTTTCCAATTGTTTATAATATAATTTATAAATAATTGCCACGTGAGACTAACAACCAACAATTAGAGTTATTAACTTTTACCAACCAAACTTGACCAATGAACTGAGTCAACACGTCAAAAGATAATCTAATGATATTATTAAGTAACTGTGATTTTTACAATTCAGTTAATCAACGATAAACAATTGAATTAACATTTTCCTGTAATCAGTAATTCAATAACTCATAATCATCATCATAATTAACAATAAACTCCCGTCTTGATGATGACGATAATCAAAGAAGGTGAAAGGAAAACTTTTCACTTTCCAGTCTTGATTGTAATCAACTGATTATTGTTGTTAATTGATTAACTCGACTGACAATTGGGATCATCACATTTAAATTAGTGTTAATCACTTTGATACTTGACTGTTTTATGATTGTTGAATTGTTGTTCATTGGACAAACTTACACAAGTGACCATTGAGTAAATTTGACTTAATCGATTGTTAATTTAGTGAATCCATAATTAGTTAATCAACAATGTCTCTAGTCAATTATTACTATCAATTTTATGAGAAATTGTTCTGGGGCGATCTCAAAGTGACCAGAGCTCAAGACTTTTTCCTGGTCAATAGTAGTTGGGGATTACCGTTCATTTTGGTCATTCAATTGACTTTTGTTATGTTCCTTGGACCCAAATGGATGTCAACTCGTAAACCATTTGACCTGCGACCTCTTCTAATTGTGATAAATGGCCTTCACTTTGGTGCTTATGGCTGTGGTATTCTGGTCATTGGATATGGAATTAGTTTAGGCCGTGATTCTTGGGCTTGTACGGCAAAACCATCGGACGATTTTCGTGATGATGTTATGCTACGAATCGCTTATGCCCTTTTCTGCATGAGAATTTTAGAATTGACCACACCCGTTATCATGGTTCTTCGAGGTAAATCAGGCCAATCGCCGATCGCCAATTCCTCTACAATGGATTCTACATCTTAATCATTTACCATTGCATGAATCGCTACTACAAAGATATGGTTTATCTTTATCCTTATACCGACGCGATGAAGATCACATTGAGATCGGGCTACTATTCACTCACCTCACCAGGACCTGATTTCCGTCGGTTCCATTGGCCTAAACACTACGTGACCATATTTTCACTAATTGTCGCTCTTTTCAACGTTTATCACCTAATCTACTTGATCGCCAATAATTGTGACGGACCGAAAGTGTTAATGTTTTCATTTCTAACTCTTGCCTTGGGCGAAATCATCTTTTACCTCATCAAACTTAGTCCACAATCAGGTAAACAAATCGACCAACAATCAATACAAAAGTCGTCCAACAAATTGCAATAGCTGATTGTTAACTCATCTCGAAGCTCTAATTGATCCGAACAATCAAGAAGCAACAACAACTGTAATCGTTCAAGTGGTCGAAGTTCCAAAAATAAAAGAAAACCGATCACGCTGATGATCAGAATTCAATCAAGAATATCGTTTCAATTGCTTCTTGTTGATAGTAATTATTGAATCTCGATAATTAGATTAAATTGAACAAAAAAGTTTAATCTTTTTAAATAAATACAAGATAAATATCTGTTAGGACGAATTGGTGTAAACAAGCCATTTTTGTCTATTTTTGGCGCAAACCTTTCCAACGGTCAGATGTGTAAAAATCCATCAACTTTCACCGAATAGATTATAAAGATTAACATTTTTTCTGCGATTTAGGTAACGTCATGGTGAAAAAATCTTTCCGGGTAATCAAATACGCATATATTAAGTCGGAGAGATTCATGTCTTCTTTTGACAAATCGAGAAACGGATCATCTCATTATGAGTGAAACTGATTAGGGTTTAAAGAGGGAGAGACGAAGATTAAGGTGGATTTTGTGGTGGTGGTTTTCGCTTGATATTATGAAACAAGAGGGAGAAAGAGTCTCCAAATAATTTAAATTGGCTTCTAAAGTGAGAAAGAAGGAGAGAGAGAGAGAGAGAGATGGAGAGAGGTAGGAAGAGAAGGAAAAATATGAAAACAACAATTTTTTGTACCTCAACAGTTAATACGGATCCCATGAAAGAATATCTGTTCAGTTTTTTGACACACTCTTCAGCCTCCTCAGACTTGTTCATATGCTTTTAAACATCAATGGAAAATGATGATCACCATGATGATGTAGATGATAAAAGTAGCAACGGGGTTCAGTAGGTTCAGTAATTGGGATGATATGATTATTTTTTCCAAAAAAACAGGCGTGACATTTGCAAGAGAGAAATAATTGAGAAGAGAGATAATTGTGAAATCTGACAAATTGTCATTACGATACTTACCACAAATCCATATCTACCGACTACATCACATTCTTTTACTTGTCCATACTTTCTGAACAAATCTTCGAGTTGATTTGATGTACAGTTATCAGGTAAACGTCCGACGAAAAGTTTTGTTCTCTGAAAAATTATGGAGAAAAACAAAGGTGTGAATGGATATATGGATGAGATAATCCAAAGAGATTAATAGAGGCCAAGATTGAAAGGGTTTAGAACAGTTTAACATACTGGGACATAGAGATGATCATTATTGTTGTTGTTGGTGTTTTGATTTGGTAAAGATTGTTCGGTGGTTTGAGATGAGAATGGAGATGACAAGGAAGATGAAGACGAAGTTGATGATGATGAGGATAATGATAATTGAGATGGTTGTTGTTGATGAGATAATTGTTCTCTTAGTAATTACTCTTTGATTGTTATTATTAAATATCTAAATTGTTGTAACCTTGAGAAGCGTAACGTTGACGATCTCTTGACATACTGATGATTAGATTTTCTCGTTCATGATAAATGGATAACTTTCGTCCAGCCAGAACCAATAGAAGAACCCAAGAAACGAACAATGTCCAAATACCAAACTAGAAAAGAAGATGACAGAAAGAGAAAGGTGAAAATAGAGAGAATATTTTTACAGGAGAATTGGAAATTTACCTGAACAGTTCCAATTGAATAAAGAAATTGGTTGTGTTAATTTCTTGATTATCTTGAGTGATATGAAGAATTCCTTGTCCAGCTTCACATGAACTGAATCTCTGTGAAACTGAGCTACACCATCGGGAAAATCCACTGGTCACAAAAATAGCATCAAGAATGGTCAACCCAACGAATAGAAAAGCAATAACAGTGTCCCAAAAGGCTGAAATGAAAGAGCTGAAAGACAAAACAATCCAATTAATCTTCATTTCATTTAACCAATTGTCTGGTTCTCTTCTTGCCTGTCAACACCTTTCCTTAGGAAATGTGACATTCTGATTAATTGTTCTAAGGAAACTAGAACGATAGCTGCAGATAGAATTGCCGTGTAAGTACAATATCCACAAGAGGCCCATGTAGGCACGAAATCTCCGGTGTCAAGAAAAACTCCCGAACTATAAAGTAAACAATTTCCTTTGAAATTTTTCATATTTACAATCAACGGAATTAAAACACAAAAAGATAAAATAAACGAAACAAGATAACCCGCGATCTGAGTTAATAGAAGAACATTTCCAATGGCCATGATTGAATTGGTTTCTTCAATTAACCATCAAAAGAAAAACAATCGGTAAGTGTGTTGAATAACCATTGGCTCCACCTCCAACCATTAACGCTCATCTTACCAAACAATCAATTAAAACAACAAAAGGTAAATTAGAATGAAGCAATTGATTAAAAGGATAATTAGCAGGAAAAGAGTAAAACATCAGCTGATTTTTTATTTTTCTTTTTAGTTTCTAATTAATCCACTAGATGGAATATGAGTGAATTCTAATTGATGATATTAAGAGACGAACCCTCATTTCCTTCATTTCCGTTTCATGTGAATTAATTTCTTAGTTTTCATTTAATTTAAACTAATTCAATTTAATTATCTTTTTTTTTGGTGAGTTCGAACAAGTTTCGTGGTCAAAACCTTAAGTAAGTAGTTTATTCTATTTGTTTGTATTGTCTTCATCTTTCTCTTGTCAAGTGCTCATCTCATTTTGTATTTTGTTTTCTTTTTCTTTGTAATAGAAATGCGTTACTTGAGTGCTTACCTTTTGGCCACTCTCGGTGGAAATTCCAATCCTTCTATTGATGATATTTCTGGTATTTTATCATCTGTTGGTATTGAGGTTGACAAAGAACGAGCCACTAAGGTTATCGCTGAATTGAAAGGAAAAAATGTCGCTGAATTGATCGCTGCTGGTAAGTTGTAGTGATAGTTGTTGATACTTTGAAATGAGAAAGTAATTTTGTAGATCAAAAATTGATTAATTGGTTTTTTCTTCTATTCTTTTCTCTTTAGGTTCTACTAAACTTGCTTCAGTTCCTTCTGGAGGTGGAGGAAGTGGTGGTGCCGCTGCTCCATCCGGTGATGCTGCTAAAGGAGATTCACCAGCCAAAGAATCAAAGAAAGAAGAAAAGAAAGAAGAAGAGGAAGAAGAAGATGACGACATGGGTTTCGGTCTATTCGATTGATCTCATCATTTACTTATCACTCAAAATTCTGTTTTTCTATTCCAATATCCAGTTTGGACATAGAAACGATTGATTATTTATAAAAATGATCGTTTAATAAACTATTATTGATAAAAATTCAAACATCTATAACAAATCATTGCTAATTACTCAAAACTCTGTTTATAGAATATCGTTTCAATTTTTCTTGTTGATAGTAATTATTGAATCTCGATAATTAGATTAAATTGAACAAAAAAGTTTAATCTTTTTAAATGAATACAAGAAATCGGTTTTGAAAATGAATAATGGATAAGGAAATTTGCATACATAGATTATTAATTATTTTCACATAATATTTTTTGTTGTATGGCCATTGATCAAAAGTTATTCGTTAATAACAATTGAGCGAAATGTTAATAACAGCGCTTTTATGCATGAGGAAGATGAGAAGAGTATGAATGTCAAAATAAATCGACTCGATTAAATTCCGATTAGGTATTAGATTAAAGTTATTTTTGCATTGTTAAGATTTTCCGTTGTTATCTCAAGTGTTGGCATTGTCTTTAAATGGTCACACTTTATTCTGGTGGCGAGGTTTGTATTAAGATAAATGGAAAGAGTGTTGTCCTTCATTAGCAGCAAAGATTAATTTCTCTCTCATTATATCGATGTTTGAATAATCAGGTAATTTCAAGTAATTAACACAAGTCATCACACTGGGCAGAAAATCGTCGGGATTTTCTCCAGGTTCAAATGTTTTCCTAACCACCGTCAATGGAGGAGATAAACTTTTCAATCCACCAACTGGAAGTCGAGGTGATCCGGTAACGAATTGTAAAAATTTACGTTGCTCTTCACTGTTCAATGAAGATAAAACTTGAAACAAATATTTGATTGCTCGTGAATCGTAAGTGTAACCATGATCAGGATGACAACAATCAATCAGAGTTTTCATGTCCCATGTTTGGTGACAAGAGCCACAGAAAAGTTGCTCCAATTCTTCCGGATAAAATATTTGTAATTGCGTTAAGGGTAAAACAGATTCGAATCCTTCTTTAAAAGCTTCCATTTGTCGAGAGACTCCTTCGATCATTGTCCAATGAACCATTAATCGTAAGTATTGATCGATATTCTCCAATGTAACACTCATGTCTTTACCTCCTTTACGAAGTTCAATTCCAGGGAAACCCGGAAGAGTAAAGTCAAGATGAAGATCCTCAATGGAAACACCACTAAGAGTTAATGAGTCATGATTCTCTTCGGATATTCCTCGTTTCTAGAGATGAAATAATAGAAAATGGTTGATTCAGTAAATCGTTTAATCGTTTAATCAGTTAATCAACTAATCAATTGATCAATTAAGTAATCAAAGTATAACAATTACCATGAGTTGTTTCTTTTGTGCAATCAAGAACATATTTGTCACAGATTTTGCTAGAGTTGCATCAATAAAGTGCATATCGGACACACTTAAGGTAGATTCTTGACCAAGGATCCACTTGTAGAATGGGACACTCAATGGTAAGTCAATCTAACCAAGAAAAGAGAGAAGAAAGAAGGAGAAAGAGAAATGAGATTATTAGTAACAAATGATCAAGTTAATTAATGAGATTTATCTCTCTTACCATTCTAGAATCACTCAAAGCTTTGGCCATGAATTTCCCGAGTAATCGATATCGACTCTTAATTTTAGACAATGAGGTTGTTTTAGTTGATTTACCAACAGGAGATGGAAATAAACCTTCAGATGAATAAATATATTGAACTGATTGTGGTTGATGATGAGTATGATGGTGATTATGGTGATGTTGTTGTTGTTGTTGTTGCTGTTGAGGTTGTTGGTTCTGAATTTGATGAAAGTTTTGATTCTGATTATTATAACGAATTTCTTTAGTGACCTCACTCTTTTTCAGATATTGAGGGTCAATATCAATCATCATTTCGTTTGATTCATAATCAAATAGATTCTGTTGTTGTTGATTTTGGTTTTGATTCTGATTCTGATTCTGATTCTGGTTCTGATTTTGACTGTGGTTGTGATTATGATTATGATGTCGTTGATGTGATGGTCCAGTTCGTGTAGATGACAATTTATCATTAGAATAAATTAAAGGCATAATAACACTCGATGAACTAATTGCTTCTCCTCTCCACATATCCAAATCAGCTCTTTGCATCTCTTTAGACACCAAAGCGTAAAACTCGAGTGTTGGTCCTAATCCAGTTCCAACTTCGTTCTCATATTGAATCTCAAGTAAAGCTTTTGAATTTCCGATATCATGGAAAACAGATTCCGCTTGACGAAGTATATCTTCTCGTGTCACTGTCTTCTTACGTTTGTCCAATCGAGGGGTCACTCTCTCACTCGTGTCACTAGAATTCAATCCTGGAGTCGAGTCCAGTAATCGTTGTAAGGCTCGATCCCGATCAAATGAGGTTATGTAAAATAACAGATGACGAGTCTCAAATGGAAACAGGAATGGACACACATACGCTATTTGGGATAACCATTGGGGCAGATTACCGGTCATTATTACAAGTGGATCTTGCAGTTGACGATTAGCTTTGGCTGTTAGTTTACTATTTACAAATTCACTTTGCAATATGGCAGGATTTGAACTAATTGGTAGATTGTAGAACCAACTCCAACACCTATTAAGTGCATTCAAGATTCTCATTAAGTTCATCACTTCCAATGAACAATCTTCAATGTTGACACATTTTGGCAATGAAGGAATCAGATAATTGTAAACTGTTGATGAGATCCGAGGAGTTTTACCTTCAATCCAAAGTTCATCTTTCTTACGATAGGAAGAAGATGATGATGAGGAAGTTGATGAAGATGAAACAGGGAAAAATCCTACTGGTGCTTTATTTGATTTAGATGATGATCGACGACTTGAAGAGCTTGTGGCAATTCCTGATGATGATGGAGTCATCATTGGGGGTGATAAAGGTGTAGATGAATAGGAATGAACATTTGATGATCCACTGGTTGTGGTTGAACAACTTCCTGAGCAATTCATGTATTGAGTTAATAAATTGGTTGATAATGACGAAGTCGATGGAGATCCTGTTGCATTGGATGATAAATCTGATAACAATGCTGCTGCCGAAATTGATCCGGCTCGAGTTAAACATCGACCACTTCGAGTCTCTATTGCCATTGAGAATGAAGGTGTTGCGGTAATTGCTGAAGATCTGATTGATGATGTATTTTGAATAGGTGTTGTTGAGGGAGATGAACGCTCACTTATTGAACGATAATAAATTGTGTGTGTTGTTATCCACATATTTGAGTTGCCCACTGGTGAGTCAAAATCGTTATCATTTTCAAGTCCGTCCATCATATGTGAGTTTCCTCCCGATGAACTGAATTGTCTTATCGCTTGATAAACTGTCATGTTATAAGGAAGAACATTATCATCGATTAAAAATTGAATCTTATGGCGACCTTGACCTTGATTCATAACAACTGAGGCCATGTTATCATCGAAATCATCATCTGAATTATCATCATCACTATTGTCATCTTCTTCCTCTTTAACTCGTCCATATCCTCGTAATAACAAATATCTTTCAATCGCTTGTACTAAGGCCAACGGATCAATTTTAACTGTTCCCCCTCGCCATTGTTTCAAATTTGTACAGTCTCGGTGTCTTTGTAAATTACACTTTAGTTGGTGGGTATTGAAAAACTTCAATGCACTTGTCCTCTTATATTGCCTGTTCCGGTTCCAAGTACATCATGTACTGAACAGGAAATTGTTCCAATTGGGAGATACAAGCATTCAACTTACAAACAAGAGTGGACATTGGTCGAACATCCAATTTCAATTCATTCTCGTCCATTATCACACTGTGATCATCCACTGGAGATCCAAGGAAAACATGAAGAAAACGTCGGATTCGGACATTTCTCTCTTCTATTTCTTCCATTTCTTCTTTGTCTCTTTCTTTTTCTTTTTCTTTCTTTTCTTTTATCTCTTTCTTCTCATCCTTCAAACCTGATAAGTATCCGATCAATTTACTGATTATCCCACAATGAATCAGTTCGAATGGTGAAATGTCTCCATCCAAGAGAACATTTCTAAACTCTTTCAATCCATCCAGATCATTTCCATTGTCAAAAGTTTCCATTGCTTCATTGATACGATTCAATGTGCTCATGGCTTCGTTCATTTCGTTCTCGTTGTCGAAATACTTTTCCACAAAAATTTTGGCCTGATCTCGAATCCAAATACGAATCTTTTCCTTGTTCCCGTTGGCATGAGACATTGGCGATGAGGCCGATGTTGAGGCTGGTGAGCAAGAGGTGAGTGAATGAGGAGATCGAGGAGAACCTGAAAGATGATGGTGAGAATGATGTGAGTGATGGTTGGTGTAATGATGATGAGCATGATGATGAGAAGATGAAGGCGAGGAAGAGGAAGAAGACGAATGATGACCATGGTGACCATGAGCATGATGTCCATGAGCACCATGTCCATGGTGTAAATGGTGAGCAGAATGATGATGACCACCCAATTGTTCTTGCGATTGGGAGATCAACATCGATTTACGATTACTCAAATTGGAACCACTGCCACCAGATCCAATTATATTTGAACCTGAGGCGCTGTTCCAACGTCGCCATCGTGCAGGATAAAGATTGGCAAAGAAAGACGAAGTCTTGGCTGCGGCAGAACTTAATTTAGACGATGATCGACTGCTACCTCTTGTTGTTGATGACGAAGTTGCTGTGGATGAGGTCGAAGCTGTTGGACCATGACCATGACCGTGACCGTGACCGTGACCATGACCGTGACTATGACTGTGGTGACCACGAGAATGAGTATGATGATGACTGGAGTGACCATGAAGACCATGATGTCCAAGTGCCGAATTACCAAGAGACGAAGCTCCTGCTGCTGCGGCTGAACCAAACCCTAAGGTAGTTGAAGCTGATGGAGGTGAGACAGACAGTTGGCCAGTCGATATCAATGAAGACGACGATCCAACAAGTGAATTTAATCCTGAATTAGCATTAGCATTAGTATTAGCATTAGTATTCATATTCATATTCATATTCATATTTATATTGGTACTGGTACTGGTACTGGTACTAGTGTTTGCATTGGTGTTTGTTTTACTGGCACCAACACCAACATTATTACTGTTACTGTTGCTATTCATAAAACTTGTAATACTATTATTACTATTATTAGAATTGAAATTTTGTTGAGCATCATTAGCAGTAGTTAAACAATTGGTGTTAGTGTTTGGGGTCAATGGTGATGGTGATGATGATGACGATGATGATGAAGCTAAAGCTGCATTTGGATTACCAGATGAAGGTGATCCACTAGTCGCTCCTGAATATGGGAAGAACGGCATCGATAAATATGGAGTCGAGAAAAAGTGTGTATTCAATTGAGCTGTCATCGAATCATAATCACCACCCCGACTATTAACACCCAAAGGACTTGAACTTGTTCCCGATGCTGGTGAATTAATGCAATTGTTAAAATGCATAGACAATGAATCAATTCCACTTCGATTCTTACTTCGACTTGTATTACTACTTGTGTTACTTGTCGTACTTGTACCTCCGATACTTCCAGCAACACCACAAATGCTACTGTTACTATTGCTATTGCTGCTATTACTGTTGCTGTTGCTACTCAATGATGATGAGGAGCTCGATGAACATGAGGCTGGTGGAGATCCACTTGTTGACCCTTTCTTGGAACTACGTTTTCGTTTAAGAACATCACTTAATCGTCTGAAAAATTAACAAAATCAAAATTATATCGATTACATTTCCAGCAAATTTCACTTTCTAATCACTTGTGTACTTACAGTTGAGATGAACGAGAATCAACAGTATTATCACCAGTTTTACAAGTTGGAGAGATGTTTGTTCCTGTAATTGATCCAATTACTATTGGGTTCGTAAAATATTAAGCAAAATGAAGCATTTTATTAGAAAAGGAAAAGGAAATGGAAATGATTTCCAATGAATGAGACGAAAAAAAAATGTTCACTTGAATTACCTGAAGATGATGAACATGATTGGGGAGATGATGAAGGTGAGCAATTGTTAGAAAGAGTTGAAGACGACTTAGTTTTGGAAGTTGTAGTTATTTCAATCGGATCAGAATTAGTCATTGTACTTTCTGGATTAATATAAGTAGTCATTGTTTCATCATTTATATTTGATGTTGATGTGGTCGTGGTTGTTGTTGTTGTTGCTGAATCGCCACCACCATCAACTCCATCACTGTTTCCATCACCAAGACATGACATTGATGAAGATGAATAACTTTGCATTGGACTTCCAGATTCAAGGTAACATGTTGATACATAATTTTGACCAATCAAAGTTCCAGATAATGAAGGTAAAGATGATGATGAAGTATTTGGATCAACACATTGTTGTTGTTGTTGTTGTTGCTTTTGGTGCTTTTGTTGTTTTTGTGCAATAGATTCAGATTTTAAATTTGTACTTGATTTATTTGGTGAAGTTGTTGCTGTTGAATTTGCTAATGGAGTTGATGAACATCCACCAATAAGAGCATTGATTGGACTTGATCCATCACTAATTAAACCATCACAAGAAATCAATTTCTTCAATTGATGAATTACTCCTTCTCGACGGAAATAAATTGAAAAAATATCTGGTAATTTGTCCATTAAAATGTAAACCATTTGAATAGCTCCAACAACTACTCTCAAATCACTTGATGGTAACATTGCAGCGATGTGACTTGAGACCGCATGATTTTTCAATACAACTCTCAACAAATCAGAAGATGAATAATAAATTATTCGTAAAAGTGCCCCAATACATTTATGTCGAACTGATGGTCCAGCCGAACTACTATAAACTTCATATAAAACACCAAAAAGACTTTTGATAAAAGCCTCAGCTAATTCAGGCTCTTCTTTTAAACATTTGATTCGAGCATCGTTTTCATTCAAACTACTACTATTCATCATTGCGATCTTTGTATGATGATGATGGTGATGATTATCTCCCGATGATGATAATGATCCAAGTGATCCTGGTGATGCTGATGTTGTTGATGTTGTTGATGATGATAACGACATCATCATCATTCCTGCTCCTGTTCCTGATGAGGTTGTTCCTCCTCCTCCTCCTCCAACTACTCCGGTCGATGTTGATGATCCATCGGAATTATTGACTAGACGTTGAATTAAACGTGAAGTTCCTGTATCTTCGTTTATTTGTTGCATCGAATTAAAATCTATCACATAAGTTCGTCCCATTGTAGTCAAACTGATCTCATCTTCACTTGCCAAATGAGCAGATTCCATCATTTTACTATCAATGCAACTATAATTGTGCCACATTCCTCGATCATCTTTCCATTGCCAAGTAACTCCACTTGGTGTTACATTTAATTGTCTCATCCAGTAACCATCAACACTGAATATCCCATCAGTGGGTAACTTTGGCATCAATTCACCGATAAGTGATGTTATCTCATATAATTCTTGAGGACTTCGAGTGGTCAATTCGATAAACTCACTTGTTGCACTTGAACCAAGAAGTAAATAACGAATAGTGTCCGATATGTCTAATTAAAGGAAAAAAACCAGAAAAAAGTAGAGGCATTAATAGAAAGAGAAAGAAAGAAAGGAAGGAAAAGAGAAAGAGAAAGAAAGAAAGGAAGGAAAGAGAGAGAGAGAAAATACGAAAAGAAAGAGAACAAAGAAAGAAAGAGAGAAAGAAAGAAAGAAAAACTCGATGTAGAATAAAATAAAATAAACAAGATGGTGTCTTGTTAATTGTCACAAGTTCATCTTGAAACAATAAGGTGACACCTTTGGTCTATGATATAATTTCTGATGCAATAGAAAAAGAGAAACAAAAAGAAGAGAAAAAAGAGAAAAAAAGAAAAGAATCGAAAAATACTCACTTAATTTCATTAATTGTACTGCGAGTTGTGGACATGAGGCACACATTGTGGCCAACATTCTGATGACCATTACGAATGTTCCTGTACTGATTATCGAAGGAGAGACCAAAAGTAATTGCTGAATATTGGACAATAAATTGTTCTCAGTGATTTGTATCAATATCTCCGGATGATGTTGGAAACTTTCAATTAAACGAGAAAAAGCAAGACAAAGGCTTTCAAGACACTTCTTGTCTTGATATTTTACCAAATGCGATCCCAAGGTAGTTAATGATTCCTTTACAAATGAAAACTCATCTTTGCTTAAATTTTGACAACAATTGGCAGTTATTGAAAGTGCTGCTCTTTGAGCGTTAATTGTGAAAAAATCTAAATACGATAAACACGCTGGTACACCGCCAGCATGAAGTATCGATTTACTGTGACGTCGAGAAAGCATCTCTAAGGCTGTTAATGATTGCTCGGCAACATCCATACATTGGATAAATTGTAACTTCTCAAGAAACGCTGGTATCGCATCCACGACAATGGCCGATGATCGAGGTAACGATTCCATCATGTAGGTTAATGCTCGACAGGAATGATTCATTATATCAAAATTTTGTTCCATTCGTAGTAACCCAATCAGTGCAGGTACCGCTTGTTTCGCAGGGAAACCTGCTAAAGTATCTTCGTTTCCCATCACAAGTAATTGGCACATTTCCATCACAGCCTGTAACTGTTGTCCTTCATCTCCTGTCGCTTGTAATCCTTGGATCAATTGATGAGCTCGACTACTTGTCTTGTTACCCATAGATCGATGAAGAAGATGATGAACTCGAGGACCAAGAGCACTAAACAAATGAGGTGGTAAACCTCGTGCTTCAAGAAGTGCTTGTAATCTTCCCATCTCATTATCATCTGGTTCATTATCTCCTATCAAACTCCCACTTCCATTACCACTTCCACTTCCACCACCAACACTACCACCAATAGCACCTACACTACTACTACTGCCACTTCCACTTCCACTTGCACTACTAGAACTGCTACTACTTGATCCAATTCCACCAGAATTTGATGATAATGATGATGAAGATTGTGTTGTACCTCCTCCAACGCAGGCCGCAGCGGCTGCAGCGGCTGCTGCTGCTGCGACAGATAAAGATGCTGATGCTCCTCCTCCTCCTACCCCTGAAGATAATGACGACGATAATTGTGACAATGGTAAACAACTTCGGGCTCCACCACAAATGTTACTATTTCCATTATTATTATTATTATTATTATTGTTGTTGTTGTTGTTTGTAAATTCTCCAGAAATTATAGAACCAGAAGAACTTGAAGTTGTACAAGTATTAATAGTAGAAGATGTGGTCATGGTGGTTATCATACCACTGGTTCTTCCTTTGGAAGTATTGTTCATAATGTTACCAATACCACGACTACTATTATTACTTTTTGATGATAAATTATTTCCATCACTTAAAGGTGATAATGAAGATGAAGATGATGTTGATGATGTGGATGAGGTTGAAGATGATGATGAAGAGGATGATGAGGAAGAAGATGGTGATGCTTCTGGTAAACTTTTCTGATCGTGGGCAATATCTTCTTCCATAGCTGTACAACAGTCTCGATATCGATTACCTACAAAAAGAAATAGAAATTGTATTTCAACAAAAAACCAGAAAGTTTAGATAAGCACTTGGTTAGTATTCACGCTAAATGATTTCAAGTCTATCAATGTAACATGTATATATAGAATATAAAGTAATAACAATTTTCTCTCTCTCACTCTTTCTTCCTTCATTTATTTCTCACTCGTTTCACCTTGCCATATTGTTTTAGTTGCAGAGCTATTCGTAAATGCAATAACATTACCATTCAAGTTTAATTACAAACCCATTCATCTAACAATATACTATAGAATCAAGAGTAAAATGATTACCAGAATTTGATGATGATGCTGTTACTATTTCTGGTGAAGATCCACTGTTACCAGAGAGTATAAAATTTGTTCCAGAAGTTGATAGAGCGACTAATGATGATGTAACACTTTGAGGTGAGAGTTTAGCAGCTAATCGAGATGAACGTCGACGAGAATTTGAATAAGTACTTGTAGGACTTGTGCTCGACCCTGATTTTGATTCTTTCCGTTCTTTTGACAAATTTGATCCAACTCTATAACCAATTGAACTTTCACTCTGTTTATATTTTGGAGTGAATAAAATATGAAAGAGAGAGAGAGAGAGATGGAGAAGAGAAGAAAATAATATTAGAAAAAAATGGTGTGTAAATATTGAGAAAGAAAGAAGGGGAAAGAAAGGAAATAGATGGTGAAAGAGAGAGAGAAAAAGAAAGAGAAAAGAAAGAAAGAAAGAGAAAGAAAGCCAAGAAAGAAAATAAACCAGAAAAAAAGACAGAAAGGAAAGAGAAGAAACCAGAAAAAAAAGAAGGACAGAGAAAAGAAAGAGAAAAAGATAGTGAAAGAGAGAGAGAAAGAAAAACAAAAAAGAAAAGCAAGACCAGTGTTTAGAAGAAAATTACAATAAGAAGAAATAAGGAAGGCATTAGGAAAAGAGAAGAGAATTTATAATTTTAACAATAATTCTCTCAACTTGCCTCATCAGGTTCATCTCTTTTCTTTTTCCTTTGAGGTCCCATGGTGGATGGAGAGAAAAAGAGACAAAAAAGAAGAGAATAAAAAAAAGGTTAACACTTGATTAAAAGAAAAGAAAAACAGTAAACCACGAAAATATTCTAAAAACGATGTAATTAATCAATTAGATGATCGAATTGAAGAAAAAATAATTGAAAGAGAGACAAATATTAACACTTTATAAGGTCTTTCATTATACAAAATTTGATAGAATCAATTGTAATTCCTGATTAAAGTTAATACGACTGAATGAATGAAGGATGAGACACAACATCAACAAAGTGATTTTGGATCGAAAGCGAAAACGGTTAACATTTGATGGATCCGAACGTCGATCGGATCCGAGTCCCGGCTCGGTAATTCGGTTATCTAAGAAATTTTTTTTTCTTTGTTTATTTTTTTTTTCTTTTTAATTGTTTGATTAGATTGTTATTTACATGGACATGCGATTTTCATATTGTTTATGATATTCGGTTAAGGGAAATAGAGTTTCGAGATTGGATTTTCATGGAATTTTTCTTCTCTTTTGATTGTCGTTAATCTAATTTGGTAAAGAAAAGAAAATCAATAATTGACATTTTCTGTTTTCTTTTCATCATTTCGGTTCCCATTGGCGTCTATTCATTTTCTTTTGTGGATTTTACTTCGGTTGAGAGAGTTGATTTACTTTTGGAAATTAACTACATGAGAAAATTGACATTTCGATCATTTTGTTTTTTCTCTCGCTCGTTTGGACAGTCCATTTATCTTTAAGATGAGTTTGGATGAGAAGAAAACAAAAACCCTTTTGAGAGTCTCAAGTGTTTTGTATCCTTGTGGATTAGTGATTATCTTTGTAGATTTAATAAGTTTTTAATCTGTTATCATTTTCTTAAAATCTTATTAATATATTAAGATCATCAGAATGATTAATCGTATCCTTTGGTTATAAACTATAACAATCGATTGATTTCAATTACACCTCAAGATATTTACTGGATCTCTTTTTTTTCCAACATCGTTACTTATCGAGTATCTAAAATTATTTACATTTTGATCATTTTCCGTGTTGCTAAGAGCTTGTTGGAACCAGGAGCCTAGAAATTTACTCTCTCATCCTGGAGATAGAAAGAAAAAAGAAAGAAGAAGAGAAACATAAAGACTTTCATATAAATATAAAGAAGGAAAAGAAAAGGAGGAAGAGAAATGTTCCATTATAATAAACGTAGAGAAAAAGAAGATGAAGATAAACCCAGAAAAAGAAGAAAATAAAGATGAAGGACACAGAAAGAAAAAGAGAATAGAAAAAAAAACTCTTCGAATTGTTTAAATTATCTGACATTTTCCATCTCAGGTTCATCTCCATTTTACCTTTTTCATCATTTCGAAACTCTAATCGTAAAGATATACGAACGAAAATCAATCAAACGAATTTCGTTAATTGGGTTGGAAATTCTAATGATTATCCAAACAAAGATGGCCAATGTAACCAGAAAAAGAACCAGAAAGAATGAAATTAAAAGAACCCAAACAAACCTAGAAAATTATTCTTCCCGAAATCGGGTAGATATTTGGATTTTTTCTTCCATTGATACTCGATCTTTTTATGACATTACTCTGTAAGAGAGAGAGAAAGAGAGATAAAAGAGTGAGAATGAGTGAGTGAAGAGAAACACACAAAGAAACCACACAAGAGGAGAGAAAAGGAAGAGAAAAGATAGAAAAGGAAAAAGACAGAGAGAGAGAGAGAGAGAGAGAGAGAGAAAACAAGTTCTCATTCAATCAGCTGAGTGAATGTAAACAATTTCTAGTCAAGATAAACCCAAAAGAAAACCAACCTTATCATTGAATCCAAACCAGAAAAGAAAAGAAAATTTAACACAATCCAAATTTCAAGGTACACCTAAAATTTATCATTGAAACGAAATCAAGAAAAAGAAAATTTTTTTTTATTAAACTGGAAACGAAAATTAAATCACAATTTAAAAGGCTGAAAATGATTAAGTTTTTTAAATGTAATCGGGATGAAAACATTAAAATCCGATCAAATATTTAAAAGACTGGACTCATTATCTGGATTAACTTTTCAAGAAAAAAAGATAAACTCTCTTCGGAGACAATAAAACAGGTAAACTAATTAGATAATTGATTAATTATCCCTAAAAAATTTCGAGAAAAAAGCTTAATTAATTAAATATCTCCATTTGGGTTAACTTACCAGAGAAACAAAATTCAAACATAAGGCCTAACTTTCTATGGGTAAATAGCTTATTCTCACTAATTTTTTTTCTATAAAAAGAAAAAAAACTCAATCCAACTGACCATTAATTGTTTAGCAGAACAATTGTCAATTATTCTTCTAACACTGACCAATAATCAGTTTAAAATCACAATTAAATCATAATTAAGAAAAATGAATTGACCCATTTTCAGAAAAAAAAATAAACAAACGAACGAGGGACCGTTGATATAGTTCGTTTTTTATTCTCTTTCTAATTCAATTGGAACATTTAATTAACATCTTATTGTTGATAATCTCAAGTATGGATTCTGATGGAAATTAAATTTTTACGTTTCAACAAACAATTTGAGTCAAATTTTTATATTCAATTCGACCACATGAATGTCCATAATTGCCCTCAACAATCTTTGTGCGATCGCGTCTCCACTTTCCATGGTCGGAATTAGATGATCTTTGTCCCGGTACTTAATCCTACTGATTGGACTGACAAAAGCCGCTGTTCCCGCTCCAAACATTTCAAATAATCGACTTTGTTCAAGAGTCTTGATCACTTCGTCCATGGTTATTTTTCTCTCAGTTACTTTGAATTGATTCTGAAAGAACAAAAAATCGAGAAAATGTTAACATCTTTGATAAAGTTTCCGTAATAATCTCAAGTATGGATTCAGGTAAGTTGAGGCCTTCGAATTTACTTTTCTATTTTTTTACTTTTTTCTTTCAATTTTGTTAATTAATTGTCTCCAATTCTATTGTATAATCTTCATATTGTGTTATTAATACTCGTTCTATTTCTTGTAATTAGCTGGATAAATGGCCTGAAAATGTCTTGTGTTCTTGAGATATGAAATGATGAGATAATCAATCTCTCAATTAGAATTTGATTTTACCTTTTACATGTTTCATGAATCATTCTGGTTATTCATTAAGTTATCCATGAGTTTTACCCTTATTGTTAGTCAACAAGAGACAGAATGCCTATCAGATTGTCATCCCATCTCGATTGGAACTTCTTTGTCGCAACTTGAGTAGTAGTGTCAACAATTTCATAACACCCGTTGCTGCTTGACCATTGGCATTGAGCACGTGCCTTTGACACATTTTGTTTTCACTTTACAGTGACTTCCAAACCGTTTCTTTCACTTTTTGGTACCTACAGGTTCCTCAGATGTTAAGGAGGTTTAATTTATACAAATTGGAACTCAGAAACTTTTTAATTAAGACACGTAATTGATTAATTAGGATCCCCAGAAAATAAACACACAATCGAAACTTTATTTTCACCGATTAGGTGATGATGTAACATGTAAGCTACAGGGTAAGTACTGTAGCTCCTTCTGGGGAGGAAAATTGTACCTGGCAACTTAAAAAGGTAAATTACAATAAGATTTAAATACAAAATTTAGGCAAAGATATTAAGTGAAAAACAATAAGTGACAATTTATAAATTAGATTGGCTGATGATTAGTTTGTTCATCCATAAATCCAATTTGATGATTGAGACTCCAAGGGTTGAGGTGAAATGAAGATAAAGTCGAAAGATGGTTAACTCATTAAATTCAAAAAAAGGAGAGAAAACAATAATAGAAAATTTAATTTTAAATTCACAGGTAACATCAATCAAATTCAATTTTATCAGGAACGAAAAAATCGAATTGAAACTTTTGAAACGAAAATAGAATTCGACTTGAGCTCCATCTATCGGTCAACTTAAATTCTTTTCTCAATTTTGTTTACATTCTGATTCTCTTCTGGTTATGTTGGTGTTCATTTCCATTGATTAGTCAATTGATGGAAAACAGTTGATTATCATTGTGTTAATAGTTTTATCTTATTAATGTGTTGTTTTTAATTCTCTTCTATTTGAGAATATTGGAAATATTCCTTTTAAACAATAATCCCTGTGTTAGTTTGTTAAATTATTCGAAGGGATAAAGAAATGATAAAATGGACTCAGAGTTAAATGATGAAGAATTGGTTTACCAAATACTAAAAGAGGAACAACTTGAAGGATTTTACCATAGTTTAAGAACAGAATTACAAGTTACCCTTTTCTCACACTTTGATTATGTTACCCTTGATGATTTGGCCAGAATTGGAATCGCTAAACCTGCTGGACGTCGACTGCTGGACAATATAAAGAAGAAAAAATATTCTATCAAATGGAAAAACAATCCTATACTTAAATTGATTAATCCTGTTAAACCTTTTGTTCAGAAAAGCTTTTCCGAAAAGAATGAGAGAAAATCAAGTTTTCCTGGAGAATCATCTAATTCATCATTAACATGGTTAATTAATGAAAGAGATCTTGAATTGACCAACACCAAATTAGGTGATGGGTCATTTGGTGTTGTCTGGAAAGCCATTTGGACAGTTCCAGGTATTTACTTTTTTCTTTTACTTCCATGATAATCTTGATTCTTTCAGTTATTCATGGTGTTCAATGTTCCATTGTTTATGAATATTGTTCCTTTTTGTTTTCATTATATATAACAAAAATGAATTCTAAACAGGACAAACTAAAATCCATCCTCATGTTGAGGTTGTTACCTGATCTATTTTAGGCTCAACCAAAAAGTACAATAAATTGTTATTTCCTTTTCTGGTCAATGTTTTAACCCAATTAACACAATTACCAATATAATTTACAGTTACTTTATCGTTTTCTTTATTACTTTTCATTTTGATTCACTTTAATTGTTTTACCTTGATAACAAATAAGGTTAGATAATCAGAGAAAAGGAAAACGTTTATTTATAATATTTAAAAACATCGAAGTAAAAATAATTCATCTGATTGACATTTAGTTGTTCTCAGTTGATACAACTAATTATTCATTAATCAGAATTGAAAATCACCAGGAATTCATTCAAGTAGATAGAATCTCTTTTCTCATTCTTCTCCTGAATGGAAATAACTTTTACTAATTAGTAAATTTCTCCCCGTGAATTAATAAGCCACAAAATGTCATTAGATTTTAATTGTTGCTCTTCTTCATTTTATCATCATTTCTCTCTCTCTCTCTCTCTCTCTCTTAATTATTTCATAGATTCAAAGCGAACTCAATATGTGGCGGCAAAGGTTTTGAAAGAAAAAGTCATTTCTCAGCAAGCGATTATCGAAGATTTTATTAAGGAAGTTAATTCAATGCATCTTCTTAATCATCCCAATCTTATTCGTCTCTATGGTATCGTTTTGTCCCTTCCAATGATGATGATTACCGAACTTGCTGAGAATGGTTCACTTCGAGATCGTCTACGGAAAGAATGTGGCCATACATCGATCGCCTTACTCCACGAATACGCTATTCAAATAGCCTCCGGAATGGCCTATCTGGAATCGAAAAGATTTATCCACAGAGATCTTGCTGCTCGAAATATACTTTTAGGTAAAGTTCAAGTAAATAATCAATAATTTTTTCTTTTCCTTTTCTCTTTGTAAGTATAATTCAACGAGAAGAAAAATGTTCATATTTATATTTGATTATATTCTCTAAACAATAGATGTTTTTCTCTTTTCCATTTCCACCCACTTTTGATTGTTCTTTTTTCATCTTTTCATCTTTTTTTTCTCTCTCTCTTTTTTATATTAATCATATTGTAGCTTCTAGAAAGAGGGTGAAAATCGGAGATTTTGGTCTGGTTCGAGCTCTACCTAATCAAGATGATTGTTATATCATGAATGAGTCTAAAAAAGTTCCCTTCCCATGGTGTGCACCTGAATCTCTTCGTCACCGGAAGTTTTCCTCCTCTTCGGATGTTTGGATGTACGGGGTTACCCTTTGGGAAATGTTTACCTTTGGAGATGAACCTTGGAAAAATTTCAACGGCGCTGAAATTTTACTCAAAATTGATAAACAAGGTGAAAGATTGGAACAGCCTGAAGCTTGTTCCAATTCTTTATACGATCTTTTACTTAAATGTTGGGACGCTAATCCCGATTTAAGGCCAAATTTCAACGAAATTAAATCATTTCTTGAAGAAACTCGTCCATTAGACCTGATTGGTGAACGAGCCTTCGATGGCACTGATGAGACGTTACCTGGAAATGGGTCCAATGTTTCATCATCAACATTATTTACCTCCAAAAAACCATTGACAGTGAAACCGGGTGATAAAATTGAGGTTATTGACGATAATCCTGAAAATTTCTTATGGAAAGGACAAAACCAGCGATCTTTTGAAATAGGTCATTTTCCTCGATGTATAACGAAAGAGACAAGCGCTGTAGGTAAACGGAAAGCAATTAGTAAACCATTAAAAGGTAGTCTTGTTCATGCCGGTCATGGAGGGATTGGAAATACTTGGGGACACCCTAGTCATATAGATGAAATTTATCTCAAGAATCCTCTTCAACCTCCCGATATTATGGGCTACCCTGATAAAGAGCTTCCTCCTCCACCAACAACAATCAAATTAAATGATAAACTAAAACGTAAGTTGAAGTTGAAACCACAAAAGAAAAATCATCTAATCATAATAGTGATTTACTTTTTTGCTTCTTGCTAATTGTTTCGTTGTTAATGCAAAAGAATCGGTGATCTCATTTATTTTTATTGTTACAATTTAGCTGCAATTTTTTGCTAACATCAAATGAAATCAATCAAACAAATTGACGCGAATCATCATCACCACGAATTATTAAAAATTATGCTTGGTTGCATAAAAATTGATCTTTTAATGGTTATATTAGTCAAGTTTAATCGATCAATTAATTCACTTTTTTTTCAGAGTTAATTAGATGATCTCATCAGAATTAAGCATAAGTTTGTTCATTTCTATGCTTCACTTATTGTAATCAATACTGTAAATGAATTGATTGCTGTTCATTAACATAAGAACAAAATTTTGATCAGTTTGATGAGCTCAACTATTTACATTTAGTTGAATCGCGAAAAAAGTTAATTGTTGTTTAATCTTATCATTTCCTTTTGCTACTCGCCAAGCTAATTAGCTTTTGTTAAACGATTTCATTCATCTACTTCCTTAATTGTAACTAATCATCAGGGTATCAAAGTAGTAACAATTTAGATCAGATTAACCATTGAAAATGAGTTCTACTTTTATGTTAATGTCCGATATGATTTAAAGTAAATAATACGATTAGAATCATCATTAATATGAGGTGTTGTTTGTAATCAATTGTGATGATCAGGCTCATTGTTAATATTTCAATCATTTTTTTCTCTCTCTCTTATTGTTGATTTACAGGTCTTAACAATTTAGGTGATCTTGGAAGTCCAAGGCGACATGTTGGAAGGCAATTCGGTTACAATAGATTCCGAAATGATGATCATAGTGAAAATGATCGAGATCGTCGATCCAAAGATCTAGCACCGAAACGATCTCAGTCTTATACTCAATTAAAAAGCGAGGGACTTTCTTGCTCTGAGGGGCTTCTAATTGACCTGGAGGGAGAGGTGAATGTCCATGAATTAAAAGCAGCTCAAGTCATGTTGGGTGAGCAGAGAGCTACCTCAGCATCTACTAGTAATGGTCATCGATTTCCAGAGACATTCAACAATGATAATGAAGATTCATCTTACCAGAGAGTCTATTACAATGTTGCTGTCGCTTCTTCTGCCTCATCATCATCACCTTTAGTCTCAACACCATCAACAACAACAATGTCTTCATCATTAGCAGCAATAACTTCAACCCTTTCGGCATTGACAACATCATTATCACTCAATACAACAACTTCATCAATTTTAAATTCATCCAATTCAATTGCATCTTCAACAAGTGCCACCAATAATTTTACTTTATCATCCTCCTCTCAAGCTCATCTTCCACCACCATCATCATCATATCATCATCACCAACCATCAACAACAACCTCAAGATATTACTCAACACCCGGAGAAGAAGCCTCATCAGACCAAGGGTCCGAAGATTCAAGTTTCAGTGACTCTGAATGGGCCTTAGGTGGGATGGCATCTGATGCATCTGATATTTATTCATTGTATGAATCTCAAGCTAATTGTATTAAACCACCAGGATCTCATTCATCTTATGAAAAAGCTCCCTCCCTGTCCAGTTTGCCCCCAGGAAATGCAGATCCTTTTGACACTTCCAACATTGACAACATAATGACATCAACCATAAGAAAACCATCAAATACTGTAAATCGAGCGGATAAAGCATTCAATTGGATTGAATCAAGTATGAAGCAATTACAAGTTAATCAAACCAGTAGCGATTCACCAAATTATCAACAGTCTGACCTACAAACAGGCCAACAACAGCAACAAGAATACGATTTAAATCAACGGCAACCATCAAAATTAAGTAAAGATTTTCTCAAAGCATTGGAATCAAAATTGTTGTGCTCAGCTCTTGCCGCTCCTCAATCCTCACAACCACCGCAGTCGCAAACGCAAACCCAAACCCAACCACAACCACAACCACAACCACAACCACAACCACAACCTCAACCTGTACCACCACCACCTCCCCAACCATTGTCTCAGTCATCTCGAGACTTTCCATCTGTCGCACCACCGCCCTCGAATGGAGCGACCAAGAACTCGCGGCGAAATCAAAGTTCAAGTTCTTATCGATCAAGAGACTCTTCTGTAAATCGAGCATCTTCTAGTAACAGTTCAACCTCCACCCTTAGAAAAGCACCTCAACCACCAACGGCACAAGTTCGTCCCTTTTTCGCACCAAACAAAGGTCCAGCACCAGCACCTCCTTGTCCAATTTTCTTTGGTGCTGGTATGGGACCTTCGGCTCCAAGTCGAGAAGTGATCTATGGACTTGGACCGATAACAAATTATCCCGATTTCAACACATGGGTCGATCAACTGGTAGAAACGGTCAAAGGTACTACTCGAGAAGAGTGTGTTCGAGCCTTACAATCAAATGGAATGGATTCCGTTGGTGCTATGAAAGAATTACAATTAAATCAACTAATGAGATTGGGTGTTGCCGATCTCGAGAAATGTAGCAAAGCTTTAAAAGAAGCCGATTGGAACCTTTCGGACGCAGCATCCAAGTTATTAGATTAACAATTTATCAAAGATCAAAGAGAAAATATCATTCATTAGATTGTCATATGATTGGATTAACAATTAATTTACACTTTTATAATTATTTGTTTACCAACATGTTGATGATGAACCAACTTTCCATTTTTCTCATGATTTAGTAGTTAATTTTAATTAATTATGGAATCACAACGAAACGAACAGTAATTAACAAACTAACCGTTAATTGGATATTTTTAATTCCGAAGCATAAGCCAAAGTTTAATCTATTAGTTTCTCAACTAAATCTCTTAATTGTTCATAATTAATTCCGTTTGTCTCTCATTCATCTTCCATTTTAAATCTCATCTCGCCAAAGTATTAACATTAATTCTGATTCTGGTCCCTGACTGATTATCAATGAATTCCAGTTAATCTTTTCAATTAACATCTTCATTATTCATGGAAACCAAATCAATGGAATCTAATTCAAGGAATCATTGATCTTGATCATGAACCGTAATTCTGAATCTCTTCCTGATTTAAATTTTAAAACAATCAACCACACGGACGAATCTTCAACCTTAATTGCTTCAAATACTAAATCAAAATCCGATTAATCAATGAAAGCAGACGAGTTACGATAAACCCAAAAGTGAAATCAAAGCTCTCTAGTCCATAATAAAAACAATTAACCTGTTAATTATTACAATTAATAATTAGTATTATTGTCATCATAATATTGATTCATAATTTCATCAAAATTTTCAAAAATGAATTATTTACCTTGATAAATCAATGGAAACCAGTGAGAGACAAAAGCTCACTTTCAGTTATAGTCAAAAACTTTTAATCATAGATATAATATAAGAACAATTAGTTAATTAGTTAACTAATCATCTTTCCTCTGTAAATTTATACATAACTAATTGTCCAAAAATCCATCCTGTACTTAAAAAGCAATTGAATTGTATCCTTGGTTTGTTAAATCTCATTTTTTCTGCTCCCACCATCATCATCATTTAAAGAGCAGAAAAAATTTCCCTTTCAATCAATTAACTAATTAGTTAATGACCCTAATTTTCCTAATTGTCAAATTGTTGTCACTTTATTCTGAAAAAAAAAATTCAAAAGGATTCAAAATGGAAACTGATTTACAAAAAAAAACCAACTCATTCATTGGGTTATTGTTTTCAGGTAATAAAAAAACAATTAAAATCCATGACAATTTAAAATTTTGTACAAAAACAACTTGATTACAATTAACTGATCGTGTAAATCATGAAGTTTACAAGGTAATTGACTTGTAAGAATTAAAATGAACCCATAAACCAGATTAAAAGGATCAAGTTGACAGATTAACAAGGATTAGTAAATTAAACTGGTTCCATCAACAGAGCAACAACTAGTTTTCGTAATTAATAAATCAATGGAAGAAATTGAATTTAAATTGTTCACAAACTTCTTAAGGTTGTTGGCTGATTGTCATGATTAGAATTGATTGGAATCAGTGATAGTCAAAAGTATTGGAATCAAAATATTGAGAAAAAAAGAAGAGAAAAAATCAACGATGGATGAGAAGGGAAAGAAAAAGGAATCTCTCTCTCTCTCTCTCTCTCTCTCTCTCAGTGGCCGGTGAAAAGTCTTCCGGTTCCATGAACAACATCAACAACTATTTACCTGTAAAGTGAATTAACTATTGGTAGAGATAAACTTTTCTCCATACAAACATATAAACAAACGAATCATCGCCAAACCCGGAATTGCTATTGATCATCATCTTCATCTTCATCATCATCCTCATCTTCTTGTTCAACTATTCAAGTGAATGTAAAGAGTAGTTGATTTGATTCATTTAATTGCTAAACAAGAACAACACAAAATAACTGAATCACCTCTTTCATTGCGACCTTTTCATCTCTCATAAGTAGTTGAGTTTTTTTTTCTCTCTCTCTCTCTCTCCTTTTCTCCCTCACTCTCTCATTATCTCCATCATCATCATCGAATTGATAATCGGTATCAAATACAAATTCATCATTTACCTTTAGGAATCGTTTGTTTATCTTTGGGTGCCTTTTGTTTTCGCGTGAAAATGAGTGTCCATTTATCGTGTTCATCATCAAATTTGATGATTTTCATGTTAACATTATTTTCTGTTGTTAATTTAATCGGTGCCAATTCTAAATTGATTCCTGGTAAATCTCGAGAAACAATCAAATTGTCATCGTCCGTTTCTCCATCTTCAACATCGTCATCTTCCCTTTCGGCCGATGAACGGGTTCTCTTGAGTCAATCACACATGCAATTCACCTTTGACCTGATGTCGTCCATCGTAATGACCGAAGCTTATAATCCCAATTCAAAGCTATTACAATCAATTGTTTTCTCACCTTTAAGTATCCAATCAATTCTGATGATGGTTCATCTCGGTGTCAAGGGTCGCACTCGAGCCGAAATCGCTTCCGCCCTTCATTTGGACAATTTCCTCACCTCCAACGGGATTAATACAGTTAACGGTTCATTCATAAGGACTCATCAAATTTTCGGGGAATCAGTTAATTCACTTCTAGATGACGATGAGATAATTAAATACTTTTCTATGGCTAATCAAATTTTCATCAACAAAGATCTAAATGTCAACACTAATTACAAAAAAGCTTTACAACATTATCATGATGCGACTTTACAATCAATAGATTTCAATTCCAATGGTGTGGTTGATGTAAGTTCACCATGATAATCAAATCAAATCAATCAATCAAATTAACTTTGACTGCAATTTTGTCACCAAATGATTTGGAAACACAACAACGTTGATTATTGAGGAAATCATGTTATTGTTGATTGATTGTTGTGATTGAGTTTTTTTCTCTCTCTTGATTGTTAAACTTTCTTTTTCTTTTTAATTGCAGAAAATTAATGATTGGGTCACCAAAACAACTAAAGGAGCAATTAAAAAGTTTCTCAGTTCACCAATATCTCCATCAACAGCTCTCGTTGCATTGAACGCGCTCAGTTTCAGAGGTGATTGGTTATATAAATTTGACGAACAGGAAACTCAGAAAAATTCATTATTCCAATTAACTAATGGACAGAATGTGAGAGTCTCCATGATGGTCGGTAAACTACCGATCGCATTTGGGGAAATTAACGATGGCAGATTAAAAGCATCGATCATTGAGCTTCCATACAAAACTCAACGATTAGGACTGTTCATGGTTCTGCCGTTGGAAGATTCACCGAACGCCCTTTTCAACCTAATGAGGTCACTTAATTCAACGAGTTTCACCCAATTAATTGCTTCCATGAAGAAAAGCAAGAAAGGCGATGAGGTTAATGTACGAATTCCCAAGTTCGACATATCGTCCAAGCCCGATTTAACTACGATTCTCCGTTATTCTCTTGGTCTAAGATCAGTTTTCTCGGGAGGCGAAGCCGATTTCACTTCCATGTTTGATAATTCATCATCTTCTTCTTCCTCTCCATCATCCACATCATCATTACCGCCAATATCGTTGAGTCAGTTCACTCATCAAGCCGTCATGTCGATCGATGAAAATGGTTCAATCGCCGGAGCCGCAAGCGCCACTTTAGTTGAACGGGTTGGACTTTTCAATGGACCTTATTTCGAGGCCGATCGACCTTTCATTTTTTTCCTTACCGATAAACAATCAGGTCTAATTTTGTTTGCTGGCATTTTCGCCTCACCAAATTAATCAATCATTCATAATCATCATAATTCATCGCCTGACAATTAAATTATCGCCATTCATATTCATGAAATTCATTATCATCCCATGAAAATTATATAATATCTGATCTCACCTTTTCTTCATGGTTTCTCCTTGCTGATTAAAAGACAATTTAATTAATCGTCTTAATCCTTGATCATAATTTATTCACATTAAATTATCACTTAAACGCTTCATCATGATTGTAATTGAATGAAGCTGGGAAATCTAAATTGTTGTTAAAACTATTAATTATCTAAGAGAAATATATATTCACGAGATTATCATTTCTATCATCACTAAATCATTGGATTATTGTTAAAAATATGTTATATTTAGATGACAATTAAACAAATTAAAATGAAATTTATCTTTAGCTGGAAAAATATATATATTATAACAAAAAATATGATAATCATAATTAACTACAATGTTATTAGGTTATCAAATTAAAGGTTAGATTAATATACCTTTGGACTCAATTTGATTAACGGTCCAACTGATCAGTCAAATTAAAGGTTGAGTTGCCTCTTAATATAAAGTTTTATTGTCCCTGTTTTATTTGGTGAAGTTGTTGCTGTTGAATTTGCTAATGAAGTTGATGAAGATCCAACAATTAGAGTATTGATTGGACTTGATCAATCGCTAATTAAACCATCACAAGAAATCAATTTCTTCAATTGATGAATAACTCCTTCTCGACGGAAATTTTCTGACATTTTCCATCTCAGGTTCATCTCCATTTTACCTTTTTCATCATTTCGAAACTCTAATCGTAAAGATATACGAACGAAAATCAATCAAACGAATTTCGTTAATTGGGTTGGTAATTCTAATGATTATCCAAACAAAGATGGCCAATGTAACCAGAAAAAGAACCAGAAAGAATGAAAATAAAAGAACCCAAACAAACCTAGAAAATTATTCTTCCCGAAATCGGGTAGATATTTGGATTTTTTCTTCCATTGATACTCGATCTTTTTATGACATTACTCTGTAAGAGAGAGAGAAAGAGAGATAAAAGAGTGAGAATGAGTGAGTGAAGAGAAACACACAAAGAAACCACACAAGAGGAGAGAAAAGGAAGAGAAAAGATAGAAAAGGAAAAAAGACAGAGAGAGAGATAAAACAAGTTCTCGTTCAATCAGCTGAGTGAATGTAAACAATTTCTAGTCAAGATAAACCCAAAAGAAAACCAACCTTATCATTGAATCCAAACCAGAAAAGAAAAGAAAATTTAACACCATCCAAATTTCAAGGTACACCTAAAATTTATCATTGAAACGAAATCAAGAAAAAGAAAATTTTTTTTATCAAACTGGAAACGAAAATTAAATCACAATTTAAAAGGCTGAAAATGATTAAGTTTTTTAAATGTAATCGGGATGAAAACATTAAAATCCGATCAAATATTTAAAAGACTGGACTCATTATCTGGATTAACTTTTCAAGAAAAAAAGATAAACTCTCTTCGGAGACAATAAAACAGGTAAACTAATTAGATAATTGATTAATTATCCCTTAAAAATTTCGAGAAAAAAGCTTAATTAATTAAATATCTCCATTTGGGTTAACTTACCAGAGAAACAAAATTCAAACATAAGGCCTAACTTTCTATGGGTAAATAGCTTATTCTCACTAATTTTTTTTCTATAAAAAGAAAAAAAACTCAATCCAACTGACCATTAATTGTTTAGCAGAACAATTGTCAATTATTCTTCTAACACTGACCAATAATCAGTTTAAAATCACAATTAAATCATAATTAAGAAAAATGAATTGACCCATTTTCAGAAAAAAAATAAACAAACGAACGAGGGACCGTTGATATAGTTCGTTTTTTATTCTCTTTCTGGTTTTCTTTTTTTTCTCTTTCTTTTTCTCTTTGTATTTAGTAAACAGGTTATGTTGTTGGTGAGAGTTTAAATTTTTACCTTCATTTAATTTTGTCTTTTTCTTTTTAATTTGATCAATTTTTCTTTCTTTTTTTTATCCCTTTGTTATTTGATTATCGTAATTCAATTAGTGTCTTCAAATGATTTTCTAATTGTATAGATCATCTAATTAACATCGTATTGTTAATAATCTCTAGTATGGATTCTGGTAAGTTGAGGCCTTCGGATTTACTTTTCTATTTTTTTACTCTTTTCTTTCTTTCAATTTTGTTAATTAATTGTCTCCAATTCTATTGCAATGTCTAATCATCATATTGTGTTATTAATACTCGTTCTATTTCTTGTAATTAGCTGGATAAATGGCCTGAACTTGTCTTGTGTTCTTTGAGCGAACATCAAAGAAAGAAACCATTTTCTTGTTTTTCTCTAAAACAAGATCATCTTTTCTTCTGGTAAGTGATTGTTGTGATTTTAGAGATTTTTTTCTTCTACTTTTTTGTTTATTTTTTCCATTCTTCTTATGATTAATGATATAATCAACTTCTTAATTAGAATTTGATTTTACCTATTACATGTTTCATGAATCATTCTGGTTACTCATCAAGTTATCCATGAGTTTTACCCTTATTGTTAAGGTCTCATTATTCATTGTACTTACAACCTCTGGAATATTTTTATTTGTCTGCTGGTAACAGTAGCTCTTAACCAGAAATAGCAACAGCATCATCATCATTAGCAAATTCTGGTAATGATAATTTTGTTTTATCTCCATATACAAGATAAAAAAGTATTGTAACAATCGTATCATCATTAATATTAATAGATATTCAATTGTTATTATAGAGTGAAAGGTGGAATGAAATTTGTTTTTTTACTTCCATTTTTTGATTTCCTTCTTCTCTCTTTCTCTTTTGCATTATGTTATTAGTTTCTTCCTATTTGTGTGAAATTCTAATTCTTCTTTTTATTTTCATAGAAAATCAACTTTTCAAGTGTTCTTTTTAACTATGGACGAAGAAGGTTCCCCAGATCCAAAGAATGTGCAATCTTTACTCGAATCCTCACCATCATCTTCAACCTCATCCACATCATCAACATCATCTTCATCTTCATTATCACCTTTAAGTGATGGAAATAATTTATCATCAAAAAGTAATAATAGTAGTCGTGGTATTGGTAACATTATGAACAATACTTCCAAAGGAAGAACCAGTGGTATGATAACCACCATGACCACATCTTCTACTATTAATACTTGTACAACTTCAAGTTCTTCTGGTTCTATAATTTCTGGAGAATTTACAAACAACAACAACAATAATAATAATAATAATGGAAATAGTAACATTTGTGGTGGAGCCCGAAGTTGTTTACCATTGTCACAATTATCGTCGTCATTATCTTCAGGGGTAGGAGGAGGAGGAGCATCAGCATCTTTATCTGTCGCAGCAGCAGCAGCCGCTGCAGCCGCTGCGGCCTGCGTTGGAGGAGGTACAACACAATCTTCATCATCATTATCATCAAATTCTGGTGGAATTGGATCAAGTAGTAGCAGTTCTAGTAGTGCAAGTGGAAGTGGCAGTAGTAGTAGTGTAGGTGCTATTGGTGGTAGTGTTGGTGGTGGAAGTGGAAGTGGTAATGGAAGTGGGAGTTTGATAGGAGATAATGAACCAGATGATAATGAGATGGGAAGATTACAAGCACTTCTTGAAGCACGAGGTTTACCACCTCATTTGTTTAGTGCTCTTGGTCCTCGAGTTCATCATCTTCTTCATCGATCTATGGGTAACAAGACAAGTAGTCGAGCTCATCAATTGATCCAAGGATTACAAGCGACAGGAGATGAAGGACAACAGTTACAGGCTGTGATGGAAATGTGCCAATTACTTGTGATGGGAAACGAAGATACTTTAGCAGGTTTCCCTGCGAAACAAGCGGTACCTGCACTGATTGGGTTACTACGAATGGAACAAAATTTTGATATAATGAATCATTCCTGTCGAGCATTAACCTACATGATGGAATCGTTACCTCGATCATCGGCCATTGTCGTGGATGCGATACCAGCGTTTCTTGAGAAGTTACAATTTATCCAATGTATGGATGTTGCCGAGCAATCATTAACAGCCTTAGAGATGCTTTCTCGACGTCACAGTAAATCGATACTTCATGCTGGCGGTGTACCAGCGTGTTTATCGTATTTAGATTTTTTCACAATTAACGCTCAAAGAGCAGCACTTTCAATAACTGCCAATTGTTGTCAAAATTTAAGCAAAGATGAGTTTTCATTTGTAAAGGAATCATTAACTACCTTGGGATCGCATTTGGTAAAATATCAAGACAAGAAGTGTCTTGAAAGCCTTTGTCTTGCTTTTTCTCGTTTAATTGAAAGTTTCCAACATCATCCGGAGATATTGATACAAATCACTGAGAACAATTTATTGTCCAATATTCAGCAATTACTTTTGGTCTCTCCTTCGATAATCAGTACAGGAACATTCGTAATGGTCATCAGAATGTTGGCCACAATGTGTGCCTCATGTCCACAACTCGCAGTACAATTAATGAAATTAAGTGAGTATTTTTCGATTCTTTTCTTTTTTTCTCTTTTTTCTCTTCTTTTTGTTTCTCTTTTTCTATTGCATCAGAAATTATATCATAGACCAAAGGTGTCACCTTATTGTTTCAAGATGAACTTGTGACAATTAACAAGACACCATCTTGTTTATTTTATTTTATTCTACATCGAGTTTTTCTTTCTTTCTCTCTTTCTTTCTTTGTTCTCTTTCTTTTCGTATTCTCTCTCTCTCTCTCTCTCTCTCTTCTCTCTCTCTCTCTCTCTCTCTCTTTGCCCTCTTTCTATTAATGCCTCTACTTTTTTCTGGTTTTTTTCCTTTCCTTTAATTAGACATATCGGACACTATTCGTTATTTACTTCTTGGTTCAAGTGCAACAAGTGAGTTTATCGAATTGACCACTCGAAGTCCTCAAGAATTATATGAGATAACATCACTTATCGGTGAATTGATGCCAAAGTTACCCACTGATGGGATATTCAGTGTTGATGGTTACTGGATGAGACAATTAAATGTAACACCAAGTGGAGTTACTTGGCAATGGAAAGATGATCGAGGAATGTGGCACAATTATAGTTGCATTGATAGTAAAATGATGGAATCTGCTCATTTGGCAAGTGAAGATGAGATCAGTTTGACTACAATGGGACGAACTTATGTGATAGATTTTAATTCGATGCAACAAATAAACGAAGATACAGGAACTTCACGTTTAATTCAACGTCTAGTCAATAATTCCGATGGATCATCAACATCGACCGGAGTAGTTGGAGGAGGAGGAGGAGGAACAACCTCATCAGGAACAGGAGCAGGAATGATGATGATGTCGTTATCATCATCAACAACATCAACAACATCAGCATCACCAGGATCACTTGGATCATTATCATCATCGGGAGATAATCATCACCATCATCATCATACAAAGATCGCAATGATGAATAGTAGTAGTTTGAATGAAAACGATGCTCGAATCAAATGTTTAAAAGAAGAGCCTGAATTAGCCGAGGCTTTTATCAAAAGTCTTTTTGGTGTTTTATATGAAGTTTATAGTAGTTCGGCTGGACCATCAGTTCGACATAAATGTATTGGGGCACTTTTACGAATAATTTATTATTCATCTTCTGATTTGTTGAGAGTTGTATTGAAAAATCATGCGGTCTCAAGTCACATCGCTGCAATGTTACCATCAAGTGATTTGAGAGTAGTTGTTGGAGCTATTCAAATGGTTTACATTTTAATGGACAAATTACCAGATATTTTTTCAATTTATTTCCGTCGAGAAGGAGTAATTCATCAATTGAAGAAATTGATTTCTTGTGATGGTTTAATTAGTGATGGATCAAGTCCAATCAATACTCTTATTGGTGGATGTTCATCAACTCCATTAGCAAATTCAACAGCAACAACTTTACCAAATAAATCAAGTACAAATTTAAAATCTGAATCTATTGCACAAAAACAACAAAAGCACCAAAAGCAACAACAACAACAACAACAATGTGTTGATCCAAATACTTCATCATCATCTTTACCTTCATTATCTGGAACTTTGATTGGTCAAAATTATGTATCAACATGTTACCTTGAATCTGGAAGTCCAATGCAAAGTTATTCATCTTCATCAATGTCATGTCTTGGTGATGGAAACAGTGATGGAGTTGATGGTGGTGGCGATTCAGCAACAACAACAACAACCACGACCACATCAACATCAAATATAAATGATGAAACAATGACTACTTATATTAATCCAGAAAGTACAATGACTAATTCTGATCCGATTGAAATAACTACAACTTCCAAAACTAAGTCGTCTTCAACTCTTTCTAACAATTGCTCACCTTCATCATCTCCCCAATCATGTTCATCATCTTCAGGTAATTCAAGTGAACATTTTTTTTCGTCTCATTCATTGGAAATCATTTCCATTTCCTTTTCCCCTTTTCTAATAAAATGCTTCATTTTGCTTAATATTTTACGAACCCAATAGTAATTGGATCAATTACAGGAACAAACATCTCTCCAACTTGTAAAACTGGTGATAATACTGTTGATTCTCGTTCATCTCAACTGTAAGTACACAAGTGATTAGAAAGTGAAATTTGCTGGAAATGTAATCGATATAATTTTGATTTTGTTAATTTTTCAGACGATTAAGTGATGTTCTTAAACGAAAACGTAGTTCCAAGAAAGGGTCAACAAGTGGATCTCCACCAGCCTCATGTTCATCGAGCTCCTCATCATCATTGAGTAGCAACAGCAACAGTAATAGCAGCAATAGCAATAGTAACAGTAGCATTTGTGGTGTTGCTGGAAGTATCGGAGGTACAAGTACGACAAGTAACACAAGTAGTAATACAAGTCGAAGTAAGAATCGAAGTGGAATTGATTCATTGTCTATGCATTTTAACAATTGCATTAATTCACCAGCATCGGGAACAAGTTCAAGTCCTTTGGGTGTTAATAGTCGGGGTGGTGATTATGATTCGATGACAGCTCAATTGAATACACTTTTCTCGACTCCATATTTATCGATGCCGTTCTTCCCATATTCAGGAGCGACTAGTGGATCACCTTCATCTGGTAATCCAAATGCAGCTTTAGCTTCATCATCATCGTCATCATCATCACCATCACCATTGACCCCAAACACTAACACCAATTGTTTAACTACTGCTAATGATGCTCAACAAAATTTCAATTCTAATAATAGTAATAATAGTATTACAAGTTTTATGAATAGCAACAGTAACAGTAATAATGTTGGTGTTGGTGCCAGTAAAACAAACACCAATGCAAACACTAGTACCAGTACCAGTACCAGTACCAATATAAATATGAATATGAATATGAATATGAATACTAATGCTAATACTAATGCTAATGCTAATTCAGGATTAAATTCACTTGTTGGATCGTCGTCTTCATTGATATCGACTGGCCAACTGTCTGTCTCACCTCCATCAGCTTCAACTACCTTAGGGTTTGGTTCAGCCGCAGCGGCAGGAGCTTCGTCTCTTGGTAATTCGGCACTTGGACATCATGGTCTTCATGGTCACTCCAGTCATCATCATACTCATTCTCGTGGTCACCACAGTCATAGTCACGGTCATGGTCACGGTCACGGTCATGGTCATGGTCATGGTCCAACAGCTTCGACCTCATCCACAGCAACTTCGTCATCAACAACAAGAGGTAGCAGTCGATCATCGTCTAAATTAAGTTCTGCCGCAGCCAAGACTTCGTCTTTCTTTGCCAATCTTTATCCTGCACGATGGCGACGTTGGAACAGCGCCTCAGGTTCAAATATAATTGGATCTGGTGGCAGTGGTTCCAATTTGAGTAATCGTAAATCGATGTTGATCTCCCAATCGCAAGAACAATTGGGCGGTCATCATCATTCTGCTCACCATTTACACCATGGACATGGTGCTCATGGACATCATGCTCATGGTCACCATGGTCATCATTCGTCTTCTTCCTCTTCCTCGCCTTCATCTTCTCATCATCATGCTCATCATCATTACACCAACCATCACTCACATCATTCTCACCATCATCTTTCAGGTTCTCCTCGATCTCCTCATTCACTCACCTCTTGCTCACCAGCCTCAACATCGGCCTCATCGCCAATGTCTCATGCCAACGGGAACAAGGAAAAGATTCGTATTTGGATTCGAGATCAGGCCAAAATTTTTGTGGAAAAGTATTTCGACAACGAGAACGAAATGAACGAAGCCATGAGCACATTGAATCGTATCAATGAAGCAATGGAAACTTTTGACAATGGAAATGATCTGGATGGATTGAAAGAGTTTAGAAATGTTCTCTTGGATGGAGACATTTCACCATTCGAACTGATTCATTGTGGGATAATCAGTAAATTGATCGGATACTTATCAGGTTTGAAGGATGAGAAGAAAGAGACTAAAGAAATGAAAGAGATAAAAGAAAAGAAAGAAAAGAAAAGAAAGAGACAAAGAAGAAATGGAAGAAATAGAAGAGAGAAATGTCCGAATCCGACGTTTTCTTCATGTTTTCCTTGGATCTCCAGTGGATGATCACAGTGTGATAATGGACGAGAATGAATTGAAATTGGATGTTCGACCAATGTCCACTCTTGTTTGTAAGTTGAATGCTTGTATCTCCCAATTGGAACAATTTCCTGTTCGAGTACATGATGTACTTGGAACCGGAACAGGCAATATAAGAGGGACAAGTGCATTGAAGTTTTTCAATACCCACCAACTAAAGTGTAATTTACAAAGACACCGAGACTGTACAAATTTGAAACAATGGCGAGGGGGAACAGTTAAAATTGATCCGTTGGCCTTAGTACAAGCGATTGAAAGATATTTGTTATTACGAGGATATGGACGAGTTAAAGAGGAAGAAGATGACAATAGTGATGATGATAATTCAGATGATGATTTCGATGATAACATGGCCTCAGTTGTTATGAATCAAGGTCAAGGTCGCCATAAGATTCAATTTTTAATCGATGATAATGTTCTTCCTTATAACATGACAGTTTATCAAGCGATAAGACAATTCAGTTCATCAGACGGAAGTTTCTATACATTTGATGGTAATGAAATCGATAACGATTTTGACTCACCGATGAGCAATTCCAATATGTGGATATCTACTCACACAATTTACTATCGCACTTACAACGAAAGACTTTCATCTTCACCCTCCTCTCCGTTTTCATCTTCAACTGAAGGACGTAGTGGTCGAGGCTTAACGCGAGCGGGTTCTCTTGCAGCGGCCGCACTTTTATCAGATTTGGTGCCTAATACAACAAATTCATCTCCTGGATCAGCCACAAATTTAATCACTCAATATATGAATTGCTCAAGAAATTGTTCAACTCCAACGACTACTGGACAATCGGGAAGTGGCAGCTCTTCAAGTCGTCGATCATCATCTAAATCAAATAAAGCACCAGTAGGATTTTTCCCTGTTTCATCTTCATCAACTTCCTCATCATCATCTTCTTCATATCGTAAGAAAGATGAACTTTGGATTGAAGGTAAAACTCCTCGGATCTCATCAACAGTTTACAATTATCTGATTCCTTCATTGCCAAAATGTGTCAACATTGAAGATTGTTCATTGGAAGTGATGAACTTAATGAGAATCTTGAATGCACTTAATAGGTGTTGGAGTTGGTTCTACAATCTACCAATTAGTTCAAATCCTGCCATATTGCAAAGTGAATTTGTAAATAGTAAACTAACAGCCAAAGCTAATCGTCAACTGCAAGATCCACTTGTAATAATGACCGGTAATCTGCCCCAATGGTTATCCCAAATAGCGTATGTGTGTCCATTCCTGTTTCCATTTGAGACTCGTCATCTGTTATTTTACATAACCTCATTTGATCGGGATCGAGCCTTACAACGATTACTGGACTCGACTCCAGGATTGAATTCTAGTGACACGAGTGAGAGAGTGACCCCTCGATTGGACAAACGTAAGAAGACAGTGACACGAGAAGATATACTTCGTCAAGCGGAATCTGTTTTCCATGATATCGGAAATTCAAAAGCTTTACTTGAGATTCAATATGAGAACGAAGTTGGAACGGGATTAGGACCAACACTCGAGTTTTACGCTTTGGTGTCTAAAGAGATGCAAAGAGCTGATTTGGATATGTGGAGAGGAGAAGCAATTAGTTCATCGAGTGTTATTATGCCTTTAATTTATTCTAATGATAAATTGTCATCTACACGAACTGGACCATCACATCAACGACATCATAATCATAATCACAACCACAGTCAAAATCAGAACCAGAATCAGAATCAGAACCAGAATCAAAACCAAAATCAACAACAACAGAATCTATTTGATTATGAATCAAACGAAATGATGATTGATATTGACCCTCAATATTTGAAAAAGAGTGAGGTCACTAAAGAGATTCGTTATAATAATCAGAATCAAAACTTTCATCAAATTCAGAACCAACAACCTCAACAGCAACAACAACAACAACAACATCACCATAATCACCATCATACTCATCATCAACCACAATCAGTTCAATATATTTATTCATCTGAAGGTTTATTTCCATCTCCTGTTGGTAAATCAACTAAAACAACCTCATTGTCTAAAATTAAGAGTCGATATCGATTACTGGGGAAATTCATGGCCAAAGCTTTGAGTGATTCTAGAATGGTAAGAGAGATAAATCTCATTAATTAACTTGATCATTTGATACTAATAATTTCATTTCTCTTTCTCCTTCTTTCTTCTCTCTTTTCTTGGTTAGATTGACTTACCATTGAGTGTCCCATTCTACAAGTGGATCCTTGGTCAAGAATCTACCTTAAGTGTGTCCGATATGCACTTTATTGATGCAACTCTAGCAAAATCTGTGACAAATATGTTCTTGATTGCACAAAAGAAACAACTCATGGTAATTGTTATACTTTGATTACTCAATTGATTAGTTGATTGATTGATTAACTGATTAAACGATTTACTGAATCAACCATTTTTTATTATTTCATCTCTAGAAACGAGGAATATCCGAAGAGAATCATGACTCATTAACTCTTAGTGGTGTTTCCATTGAGGATCTTCATCTTGACTTTACTCTTCCGGGTTTCCCTGGAATTGAACTTCGTAAAGGAGGTAAAGACATGAGTGTTACATTGGAGAATATCGATCAATACTTACGATTAATGGTTCATTGGACAATGATCGAAGGAGTCTCTCGACAAATGGAAGCTTTTAAAGAAGGATTCGAATCTGTTTTACCCTTAACGCAATTACAAATATTTTATCCGGAAGAATTGGAGCAACTTTTCTGTGGCTCTTGTCACCAAACATGGGACATGAAAACTCTGATTGATTGTTGTCATCCTGATCATGGTTACACTTACGATTCACGAGCAATCAAATATTTGTTTCAAGTTTTATCTTCATTGAACAGTGAAGAGCAACGTAAATTTTTACAATTCGTTACCGGATCACCTCGACTTCCAGTTGGTGGATTGAAAAGTTTATCTCCTCCATTGACGGTGGTTAGGAAAACATTTGAACCTGGAGAAAATCCCGACGATTTTCTGCCCAGTGTGATGACTTGTGTTAATTACTTGAAATTACCTGATTATTCAAACATCGATATAATGAGAGAGAAATTAATCTTTGCTGCTAATGAAGGACAACACTCTTTCCATTTATCATAATCATCACTAGCAAATAAGCTCAACAATTAAGGGATGCAAATAACGACACCAGCAATCCAATCAAATCAACTCTTTAATTAATATAATTAAATCAACCTGTGAACACGGAAAAAAATCAACAACAAATCAAATATCTTGACAATTTTTTCATTTCCGCCCTACTCTTTATCTCTCTCCGTTTTTCACAATTCATTTGGCTTATTCAACAATCAAATCAACAAAAGGACATTAAGATTATCCTATTTTTACCTGATAATCTGCATAACTTTAATCAACTTCCAAGTCTTACCTTTTTTTGCCATTAATTAACTTTAAAGCCTAATGAATATTTTGTGTATAATGTAATATCAAATTGTGACTCTTTTTTTGCTTCTTTAAATACAATAATTGAATTAATTGAATAAAATTTCATTCAAAATCAAAATGCAGAAAAAGTTTATTGGAATCAAATTATTTCAACACAATTTCGAGTAAACAATTTAAGTCTCCATCAAATTGACTAGAGAAGACAAAGTTTATAATCAATTTAAATGATAATTATCATTACTATTAAAACGATTATTTTAAATTGTTTCCATTCGGCAAACCATTTCGAGAAAGCTTTCGATTTAAAAAATAAGTTATCATTGAGAATCAATTGGTTTCCATATTAAATTAATTGTTAACCTTCAACACCAACAATTAAAACCACAGAACAACAAAAAGTTTGTTGCATCAGGGTGGTTCAGTGGGTCCAATCCTTTGACAACGAAACGTTCAAGTGCCTCTTTACTTAACACATAACCAGCACCTTAATTAAAGTAAATCAACAGTAGCAATTAAGTTTCTCAGCCTTACACAACATGCGGACAATTGTGATTAATTTTCTTACCACCAGACATGTACCCTTGGTGGACATAGGGCTTGAATTTACACCCAAAATAAATGGGCTGAGATGAATTCTGACTGGATAGGAAATATCTGAGATTCTCGACAACAACATAAGTATCATCATCGGCTTTCATGAACCAATCGGCCTCATTTAAGTGATTATTGTAAATGTATCGAAAAGCTTCACGAGTTTTAGCCCAAAGTTGATCTCGACCTTCTTCAACGTCCAATTTAACCGTCGGTAAGGTTGAATCGTACGTCGAACTCATGAAAAGTAACTTATTACATCTTTTACCCCAAGTGGCCTTAATGTGACGAGCCTTTGATTGGTAGTTCTTGGGATTGGTCATAATCCAACATAATACTCGAACTGATTGGTAAAGTTCATCAGCAACGGTGTAATCTCCTGGTGAGAAAAATTATCAAATGAAAGAGAGAGAATTGAACTTACTTTTTGTAACGAAATTAAATTTGATTCAATTTGATTAAGTGTGTAAATTGTTTTGTTTTTAAAGAAAATTGAACATGTTGGTTGAGTTTTCATAACTAATTCAAAAAAAAGTTGCGTTTATATGAAAAAAAAAGATGTTGACAAAAAATAATTTATATCAATTATTGATTGATAATTGATTGATTATAATAATAATAATAATAATAATAATTGATCAATGTTGCACAATTAAATTAGATGCTTGGTCAAATATTATATTTGGCCTTATTTTTGTTTCGGATGGACTTGAATCAAAGTGGTAAATCAACGGCAGAGGATGGTCGTTTATTGCACGATACAATTGCTTTTCATTTTCGTTAATCAGATCATTAATCATCACCACTAATTGTTCATCAATAGATTGGATAATAACTAATTAATTCATTTCAGGTAGAAAATTAAACTTGCGTCCATTGGGTTGGAGGGGAAAACCGGTGTGAATGAGGTGGTCGTATGTTTGTATTGTTACCTAAAGATGAGAGAAAAACGAATTAGTGATTAATTATTTATCTAGACAATTATGGTTAACTTTAATTACCTGGAATAGATTGTGGGCCTGATTGTTGATTAGGACTAGCTGAGCTTTTCGATTTTGTTGTTTTACGAAACGGGAAAAATGTACTAGAAAACGAGAATGATGAATGTTTCTTAGTCTCTTGATTCCCTTGATTAACTTGATTACCAAGTTTAGAATCACTTTTACTATTTGATTTAGTTGATTTTTTCTTGTTTTCATTAGTACGACCACCAACTTCTGATGAACTTTTATCACTGGTGTTATTGTTCATATTGTTATTGTGCTTGTTGCTTTTATTGTTATTAAATTTACTTCCAATCGGAGTTCCTGGTGTTGGAGTTGCTGAGATTGGGATTCCACTTCGAGGTGTACCGTTGTTACTTTGATTTGGTTTATTATTATTACCGTTTGACCGGTTAATTTGTTGTTGTTCCTGCTGTTGATTGTTACTACTATTGTTATTGAATGAATTCATTTTAATATTTGGAGTCGCTTGTTGTCCTATTTTATTATTATCACCGGCGACACTTCTCAGGTCATTACAATCGGGAAGTTTGATTGGAGGACGTGGACGTGATGGTATTGGATGGACTAAATTCTGACCATTAAGACCGGGAAAGATTCCATGATTTCGAGATACCAATGGATTGGATGGATGTGGATTCTGCATTAAAAGTGGTGGACTTGTTATTTCTCGTCGAACTGTTAAATTACCAAAACGATTGGGTTCAGGTAAATTTCGATGAGGTGAAAGAAACTGTGGTAATCCATCATTTCCTCCACCAATTCCGATTCCACCTCCACGGTTAATTATTTTGTTTACATTAGTTAAAGGCATTCGATGTATTGGTGGACGGAATAATGATCTACCACTCGACGATAGATCATGTCCATTGGTTTGTGTTTGGAAAAGGTCATGTTTTAATCGTTCGTAAAGTGGTTGATTATTTGAATCTTGACTTAATTTATCCAATTGATGTTTTCCAGATGAAATGTAACCATAATACTGATTTACTTGGGAAGATTGAGATGTCATCGTGCTCGAAGGAGCTGAAGGTGGAGGTGCTGGTGACGATCGTGCAAAAGAAAATGGTAAATTAGAATAGGTTGAAGCCGAATAGAGATCATTGTGACTTTTAGATTCAGGAAACGAAGGTCGTTCATCATCGGGAATGTGTATTCGAGGTCTAACTCTGGATAGAATACAAAAAGAAAACAATTAATTTAACTGAACTATTGTAAGAAACAGTAATTTAAATTACCTTTTAGCAACGGAAACTATGATACGACCGCTATTATTTGATTCCAGTGGACTTAAAAGGGCGCGACCATTCATATGAGAGATTGTATTGCCTTTTGTACCATATTGAAATGTCCTTGGGGGTTTAGGTGGAGGAGGTAAATCTTTTAATAGACTCGAACGATGTTTATTCATTAGATTAATCATTCCATCATCAAATGATCGTTGGAACATCGGATGCGGGGGAAACTGTGATTGTTGCTGTTGACGTTGTAATTGTAGTTGATTAATGTGATGTTGTTGCTTTTGTTGATGAAGATGAAGTTGTTGTTGCTGTTGTTGTTGGCGTCTGATTATATCTGCTGGAGATTCATAGGTTGGCTGACCATCAATTTCATCATCATCAGCTAAGTCTTGATTACTCGTATCTCCGATTAGTTGAGGTGGTGGAGGAGGTGAAGGTGATGAAGGAGGTTTTTGTTGTTGTTTTTGTTGATGATGATGATTATGATTAAGATGATGAACGCTAAAAGCTTTAAGTTGCTCTGGAGCCAAATAGGAAAACGGTTTTTTAGGTTCACATAAAGGGTTGGCGGTAATTTGATAATGAGATGAGGGTTCACGGTCATTTTCAGCTTCTTGATCTGAAGTGGCCACCGAATCTGTACAATCGGAGTCCTGAAAACGTGATGAAAAATTGTTCCCATGGAAATAGTTGTTATTGTTTCCGTTGTTGGTACTTTTGTTGGAAAGATCGTTGTTGTTTGGATTGTTATTGTTACCGTTATCAGAGGGAGTTTCCAAACGAGGAGGTTCCAATGGACGAAAATGTGATGGATTGTGAAGATGATGAGGATGAGATTGGGAATGTTGAGAGCGAAGTTGATGATGAGCCAATTCCATTGAACCAAACATCGCTTTAAACTTCGCTATGCTTGGACGACGTATCACTGTTGCCTTCCCAATCAACTTTTCCTGTTTATTATCATGACTACCTTGATTTTCATTGAACATTATTGAATCTGCAAAAAGAAAACGAGTGAGAATGAGAATGAGAGAGAGAGAGAGAGAGAGAGAGAAATAAAAAGATGAAGGATGAGTTTTAAATGAAAAATATGATTGAACAAAAAAGAAAGAAAAAAAATTTCAATTGTAAGCAATGAAATTTTTAATTCTTCTCTTTATATCATCCATCCCCTTTATCCTTTTTATTTTATCCTTGAAAAGGGTCAACAAATGACCAGGTCACTCACCTGAAGGATGTGAAGGTAATTCTGTGGATGGAGTAGCTGTCATTTTTTTACTCTTCCAAGAGTCAACCAATTGTTTCATATCTTTACTCGGAAAAGTGGCACTCCTTTGAACTCGATAATGAATTTCTGCTTCACTGATACCTGGCGAGCTTTCTTCATCATCAGAACTTGAATTCGCTTCCTCAGCAAACCTTTTTAGAAAGAGAAACAAGAAGAATAAAAAATTAAACGTAAATCATAACAAAAAGAGAAATGAATTAGATGAATGAAAAGTAAATCATGAGTATAACAAGCGATGAACAAAAAAGAGATCATAAAAAACGGGCTAATCTTTGCGTAACTTTTTCCACAAACAATTTATTTCCAAATTGATTGTAAAGAAGAGCGGAAATGTAATCATCGAAATCTATTAACAATCTATTGGCTGTTTCTCATAACTTTCTTATGGATAGTTGACTAACAATCAGAATCAAAATAGCCTTTAAATTGTAGTCAATCAATAAAAAAAACAATCACATTTTATTTCCTCCAATTGAGACACACAAATATAACTTGAATACTTTAATTTCGTAATTTAATTTAACTTACTTATGATATGGTTCACCATCTTCGTCCAAGTTTTCATATGTATGAGCATCAATAACCTTTAATTGTTGCTCGAAAAGCGCAGCAACGGCTCGATAACAAAGTATATACTGTTCCTGAGTCTGAACCATTGCGATCCTTTGTCTCCTCATCTCATGGATGATTTTATATAAACTGAAATCTAAAGAAATAAAAGAGAGCAAAACAATTAATAAACGATAATAGATTTTGATTATAACTGATCAAGGAGAAAAAGGAGAAGCGATTACAATTGATACAAGTATTTTTCTTATTGATTGTAAAGGGAAAAAATCAATTGGAGTTGTAAACTATAAACCCAAGGGTCGATCATCAATCGTTAAGTGTAACTTTTTCTTCTTGGTGCTCGTTTTTAATCGTTAGTCAATAGAAGAAAAGAAAAGAAAACCAAATGACCAACTGACCTTCTTTTAGTTTTCCCGTTCGTAGAAGAGCCCAAACATAATCTATACTACAAATTGTACCCGTTCGGCCACAACCCGCACTACAGTGAACCAGAATTGGTGTTGCCTCAGTTGCTTGGACATCTCTCATTAACCTGACAAGCTCCAAAATCGGTCCGACCGTCGTGGGAACCCCGTGATCAGGCCAAGTTGTATAATGGAATTGGCAAACAATTCGTTCTTTGTTGTCACATGTAATCCTAAAGGTGCGAACCAGAAAATCGGGACAAACTTGTCTCCAATCGATCTGTTGAGCTGTTGAAAAGAGGCGAAGAAAATAAAAGAATCAAATAATAAAAGAAAAAAGTAAAATTAGAATTAGAATTAGAATTAACTAATTGTTCAATAATAATACAACACGATTAGTGTAAAATAATGTATCACAAGAAAATAACAATTCAACCAACGAATTGACAACATCATTAAGTAGTCATGATTGTTGTGAATCAATGATAACAAAAAGATGACAACAATTATGATTTAACCAGAAAAGTTTGAATTGAGTTGAAAAAAGTTGATGAAAAATAATTATACTCATCATGTAGATTATCAACTAATTGTTGAGGTAACAAAATTAATGTCAGTATATCAGTTAATGTAAAAGTAAATCAAGGGCTTCAAGAATTAAAATTCACTGATTACAATCAAAATCATGAATAGTAAATGTCCTTAAAACTATTACACTAATTATGCAAAGTTATAAACGTAAAAAAACCTAAACCAATAAGTTAATTCTGATGTTAATCTAGTGGTAATTATGATTAACTTTGGTGTACAGGTAAATGAAAAACAATGCAGGTAATTTGAATTAATTTAACTTTCACTTGGTTGATTAGTTGAAAAAAAGGGAAAGTTAATTGATCATCTAATTTGCATACCAGTTATATTGCCATATTGCTGTTCCTGATCATTAACTGCAGGCCAATAAGTTTCACATTTATATTTTCCCGATTCGGTTTCATTACAGGCCATTACGATGACCCGAACCTCACATTCCCAAATTAAACGCCAAAAATCAACAACGGTATTAGGAAGTGGACCTTGAGAAGCGACATAGGCACAGGCCGATCCCGTTGATCCACGAACAAAATTGGCGTTAACATAATCGGACCCAGGAACACCAGGGTATTCACTTAGAATCACTCGGCTATAATCATCTAGAAGAAAAAGAAATCAGAGAATTGGATTAGTTATTAGAATCAAGTTTTCATTTTTGTTTCTTTCTTTCGCTGATCAATTTACAAGTTTGAAACAATTAGTTAATCGGAAGAGGAATTAGATACTTACATGGAAGAATATCTTTGTATCGATTTTTCCTTCTATTAACGTCTTTAAGTCCATGTTTACAGGCGTAGAAATTTTCACGTTTAAGAGATTCAGTTAATTCTTTGAGAGATTGAAATTCAATTGCATATAAATCTTCATCATCATTGGGACATTTGCGTCTCTCCTCCAGCGTTTCAAAGTGATTGAGAAAATTTCTCAATATTGTTTTCAAGCTCATGTTTGTTGTTGTTTTTTGGTTTCTTTTGGTGTTGTTTTTATCGTATCAACAATTAAACTTTAACATGGAAACAAAAACAACAATAAGTTGATGGAAGTATCCGATAAACGTTAACATCCAAAACATAAACAGAATGTGGATCAACAGGAGAGAGAGAGAGAGAGAGAGAGAGAGAGAGAAGAAGAAGAAGAAGAAGAAGAAGAAAACAATTTCTAGAGAATAGAAAAAAGAGAAATTCCTTTGGAGAAATAGAAAATTATCACTAAGATATTATGTTGATGTTCGGTCGCAATTCGTTGATGGTAAATCTCTCTGAACTGATGATGGAACAAAATTCACAATGATTATGATGTATTAATAAGATGAAGATGAAGAAAATGAGAAAAAAAGACTTGAAGAAAAAGAAGAGAATCCAAGCGATGGGAGAAGAAAAAAAAAGAAGATGGAAGATGAAGAAAACTAGCAACTTGTACTTAAGTCAAGTCTATGGTAAGAGAATCAAGAGAGAAGAAAAAAAAAAGATGACGACTAACTGCTAGCAAAGTAGTTAGCACAGTTTCTTTTCTCCAAATTACCTGGACCAGGAGCGAAAGATTTGAAACAACAATGATGATGAAAGAAGAAGATGATGATAAGGTGTGAAGCGAATGAGAGAGAGAGAGAGAAAAATTGAATTTTAAAACAATTTATTTCCAATTTTGAATGTTGATTGGAATCGACGGAACAATATTCGTTTAATGTTGTCTTTTTGTTAATTCTTGTTTTTGTTGTGGTTGTCGTTGGAAGTGAAGCTTTGTTGATGTTAATTATTGGTACGTTGATGATGGCAGTACAATGATGATCACAATAGTCAAAGAATAACAAAAAAAAACAAACAATTAAACAGAGGGAGAAGGGGATAGGAGAGAGAGAGAAAAGAAAAAAAAAGAAAGTTGAGAGAGAGGAAACCGGGCCAAAAAACAATGCTTAGATTGGAATGTTGTACAGTGAGAAGAGAAGGAGCGATGAGAGAGAGAGAGATGAAGAAATGTTAAGAAAAAAGGTAAGAAAGAGAGAAAGAGAGGAGAGAGAAAAGGAAAGTGAGGCTTGAAGCACGCATTTGATTTCCTCTCTACCGATGTTTTCTTATGGTTGAAGATTTTTCTCTTCTCTTCTTCCTCTCTCTCTCTCTCTCCCTGTGGACGAAGTTATTGTCACCCAACGATGGAAATGATTGCAACTGATGATCCCACGATTCGAATGAAACGATTTACAGTTTATTGTTTGTTGACAAATTAAACAAAATCTTATTCCAATTTGTTTTTCTCTTTAATTTTTTCTTCCTTTTTTCATTGTCAACAATTAGTAAAACTTCAATTGTCCATCAATTTTGTGTTTTCTGGTCGCGATTCCATCATCAAGATTGACAGTAGGAAACGCTTTTCATAATGATCGTTGTCGATCAATAAAACGATCGACAATGAATAATGAGATTTTAACAATAAGGGTGAAAAACTCATGGATAACTTAATGAGTAACCAGAATGATCCACGAAACATGTAATAGGTAAAATCAAATTCTAATTAAGAAGTTGATTATCTCATTAATCATTACGTATTAATTATGTTAATTAAATAGCAAAAATTACTTTTATTTCATTTCCATTAACTAACTTGAACCTCAATTTCGGTAACAAGGTTACAATGTCTTTTTCATATTCGCTGTCACGTTGGTTTACTTATTTGAATTTGATTGATTATTTTTTTTAATTTCTCATTCGAACGGAAAAATTACTCGATTCGTCTTAATCGTCCCATGTATCGGTCCACTTAGCTCTTCTGGTATTCTGTCTCAACTTGAGACTCTCAAGTTTTTCCTCGTGGTTCTGTTCACGACCAACTTGCCACAAAATCTTGAATTGCACTTGTGTCTCCATCTGGTTGATTGGAATTAACTAATTTGTTCGTAACTTTTTTGGAAAGCTTAACTTTTTCGCTCCTGATAAATTTTAATTTTAATTAACTTAAACTTATTAAATTTACCTGGTTGGGTTATTATTTTTTATCTTATAAATTCAGTATCAAAATTATAATAGTTTAACAGTTACTTTAGTTGGTTTTGTTACTCTTAGAACTGAAGTTCTTATTGCATCGTAATAACTTGAATCATTTTGTTTCTTGGAAAGTTTTGTTGGTAATTTGATACAATTTTCTCTTCTCTATTCCAAATTCATTCTTTGAATAGATTGCAATTCTAATTTTATTTTCTCATTTTCTTCATGACAAACTTAATGATTCAAATTATCTTTGGATCTGATTCTCACCTTCGTCTCAAATGGGAACTCGACTAACCTAAACCTCTTGGTAAATCGGCGAAAATTACTGAGAATTGCTGTAAGACACAATCACAATGCTCAAAATTAAGTGTTAAATTTATAATACGAATTTAAACAGACACAGTTAATTAAACAATTAAGTTCATTTTAATATGTAGCTTGAACCTTAAGCCGAAAAAAATCAGCTTTAAGTGAAAATGTTGAGCTGACAAACACTCGTATCGTCTTACCGCCATTTTTTCAATTAATAGACTCAACCGTTGTTGCTACTCGTCAATCTTTCTTACTGTAACATTGTTTTGTATGATATTTACTTATTTCTATTACTATTTGTATCTTTTAATTAGAGTTAAATTGTGTAAAGATGTTCAAGAGACCAGTTAAAATTAATTTTCGAAAGAGAGATGAGGAAAAATCATCCGATGAAGAGGAGGAAGAAATTATTATCTGTAGACCGATTAAAAAGGTTTGTATTGGTCGGACTGTCGGAAGAAAAAACAACGCAAAGGTTGAATCGAGTTCTGATTCTTATGGAGAAGAAGATAAATCATCAATTTCTGTATCATATTCTACCAGTAAGAATATTATCCGTGAAGGACCTAAAGACATGGGCGCAACATCGGAGAGACAAATCGACAGCGGAAAGGAAGGTGTTGCTAACAAATCCAAAGGACCGATGAAAGCTCCTTCCAATATAAGGCCAACAATTCGATGGGACTATCAGCCTGATATTTGTAAAGATTTTAAGGAGACGGGATTTTGTGGTTTCGGTGATTCGTGCATTTTCTTGCATGATAGAACTGATTATAAAGCTGGTTGGCAATTGTCTCCATAGACATTTAGTGTCATCTTCTCTTCTTCTTCCATTCTCTTCCTGTGGACGAAGTTATTGACAACCAACAATGGAAATGATCAAATATTTGTTTCAAGTTTTATCTTCATTGAACAGTGAAGAGCAACGTAAATTTTTACAATTCGTTACCGGATCACCTCGACTTCCAGTTGGTGGATTGAAAAGTTTATCTCCTCCATTGACGGTGGTTAGGAAAACATTTGAACCTGGAGAAAATCCCGACGATTTTCTGCCCAGTGTGATGACTTGTGTTAATTACTTGAAATTACCTGATTATTCAAACATCGATATAATGAGAGAGAAATTAATCTTTGCTGCTAATGAAGGACAACACTCTTTCCATTTATCATAATCATCACTAGCAAATAAGCTCAACAATTAAGGGATACAAATAACGACACCAGCAATCCAATCAAATCAACTCTTTAATTAATATAATCAAATCCGATTAACTTTACAGCCTATTTTGTGTATAATGTAATATCAAATTGTGACTCTTTTTTTTGCTTCTTTAAATACAATAATTGAATTAATTGAATAAAATTTCATTCAAAATCAAAATGCAGAAAAAGTTTATTGGAATCAAATTGTTTCAACACAATTTCGAGTAAACAATTTAAGTCTCCATCAAATTGACTAGAGAAGACAAAGTTTATAATCAATTTAAATGATAATTATCATTACTATTAAAACGATTAATTTATAAATTGTTTCCATTCGGTAAACCATCTCGAGAAAGATTTCGATGCGTTAGAATTTTTTGTTTGGCAATTTCGTTGTGATTAATTAATTAATACCAAATGCTTGCTGATGACGATTGATTATTAATCAATCAATACCATGGAATTGGAATTGAAAACTGAAAGCAAATTAACAGTAAAAAAATTTAACAAAAGTGATTACAATCAAGGTAAATGCAAAGAAAACAATAAAGCAAAATGGCTGATTGAAAAATAGGAAGATCAATGATGATGATTAATGATAATTTGATTGTATCGATTAAATTGTTGACCATGTAAATGGTTGATGACGATGATCAATGATAGTTAATTGTGAAAGATAACAATAGATATTTAAAAAATAAGTTATCATTGAGAATCAATTGGTTTCCATATTAAATTAATTGTTAAATCATGTGTTTGTCATAATTAAATGTCACTTATAATCAAGATAATCATGATGAAGGAATGATGATTTCATTTGAATACTGAGTTTACATCATCGTTAAATTTTCCCATTTTTTCAATTGTTTCTTAATTGTTATCATGACGATTGGATTGATGAGCACTTGGAATGGTTAATCATCAATTGTTATTGTTGATAAATTGATGGTTTTAATTTAGTTTTCTGGTAGTTAATTAATCATTATGATCACTTTGAAAAGAGGAACATCATTATGCCCAATAGTTGATTTTGTGTAGCATTAGGATATGGCACAATTAGAATGTTTAATCAATTGGTGATTAGTCGTTAATTCTTGATTATCTTCATTGTAATTCAGTTCAATCGCCAATTTGTATAGTTAACCAATTGCCAGTGATTGTCCTTGATGATCAGTTAGTATTTACAATTTAATCCTATGATTAAATCAAGTTTGTTACTTGATTGTTGGCTAATTGTTTGCACTCATAAGAGATTCTTAGTTTGGATTGGCCCTTCATTGGTTCAACTGAATTGATACAATTTAGATAAATTGTTGTAAACAAATCAAAAACAAATCAGATTAAACTAATTATCATTTCTAATTGTTTGGCTTGAATTATCAGATGATGATAAATTTTTTTTAACTGATGTCGATAATGTTGATGATAGCAGACTAGGTGAATTAGTTTTTCTCGCAATTAAATTTGATTCTAAAGGTTTAATTGTCTTGGGTTGACTCGATGATTTCTCGTGTAATCCATAAGGCCGTAGATGATATAAAAGGTACTCGAGGACATACATTGTGTCCGAACTGATATAATGAAATGATATCGCAGTGTCCGAACAGCAATTCATACCCTGTAATTAGAGAAAGAGAAGATAATTAATATAAAACTCAACAAGTTAACGTAATTAATAGTTTGATTGTTGTAAACATCTAAAAAGGGAAACCATTTTTTTCAATAGTTTCCTTTGAATATCAAAGTAAAACAGAGCTTTTTAATTGCTAATCAACTGATCATTTCGATTATCATTGCAACTCAAATAGGAAGGAAGTTTTTAAACGATATTCAAATTTGATTGTTGACAGTTAAATCAATGATAATGATGATGGTTTAAAATCAATTGAAGGGTTTGGTTTCTTTTGATAGCTCAAGTATCAATTGATTTTTTTGTCTCTCTCATTGATTGTTGGTTAATTATTGATGATAAACTTCAACGTAAACAATTAGCTTATCATCATATCGGCTATTTAAATATGATTACATTGATTGTTAGTTGAAAGTTTTAATTGTTGACAAAATGAATGTTATTACATACAATGTATGCTGGGAATTGTTTTCATCACAATTGTAACAATAATAGTATTACTAATTGTTGTTTGAATTACAATTAAAATAGTGACAATTAAATCCGTCGATTGTGTCTGTTTTTTGTAATCAAATAAACTGATTGTAATGACTTTAAATCACAATAAAGATAATTAAATACGACAAATTAAATGTGGTTAAATTGTTAAATTCAACTTTCTCATTAATCATTGAAATAAATTTCAATTATGAATCAAAAGTTATGATTTAATCTGAATGGTTAACCTTGTAAATTGTTGGAGTGAAAATAATACAAATGAATGATGAAGATACTGATCATTAAGCTTTAATTGCTAATAACTTTTAGTGAAAATTAATGAAGATGATCAGCTAAATCAAAGGTTAATTGTTATTATTATTATGATAAAATAAAAGTAACAGACATTTGGGTGAAAAAATTGTGTTACCCAGAAAAGTAAAACCAACAATAATCAAATATGATTTGTTGATTGCTGAAAATCAATTTAAACTTTGAAAACTTTCCCACTCACAATTAAACTAACTGTCTACATATAATATTAACCCAAACAGGATGAGCTTGATTAGTTTATCAAAACGGATTAATGATTAACTGTTGATTGTGTAGGTTGATTATTATACGAAGTAGGAAAAAAAAGTTATGAGTGTAACTGTTAATTTGATTGAGTAAATTCAGTCACCCAATCAATGAACAGTTAATTAACGATTAATATAGCTAACATAAGAATCTGTAGCAGATTCAATTGAAACAATTAGAGGTGACAATTAAAGATGTACAATCAACATCAACAATTAAAACCACAGAAAAAGAAAAAGTTTGTTGCTATAAAAAAAAAATAGTTACAAACTTGAAGAGATGTTGATTGTTATTGGTAATTGTGATTAGAGTTTTAAATTGTAGTAAAATATTGATGATAAAATTAAATTACCTCTTCTGATTCATAGTAAATGTATTTCCAGTACCAGAAACTTTTATCAACATGACCAGGAATTAGATGATGAGAGGGGACAAAGGGGAAAAATCGCCCGCGGCCAAATTTGTCTCTTGAATCACCGGCGGTTACATGAAGTGACTCCAAACATTTGCCCATTTCAACGTCTTCCGCACCACCCGATTGTTTACATTTATCAGGGTGGTTCAGTGGGTCCAATCCTTTGACAACGAAACGTTCAAGTGCCTCTTTACTTAACACATAACCAGCACCTTAATTAAAGTAAATCAACAGTAGCAATTAAGTTTCTCAGCCTTACACAACATGCGGACAATTGTGATTAATTTTCTTACCACCAGACATGTACCCTTGGTGGACATAGGGCTTGAATTTACACCCAAAATAAATGGGCTGAGATGAATTCTGACTGGATAGGAAATATCTGAGATTCTCGACAACAACATAAGTATCATCATCGGCTTTCATGAACCAATCGGCCTCATTTAAGTGATTATTGTAAATGTATCGAAAAGCTTCACGAGTTTTAGCCCAAAGTTGATCTCGACCTTCTTCAACGTCCAATTTAACCGTCGGTAAGGTTGAATCGTACGTCGAACTCATGAAAAGTAACTTATTACATCTTTTACCCCAAGTGGCCTTAATGTGACGAGCCTTTGATTGGTAGTTCTTGGGATTGGTCATAATCCAACATAATACTCGAACTGATTGGTAAAGTTCATCAGCAACGGTGTAATCTCCTGGTGAGAAAAATTATCAAATGAAAGAGAGAGAAAAAATCACAATTAATACAATTAAATATTCAACACAATCGGTTAAATTGTTAGACAACAATAATTAATCATTATATCATAACGGAAACACACCCAAAGCTTTTAATGAGATAATATTTTTTTATAATTAATGTCATTAACTTTTACTGTTACAAATCAATCAGAATTAGTGAATTTAAATTGTAATCTGTTCCTAATCAAAATTAAATTAGAAGACAGAAAAAAAAATAAACAACAGTTTCATTGAAAACTTCAATTGCCTTCCATATTTGACCATAATAATAATGCCAATTGATTAAACTATGGTAATTAAAGCTAACAATTAAATAGTTAATTAGGTACAATTGATGATTAGGTAGTGAGGGGGAGTTTAAAGGAGGTTATTGGGTAACTTTAAATTGTTGTTACTAATCTAATAATCCCTACAACAATCAAGACATGATTGTTCAAGTTACAATTACAATTATCATCGAAATGGTTAAAATAATAGTTGATTGTTGGTAAAAAAAAACATAATCATTACATAAATCACGGTTACCTGAATAGTTCAACTGAGAGTATCGAAACAATTTAGCTAATTGCTTCTTAATCGTTAAACTAGTAAGCTAATAGGTAATATTGATTCATTAATCAGGTGATTGTAACTAAATTAGCAACAATTTAATCATAAACACTAAGGATTCACGGTTAAACTCACTTTCACAATTATAATTAACCTCAACTGTTGAAACTTTCATTCAACTTTAATTATCACCAACAAATTATATAATTGTAGCAATTAAAATTTGTAAATAACTATTGAAGCGATTAATGTATAATATTTATAAACATAGGGATCGGTGACAGTTGATTATCACCAACAATCAATTGTTAGTTAATTGTTTGAGGATAAACATTCAATGTATCAGTTACACTAAATTGATAAAACTTTTTTGATTTGATTAACTATTCAACTTTACAATCAATGGTTGATTTATATTTAATCAGATGCTCAGGATGATCAAAAGAAAAGTTTTACAATTAACTGTTCATTAATTGTTGATATTTTTTGATGATTTTTCAATGTTAATTCATTCAAGGTCTGATTATCATGAATCAAGATCTTTAAGATTTTAAAACAATCAAAATTTTCAGTTAATTTAAGCATTTGGTTAACAATTAATTTGCTAATTGTAAAAGTAAATTTTAATTGTGAGCCTAAAGAGTTTCAAAAGTTTACTTTGAAAATTTTCACGATTTAGCTAATTGTTATGATTAGAATATAATTTTTCAAGTCAATCAGATTCATATTTCATTTACAATTATCATTACTAATAATTAAAAGTGAATTTATATTATTCAAACAATTAACTGATTGGAGTTAAATTATTGGTATAAAGAGAAAAAGTTAAATTGTGAAAATTTAACAAAAACAATTGATTAATAAGCATTAGTACATTTCCGTGATCAACTAATTAACTAGTTAACATTTAGATAAATAAATTAGTTAGTAAATCATGTCTACTTAATTCACCTACAGTTAATTAATTAACAATTAATATTCACAGAATCACATATGAAATGTGATGTATGAAATTTTCATTGAGATCCAAGTCATTGGCAGGAAATTGATGGTAAATGATTAAGTTAATTGTGATGACATAAGGAAGAGGATTAAGATTATGAAGGAGTAAATGATTCATCAGAGATTAATTATTATTAGAATTGAGATTCATTCATGATACAATAAGAATGTTCATTCATGGTGATAAATCGTGATTGTTATTATTTGGCCTGGAAATTAATTGTTGACATCAAAGGAAGACCTCAAAAGGGATTTAACTTAATCATTATCATCAGAATTAGTGTTTCAGGGCAAATGATTAAGAATAAGGTTTCAATTAACTAACTACTTTAGGTTAATTGGGATAAACCATCAATTGGTGATCATCATTAAAACTTTTCAAGAATAACAATTAATAAAAAGTGATAATTTTGTTCATATTAAAGATAATCATGATAATCATTTATTGTGATTAAGTGGAGGAGGAAATGAGATGAATTAAAATTAATTGACACTTTAGGATAAGTTGTTAATTATTAATTGATTGATTAGTGTTGTAATAATGATTGGTTAAAATTAATAGTTTCATTGTTACCAAATACAAACTTTCATCAGAGTTAATCATAAATGTATTAATTGTGTGAGATTTTCTTAATAATTTTTTTGATTAAAGTAACAATTAAGGTTGAAAATGAGATGATGGTGATTGTTAGAATTAAAATGAAACCTTGATTAAGTTTAATAATCAATATTTTGTGTTAAAAACGAACAACTTTTTATTGTTTGTTAATTGTGGTTAAAGGCTAATCATGATTTCTTGATTGTTACTGGTGAAAACTAATTGAAAATTGTTAATCATGATTAACAATTATAAAAGAAAGTGTTTTCTTTACTAATTCTTATCGTTATTAGTGTTAATTGTTTAGGATAAGGTTAATCAATTTTTCACCTTCACAATTTAAGTTAAATAATCATTTCAATTCATTTCAATGTTGATTGTCAATTTTGTTAATTGTTGACAAATTTTTTTTTTCAAAGGTGAGTATTGAGATTGTATTTTAAACTGATTAATATGAACAAATAAAGTAATACAATGTCAATTGTAGGATGATTAGTTAATTGTTATTGGTTGTCATGTTGAACAATGGTGAGGTAATTGTTTAACTTTGGATAATCTTAAAGGATTTTATGTAATCAATTTTTGTTGATTAACGATTTGATTGTTTGGATTAAGAGGATAGGAAATAATTAAAAGTAAAATTTATCACTGTTAAGCTGATTAAATGATTAATTTGATGGTGAAAAGATTAGGTTAACAATTAAAATAATCATTTCCGTTCTGTAAGTGTTAAATGTAATTGACAACACAAAGATGATTAATTACTGATTAATCTTTGATTGTCTACTTTCGGTGTCTATTTGAATTGTTACAATTAAATTGTAAATTTGGATGAAGGCTCGTAATGTAAAATTGACTATTGGAAAATTTTCTTGATTTGATTGATTAAGATCCAGTGAGTGATTAAATTACGGAAAAAAAATTTGATATTAGTTGAGTTGTCGCAGGAGTCTAACTAATTTGAACTGAATCAATTTCAATTCATGGTGGAAAAGTTAATTGTTCAGTGGTTGTGTATTCAAAACACCTCGAAATTAATTGAAAGATAAACATTGAATTATAATAATAGATTTAAAAGCAATTAAGGAAAACATTAATTCTCACTTTTATGATCATCTTCCTCTCCAATATGATTGGAAACCGGAAAACGAGGTCCAAGTGAATTTTCAATCTCTTGGTAATTATGAGGATCATCATGTTTATAATATGATGGTGAGGGTGGTGATGGTGATTGGGAGGCAATTAAATAGGAATTACCACCCAATAGATCACCTTTCTCCCAGGTAACAACATTTAATAGTAGATAGGCAAAACTAAAGCCAAAGGTCATTCCAACGGCCAAGGTGAGGATAAAACTTCGGGAAAATTTAGATGAAGATCCATGAGCATTTGAAATCCCTTTGGTGCTTATTGGTAACATTTTCATGTCCATAATATTATTTACAATGAGTTGATTGTTTCAAGAGTAATTAAGGTGAACAGCATCACTTTGTTGTAGAAAAACGGTAGAGTTGATTGTTGTTTACAGATTAGAATTGACGATTAAAACTGAAAAGAAGATAATCACAGATTATTAATTTGGAAATTAACTTTGGAATTAAGGAATTGGGATGAAAATGTTCAATGACCAATGAAGAGAGAGAGAGAGAGAGAGAGAGAAGGAAATTTTCAATGTTCTACTGAATAAAGAGAGAGAATAACAAAACTGAAATTGAATCAGTCTCAATATCGGTTATTACTGAAATAGAATCAGTTAATTGTCATCATCGTAATAACATCGTTAGTTGATTGTTGGAGTTTGAAGGAGAGGAGAAAAGTTAAAGTGAAGGAGAGAAAAGTGATGAGTGAGTTTCGGGTGGATGAGGAGGAGGAAAAAGGAGGAGAGTGAATTCATGACCAAAGATGATGATATGTTATCGTTAACAATAGGAGAATAGAACAGAAATTATATTCGAAAAAAAGAATAATTTATAAAACCATTACGAAGATCAATATTTTCACTGATTAAGGGGAGAAAGGAAAAAGGTTGAAAAAGATAATCCCTCTTCTCATACTTGTATCATGATATTTGAGTACCAATTGAACGGTAATAATAATTGTTCATCAGTTAATCAATCAACACGATTATTGGTCATATTGAATTAGCTAAATAATTTTTTCTTTTTTTCCTTTGAAACAATCTAATTGATTTTAATATCCTTTTAACTTCACAAACACTATGATGATTAAATGATGATGCTGATTAGATGATCGGGTTTACAAAACCGGATACGGTTTAATGATTGTTGTATTATTATCCGGTCTCAATCAGAATTAAGTCAAACTAAATGATGATAAAATAATAACTATCATGATGAGGATGATGATGGTGATGATACTGTAACAATTAGTGTACCCTTAGGATATGATAACTAGTTAACACATGAATTTGGTTAATATAAAGTTGGCCATGAATCACACCACTGGTCAGACAACATTAACTCAACCCAACAGGGTAATTGGGGTGGAATAGAAAATATCGGTTTTATTGATTGAAACTTACCTGTAACATTTAAAGATAATTATAGTTGATCTTGTGTTGAATTTAAATTGGTAAATTTGGGTACCAATGGTGACGAATTTCCTTCAATTAGAATAGATAATTAGATACACAGGTGAGAATAAAAAAAAAAGAACATGGAACAAGATGAATGGTATCACTTTTCTCTCATAGATCATCACAATAATTTAGAATAGGAAGTAAATCCATTTGAATATGGAGAAGAAGTGATTAAATCAATGGAGAGAAATAAGAAAAAGAAAACATCACAATTTAAAAGAAGAAGAAAAGAAAACAAGATCAACATGAGAGAATTTATATAAAATTCTAAATTGAACTAACATGAAAGGTAAATAGTTGATCAACTTGTCGAATTTAAATTGACAAAAAAGGTTAATCATACAATTAGAGTGATTGGGAAATAAATTAGGCAGAAAGAGAAACAAAATTATTAATATATTGATATTAGATTTGGGAAAATATCAATAATAAATTAAGGTGAGAGAGATTATCAAGTGAAGGATTTGTTGTTGTTTTTACCAAAAAAAAAAGGTAAACAAATTGAGTATCACAATGAGATTGATTAGAATCTAGTTAACTACATTAATTATAACATAAGAGGTGGAAAGTTGACCTGTTAAAGACCCGTATCATGAGAGATGGTGATGATTAAATCACCGATAATTAAAGAGACAATCATTGGATTTATTGATTAACCTCAACATCTGATTTGAAAACATTTAAATTGTTTTCGTGGTTCCAACTCCACCTTTCGATTAACATTAACACTAATTTTCTGTTTTCATGGATCCTCAAGATCAACAGAGTAATGGAATTAAATTTCATTTTAACAGAAATCTTTTATGTATAAGTGTTATTTAATTGTCGCTAAGTGATTAAGGAAAACAATGGACCCATCTACAAGTCGATCAACCAGTCAATCAACGATTGAGACCAGAAAATGGTTCAAAATGATGTTTCTGCCGATGGAAGGTACTGGTCATCTATTGACCATTATTGGTTTGGCCTATCGGTTTCTCAAGCGTCATTATGATGTTTCCTTTGTAGGCCACAAAATATTTTACCAACTACGTTGCCACGATTCCATTGAAGATACTTTATATTATGAATCCCGCTTTTGATTATTATGAAGATCCACAGGAACGATGGAGTAAAACAATGGCCAGAATTGCTGTTCATTTCCATAAGATTCCAATTGAATAGGCTTGGCTTCAGGGTGAATTTCATGATGACTTTGTGAACAGAGTAATTGACGATGAATGATGATCGATTGGTGAAGATAATTAGAGATGTGAAACCTGATTTAATGTTTGTCGATTATTATGTGGCAGTTCCAGCGATTATTTTAGCAAACATCCCATGGATTTTTGTTGTCTCTGCTAATCCATTGAGTATCTACCAACTGATTGATGGTCCACCCTTTTACTCAGGTTATTCAATAACTGATAGTAATTGTAATTGGATTGGTTTCAAGAGGACATTTAGAGTAGCCCTTTCTGGACCTTATCACAGACTGAGAGAGGATTAAAGTTACCACCCAATAGATTATGGATTGTATCACCTTTATCCATTGGCTTTAAGATTATTGTGAAATACTGGGTTTCCCGTTGAGAAGATGTTCTCGAGTTGACCATTGTATCCGACCATTTTCCGCTGGTCCCGATCCACTTGGCTTGAATTTAACAGCCTTGAAACCTCAAGTGCTCAAAATTTACTTCTCTCTTGGTACCATGGGATCAGCTGATATCGTTCTAAGGGATTTAATAATCAAAGATGCAGCTCGAATATTTGACAGGCGACTTGGTTTAGCTCTTCGTCCCTATCAAGTTAAACCTGATGATTTTAGAAGAGCAATTGTAACTTTTCTAGATGATGATGGTTTACATAATCAATTAACAATCATTTCAAATAATCTGAAAAAATATAATTCACTTGAAAAACGAATTTTCAAAAATCAAAGTGAAATCCTCGAAATGAGTAGTTATCCAAGTTGTATTTTTGTTCACTCACACTATTTTATTCCCGTATAACTATTTAAACCCGTATCATGAGAGATGGTGATGATTAAATCATTAATTAAAGAGGCAATCATTAGATTAATTGATTAACTGCAACATCTGATTGAAAACATTTAAATTGTTTTCGTGGTTCCAACTCTACCTTTCGATTACTATTAACACTAATTTTCTGTTTTCATGGAAAATTGATTTTTCCAATTAAATTGATGAGTTTATTTTTGTTAATTGTGTTGATTAAGATTTAGGATTGATTATAATTTCTCATTTAGAGCTGGAGAAAAGTGAGAAGAAAATTAAATTGTCAATTAAGAGATAAAGTTATTGGAACAATTTGGTAAACTGTTTTTGTATTTGGCGCTTTTCCAATTTGGATCATCCCATTTGCTTTTATTGCTTCATTTTGGTGAAAACGAAAAATATTTTCCCGATTCTGAGGCAATAATTTGTTGATGTTTCAGTCAATCAGTTTAATTTATTTTCGTTTTCTTTTCATTTCTCATTTGTTAATTGTTATTGTGTAAATTTATTCTCCACCGAAACAGTTTCATCATTACAGTTTTGTTGATATTTTATCTAATTGCTTGTTGTTTGTGGCTTTGGTTTCCTTTCTTGGTTAACCTTTTTTGTTTTCTTCTTTTTTCCTTTTTCCTTCTTCTTCTTATTTTTACAATGGGACCTCAAAGGAAAAAGAAAAGAGATGAACCTGATGAGGCAAGTTGTTCTCGAGATGGTTACACTTCTGATTCTAATTCAGATTCATCGGAAATCTCAGAATCTGATCCTGATAAAGTGCAATATGCTAAAGTTAATCGCGTCTCCATGGATAAAAATAGTGACGAGTATCGGAAAAAGCGACAACGTAATAATATTGCTGTTAAAAAATCTCGACACAAATCAAAGATAAAGACCATGCAAACCTTACAACGAGTTAATGCTCTTAAATCGGAAAATGATGAACTTCAACAGAAAATTGTTATTCTCTCTAAAGAATTGGCTCTATTGAAACAACTTTTCATGGCTCATGCTAAAAATGCTCATGGTACCGAGATAAATGACAATGAGCTGAAGGAATTTTTCTCTGCGGAAACTTATCAAGAATTGACCAGTAATAACAGTTAATCAATAATCAGCAAAAGTGTTTATCAATTTGGCGAAAAAAAAAAAAAGACCGTGACAAAGATGAATAAAGAAAAATACATTTTCCCCAATCAAATTCACAAACACAAACACACAAAACTTATACAATGTAATTCCCCTTCTCTCTCTCTCTATCCATCTCATTATACAAACGAAAATCTTCAATTATTTCATCTAATTTCTTATCCCTTAAAATACCTTAATTCCATGTAATTAATCTAATATATTCTATCAAAAAAAAAAAGAAATCGAAAATCAAAAAAAAGAACCACAATAAACATTAAGTTGTATTGATCGACAAACGTAATGTTAGAAGTATTTCAATTGTTCCAGCGAGAAAGAAACGATACATTGGAGATGATAGAATAATTTCAAGAGAAAAAGAAGAATCAAATTAGATTGTTAATCGTGATTAGATAATCACAATTGAAAGAGAATTAAAAATCGACCCTATTGGTGACTAGTCGAAACTCTTGAAGTGAGAATTGTTTTGTTGACAGAAACTCAATTCAACTCCTTCTCTTGCATCATTGTTTATCTAATTTAAATTTTCTTCTATTCCAATTGTTATCAACCAGTTAACGTTCTCAAAGTGTAATTAAGTGTTAAAGTGATTTAATTGATAGTCTACTCGGTGATGGGCCTTCACTACACTGAGGTTGATGTTTTCATCGGCAGCAATACAATTATCGATGAGCATATTTACACTTGTTGGTTGGATGGTTACACTCCCCAGGAAACGGCCATTTTGGTTAAAGAAAAGGAGTGTAATGTCCTTCGGGGAATCCATGATGACCTGATAATCAGCGATGTTCTCGATCAATTTAGATTGTTTGGTTTAATTGAGAGGTTACTTCAATCACCTTCAATGATTGGACAAGGTTGGACTCTACAGATTAATGGTAAAACCAGGAGACTGTTGATTGAGAAATATTATGAATTCGATGATTGTGTTATTCGGGAAATTTTGGGTAAAAAGTTATCATCTCGCAATCGAACTGAATTGAAAGATGTTAGTGAGAAAACGTTGGTTGGCCTGAAAAGTTGCCGTCGTCAATTTGATAATGTTAAACGCGTTTACAAAGCGGTTGAAGATGTTGCTGGTAACCTAATTTCCAATATTCAAAATAACTTTCGACTCTCGGAGCGATTAGCTAAAAGATATGCGACCGTTGTTTATATTGCGAATAACAGATTCGAAACGTCCAAGAGAAAAATTAATTATCTTAAATTTGCTGATTTTCATCATTGTGCTTACCAAATGATGATTAACTGGTCGTGTAAAAATCCTGAATGTAAATATGAAGAATCGCCGATGGACATTGATCGAGATTTTCTTCAAGATTTAAGGGAATTGAAGGTTCTTCTTGAACGGGAATATATGGATGACCACAAGATGAATTTCATGAGAGAAATGAAATCCCGTGGGTTGGAAAGGATGGAGAAATTGGACAAACAGATCACCGATCTTGATGGATTGTTCAAAACCACTTCGAGAAGTATAATCAATATGGCTTTTCGTTTGAATCAGTCCAAAGAAGTGAGAGATTTATTTGTTGACATTGTCGATAAAATAATCGAACCATTTAAATCTGTTAAAATGTCCAAAAGTGATCTTGAGATTTTCCTTAAGGTTTACATGGAATCACCAAAGAACATAGAAATTTTCACCAAAAATAGTGACCTTTGGATAGTCTGGTTACGTTACATGAGAACATTGAACAGTTGTATCATTCAAATGTATCACTAATCGTTTGACAATCAAATCAACAAATCAACAAATCATCAATTCTTCATAATCATTGCAACGAAAAAAAAATTTTTTTTTTCTTCTTCTTGTCAACCTTTTTTCCCTTAATTTTTATTCCCAATCAAATGTTAATTGCTCCAAAATACACATTTATTACTCCACCAACGGGGAAAACTAATAGTCGATAATAAATCTAATCAACGATCAAATTTATTCGCATTTTAATTGTTGCAATTTTTTTCCGTTTCTGTTGACCAATTTGAGGGAAAATTTTTGCTCTTCGCAATTAGTATTCGGTCCCCCGGAAATTAAGTCAAACCTTTGGGTTAAAACCACGTTTTGTTTTTAAAAGGCAACAATTTGATTCCAACCGATGTTTAAATGTTTCTTAATTTAAATTAATTGTTTAATAGTGTAATTAGTTTGGTGATTGTTGGAGATAATCTGTCAACATGTCTCACTACAATTTCAAAAAGATTCAAACGGTTCCTTCAACAAAGGATTTTGTTGATATAATTTTATCAAAAACCCAAAGGAAAACACCAACAGTTGTCCATAGACATTACCAAATCTCTAGGATTCGTTCATTTTATATGAGAAAAGTTAAATACACTCAACAAAATTTCCATGATAGATTGACCCAAATTTTAACAGATTTTCCGCGAATCGAGGTAATTCCAAATTATTTGTTAATCTCCCAAAAATTGGTTGATCTTTTTTCATCTTATCCATGTGTCTTGCTTTTTTCTTTTGTCACGTGGTTTTTAATTTTTCTTTTTCTCTTTTTCTTCACCTTACAGGAAATTCATCCATTTTTCGCTGATTTACTTAATGTTCTCTACGATAAAGATCATTACAAGCTGGCCTTGGGTCAAATTAACACAGCTCGACATTTGATTGATAAGTAAGTCCAATCTTGGAAAGGTTTACCTCTTACTCTCCAACTCCTTGTCATCTTCAGTATGATAACCATAATTTTAATCTTCCATTATCTTTACCATTAAATTGGTGGCACGTATAAAGTGTTCATTAACTTAATTCAGTAGTTTTTGAATCCCGTTAGCGTGCTAGATTAAACTCTGATCTGGATTATTAGCTCTTTATTTATATTTTGAATATTGTGTCCAGTCACCAATTCAACATTTTCTTTTTCTCTCCCAATTTCTAATTAGTGTGGCTCGTGATTATGTTAGACTTTTAAAATATGGAGATTCTCTTTATCGATGTAAACAGCTTAAGAAAGCAGCATTGGGACGAATGGCAAATATCATGAAACGACAAAATGATAGTTTAATCTATTTGGAGCAAGTTCGTCAACATATCTCTCGATTACCTTCAATTGACCCTAATACAAGGACATTGTTAATCTGTGGTTTTCCAAATGTTGGTAAATCCAGTTTTATCAATAAAATTACCCGAGCTGATGTTGAAGTTCAACCATATTCATTTACAACTAAATCACTTTATGTTGGACACACTGACTATAAATATCTTAGATGGCAAGTGATTGATACTCCTGGTATTTTAGATCATCCTCTTGAAGAGCGTAATACAATTGAAATGCAGGCAATTACTGCATTGGCACACATACGATCTTGTATAATCTATGTAATCGATGCCTCTGAACAATGTGGTGTCAGTCTGGAAGATCAACTTAGTCTGTTTAAAAGTTTACAACCACTTTTCACCAATAAGCCGATCCTTATTGTCAACAATAAGAGTGATATTGTTAAACTGGCCGATTTACCGGAAGAAAGGAAACAATTATTAGAAAAATTGAAACAAGAAAACAATTTAACCATCATGGATATGAGTACAGTTGCTGAGGAAGGTGTTATCGAAGTCAGAAATGAAGCTTGTGACATGCTTCTTGCCCATCGAGTTGAGATGAAGATGAAAAGTAAAAGTATCGAAAATGTCGCTAATCGACTTCACGTTGCTATTCCTCATCCAAGAGATTCACAGGTAAGTTTATTATACTTATTACTTGTTATTCTTGTCCTTGTATTGACCTTTTGAATTTTTTTTTTGATTCGATTTGTAGGAACGGCCACCCTTTATTCCTGAAGGTGCAAGCAAAAAGAAATCGCAATTAGATGATGATAGTGATTACGATGACGATGATGATGATGATGTTAAAATGTCTAAACCTAAAAAGAAGACAGAACGTGATATTGAACTAGAACTGGGCGATGATTATATTTTAGATCTTAAAAAACGTTATGATATCGAAGGAGATCAAAAGTTTGACGTTATCCCTGAAATTTGGGAAGGTCATAATATTGCTGATTTCGTTTTTGCCGATTTGGAAAAGAAATTGGCCCAATTAGAGGAAGAGGAACGTCAACTTCTTGCCAATGGTTATTACGATCCAAATCTTGAAGAAGAAGATGAACAATTGAAAGAGATCAGAGGTTTAGCTCGACAGATTAGACATAAGAAAGCATTATTGAAGAATGAGCATTGGCTTAATAAAGGAATTACTCGAGCTAAATTACCACGAACTGGACGTAAACGAGAGCGAAGTGTCTCCAGATTACGACACGAGTTTGAAGAACTTGGAGTTGAATTTTCTGATGATGAGGGTACTCATTATGCCGATGCATCTGCACCAAGACCTCGAGGTCCACCATTGAAAAAACTGAGAACAGATAGTGAAGGAAGAGTTCGAAGTAGCTCAACCAAACCAAGAGATCAATCTGGTGTCCGTGATATTGAAGAAAAGGTCAAAGTTAAAGCGATCGCCAAGAAAGCTCAAACCAAGAGGAATCGTCAAGCAAGAAAAGGTGAAGGTGATCGTAAGATTGTTAACCTTAAACCTAAACATTTACTCACAGGAAAACGAGGGTTGGGAAAGAACCAGAGAAGATAAATTATCTCTATGTATCTCATCTTATTCTATTAAAATGTTTATCCTGCAATTTCAATTTTCATCTAAATTTAAAACGAACAACCGAAAAAAAGAACAATTCGAATAATACAAATTAGGCGCTTCTCTTTTTGTTCTCTTTTCTCTTCTCTTTATGTTCGCTTGTTCGTTTGTGTATTGAACGCGTTCAAAGTGACTGTTTTTCTTTCTCAATTGGACTGGATTAGTTTAAATTTCTTCTGATTAGATTTTCTTTTGATTTTTGTTTTCGAAAATGAGTGAAGATTTTTTGACCTTTAGTGAAGATTCGCTTAGTACCACTCGAAGTGAGGCGGGTTCTTCTACAGCCGATTCTACTTGTAGTGATAATGAAAAAAACGCCATCAGAAGGCGATTGATGGAATTGGATCAAACAATTAAACAGTTGGAATATGCCCGAAACAATGCGAAAAAAGATTCTGAGAAATCTAAAGATCAACTGTACACGTTGATGGATAGATTACAAAATTACCAAGAAATTGAAAGAAAATATCAAATGATTAGTGATTGTGTTGAAACTCCTATGCTTCATTTAGAGAAAATTATTACCGACACTGAAGAGATGGTTGAATTTGGTTACAAAATGTGTAAGTATTGAGTTGATTCTTTGATTCTCTTGACAATTTACTAACTGTGGATTCTAATTTTTCAACATTCGATGCGAAATTAGTGCAAAAACTACAAGCCATAAATGAAAACAAGAGGATGAGAGAAAACAAATTGACCATTGGCTATAGTGAAACTCCTCAAGAATACGCTAAAACCTATGGTGCAAATTTGGAAGGCAAATTTAAACGTCCAACGGAAAATGAACTACTAGAGGACATTGAGGCCTCAGCATTAAATGAACCAGAAATAAATGGTGAATTAAAAGGACTTTTAGATGAACTTCGAAAGGAAAAGAGTGAATATCTCCAGATGATTAATGAATCCATAAAGTATCACGATGAGATGCACCAAAGATTATCCAGACAAAATACTTGCTTAATTAGTCAACCTCCTGATGAGAATCCAGAGGAATCAAATCAAGAAGAGCAAGAATGTATTACAATTCCAGATACTCAATTTATCCCTTAAAATGGACCCAAAGAATTGGTTAATTTCAAGTGAATCTAAAGAAAATTTCATCTCGTGATAATATCGATTAGATTTATTTTGTCAAAACACCATAATAAACATATCAAACTGTACACTTATACTAAAGTCCTTTCTTTTGTAAAAAAAGATTCAATCTCTTGACGACTTCTTCGGGTGCCTCGAAATGAGGATAATGTCCAATGTTTTCATCTAATTTATCAAAATATGGATTGTAGATCAATTTATGATACATCACATCAAACGGCGGTGGATTAACTGGATCACTAGGACCATAAATAAATTGCAATGGAATCTTGGTATTCTTCATGGCGGAAACCCATCGATCCTCATGTTCAAATCTTTCATCCAGATAGGCCAAAATATCACCGAATACTCGGTATCCGTGATTATGTCGCACAATTGCCCAGAAATTGTAAAACTCGGCCATCGTTGGACTGGTTCCACTTCCGAAAACTCTGTTTAAATTGATTGCGAACGTATATTTATTGTTTAACTTTCCAAGAAGATAACCAATCACTGGAAGATGAAGTAGCTGTAAAAGAAGAAGCAAAGAAAATGATAATTCATAGACTGATGACCAGAAAAAAGTTAAGAAATTTACCTTTTGAATAACTAAAGGTGAATGAATTGATGGAAATACTCCTCCATTCATCATGGATACTGATTTAATCTTTAAATTAAGGCCATCGTCTCTAAAGATGTGTAAAGAAAAGAAAAGATCAATTTCAATTATTGAGATAATCCTTTCCCTTGAGAGACTTTTAATCCTTTCAAAATCAATCAAAAACTAACCTTATACGAGCAAGAATCTCTTGAGTCACTGTATCACCATAATCATGGGCTAAAATATGAAAATCGTCAAGTCCAATGTGATTGATTACCGATTGAACAATATCTGCTTGTTCCATGATTGAATAAGAATGTAAAGTCTGTCAAAAAGCAAGAATAATAATGAATGAAAACATTTCCAATTAGAGTAAATGACAAAAGTGAATGATGAAGATGATTAAACCAAAGGAGGAAGATGAAACGATGAAGATGACGAAGAGCAAAACAAAAAGGACAGAGAACAATTTACAACAATACTAATTAACAAGTTAAATTACCGGTTTATCACTATAACCCATTCCGAGAAAGTCAATAAAAACAATTCTATCAAAGCTTTTGATTAAAAATGGATAAGCTTTAAAATAGTCAAAACTTGAAGTTGGAAAACCATGTAAACATAATAATGTCTTTGTCCCATTGTTGATTTGTTTGTCTATAAAAAAAGAAAAGGAAACAAACACAATACATGTAAAATTAGAAGATGATTAACAAGGTAACCCTAAACAATTAATTACTTACCAATATAAAAGATTTTAAATTGTTTAAAAGTTAAATATGATCCCCAAGTTTGCCATTGATACATAATTGGTGAGATCGGTGGGGCTGGATAATTGGTGAATATTGTGAATCCAATTGCGATCAGAACAACCAGAATAGAAGTGATTTTAGTTAACAAATCCATCACAGTTTAGCTTACGATTTGGTCAAAGTTTAAACAATTAAATGGTAAAATAAATTAACCCGACATCAATTAACTAACTAGAGAATAACAAACATTCAAAATGAAAAAAAAACTTCTTGTTCCTTTTGTTAGTCATCAATGTTTACTTTTCTTTTCTTTTGGCGCCAAATATGAAATGGAAATAAAATGGAAATAAATTTAATTTATTTACGAATTTGGAGAAACTTTTTTTTCTTTTTTATTAATTGTAACAATTTAAAAGAGAACAAAATTTTCTTAGATAATTGAGGTAAAAATTAGTGTTTTATTTATAGAGATTTGATTTGATTTACTTTTAATTTTTAAGATCATTTGTAAATTCAGCTTTCTTGTGATTCAAATTGTTGTGGTTGAATTAAAGATTGATGATCAACTTGATTGTTTGACTGGCTCGGTATTGGTATTGCTGATGATGATGATGGGATTGGTTGAATTGGTGATTGTGACTGTATTGTTGATAATGATTCCTGATTTACGGAATCACCATTGGTCTGAGCATTGGTCATTTGATTACCGCTTAGATTATTGTTTAATTGTCCTCTTGTTGGTTCATCAGGAAAAGTCACTTTCGGCTTAATATTTGATTGATTTTTATTGTTAACATTTTTTCTATTGTTATTTCCATGTTGATGGTTATCATTACCTTCATGATGTTGATCTTTACCATGAAAAGGTTCAGTCCAACGACCAGAGTTCAAAAATCCACGAAAAAGGTCAATAGGTAACGGGAAAACTATGGTTGAGTTTTTTTCTGCCGCAATTGAATTTAAAGTTTGAAGATAACGAAGCTGAAGAGCCGCTGGTGAGCCATGAATGACCTCAGCCGCTTCTTTTAATGCTCGAGATGCTCTAGAATTGGAAATAGTAATCACAAAGAAAATGTATCAATTAATAATTAGCTCAAACTAAAAAGCAGCAATTAAGTATTAATGCTCAGTTGACTACGAAACCCAAAATTCGAGGTCTATTGATTAAAGTTTAATTTCTCAAGCTCGAAACTTAAACTAAAGATTCATTAACCAATTTAAAGGCTTAGAAAGTGGAAAGAGTTTGAAAATCTCAAGTTAATCAATCAAATCGTTTAAAATTTACCTTTGTTCTCCCTCGGCAGCGATCACTTTGGCTCGAGCCTCTCGAGCTGCTTCCGCTTCCGTAGCCATGGCACGTTGTAATTGAACAGGTAGACGAGCATCTTTACTGTAATTATCATGAAAACGACAACAAATCAAATTAATACAAGAAGCAAAAATCAATCAACAAACTGAACAAATGAAGTTTCGAATTCCTGTCAATCAAATTGAAAGAATCTGTTAATATGACAGTTAAGAGCTTCTAACATGATGAATATCGGAAAATTAGGAGATAATATTGAACTAGTTAACGTAAATTGAGCTAATTTAAATGAACGAATCAATTGATGATCGTGGTGATACTCGTATCTGTGGTGAATATGTGATGAAGATATTCAGCCAAGTGTAACCACTAAGATCTGAGAATATGATAAGAAGGAGAAAAAAACATCGAATAGAAAATAAAGGAAATTTTCTTATGATAGAAAAGAAGAATAGAAGCAAAAAAAGAATAGAATATTCGAAGATTCTTTTTTTCTCTTTCTCATCTTCCATGTATGTATAAACAGAAGATGAGGAAGTTGAGTGAGAAATAAGTTCTATCGCCATTCATCAATTACCATGGATGGATAGTTGGAAGACATTTTCATGGCGAAGATGAGAAAAACATTATAATCATAGATTGAAAAAACTCAACAAAAGTGAATCTCAAGAAAGATAAAAGTTCTGATGATGGAAATGATTTCTCAGGTTCAATCATGTTAATCTCTTTAAAAAAGGATCAGGTTGAAATGTCGATGAAAAGAAATGGATAAATCAAAATGAAGCAAGAAACTTGTAGCTGATTAAGCATATCAACTGGCTATCCAATCTCAACAAGTTCAAATCTCTGACCATTACTGACCAATGGTCTGAGTACAAATAGATATACACACAGAGAGAAAGAGAGGAAAGTGAGAGAGTGAGATTGAAATAATAATAAATCAAATGAAGTGGAAAGACAAACAAAAAAACAGCTGAATATCAAAATCATCATAAAGAAATTGAATGACCACCAATGACCAGTCAAAAGTAAGAAGAATAGAGAGAGAGAGAGAGAGAGAGATTATCTTCGAAACTTTTTTCGAAAAGTTTCGTTCTCACCATCGTGGTCATTATCATCATCAAAGAATCACAAATCGAATTGGAACTTTCATTTTCTGGACAATGGACACAATGTCCAGTTCTAAAAGTTTACCTTACATACCTTTTCCTTTGTGATCTTTATTACTATTGGACTTTCTCATTGTTAAACTGCTCTTCCATTATCATGTTCATCATCATCATAATCATTATGATATAATATCATTCCTGAGACCTTACATGATGAAATTCAGTAAATTTCATGGATTAAAATGGATTATATTGGAAAGAGAAAAGAATTTTTTTCTTCCTCATCTTCTCCATCATCGCAACAACATAATATCAAAAAGGTGGAAAAGTAATTGGAAAGTTTAATTACTTGGAAAGGGTTAGATTAAACTGACCCTTGCAAGTTATTTACCAACGTCAATGTTGACCACTTTCACTTTTTTTTTATCAAACATTTCATGACATTTAGACAATGGATTAACTCTGGTTGAAGATTAACAATGATAAGCTAGTAAAGAGATTAAATCTTTCAACAATCTGACAAAAACTTGACTTTCGGTGATAATGTTTTCTGTTTGTTTCCACAAGATGAAATGTAATCAGTGAGATAATGACCATGGTGATGATAATGATGACCATAAGAGTATCGAATGAAATGTTTCATGATGGTTTTGTAAACATTGGATGGACAACAATTACTATCAAGTGACAATTACTATTAATTTTTTTCTTCTTTTGATGAGTTTCAATTTTACTTATCCAATGGGAAAGAAAAACGGAAGTAAAGAAAATCTTTTCAATAGGAAACACAATTTTTAAAGTAAAAGAAAATTGGATAAAAATGATGACGATGAAAAGATTGATTGAAGTGGAAAGAATCAGATGAATCTTAACATGATGACGATGATGATAAAATACAATGGAGAAACTTTTCCAAGTCTAGTGGTCAAACTTACATTTCAACTCGTTCAACTTTTACGCCCCAAGGGTCAGTTGCTTCGTCAAGGCTACTTTGCATAACATGGCTAATAGATTCTCGTTCGGATAAAATTTCGGACAAATTTTTGGTACCCAGGACATTACGAAGAGTAGTAGCGGCCAGTAGACGAGTGGACCTACCATAATCTTCAACATTGGAAACGGCGATCGTTGCATTACTGATACGATAATAAACAACAGCATCGACGGCAACGGTCACTGAATCTTTGGACAAAATCTACGAATACATTTCGTAAGGTTTACGAAAACGACAAAAGAGAAAAAAAAAACAAAAAACAATCAGTGACATGAGAAAATCATCATGAGACATACGATAGATACATCGAAGAGAGAGAGAGAGATT